GCAAGGCCGAAGCCCGGACAAGGGCCAAATTTGCCGACCGCCGCCCGAAAAGATCGGCGAACCGGATCCCCGGCGGAACGTGTTGCTGGCAGACGAGACCGACTTGCGGCCGAGGCGGTGGGCGGGCCCGGCGGGGAGGCTGTTGGCCACGGTCCGCTCGCGTCCGTTGGTCGATCGCACCTCTTCGGCCCGCCGCTCGCGGTCCATCTCGGCGACCAGGGCGGCCGACTCGAGCGCGAGCGTCTCCTGCAGTCTCAAGCCGTGGAACGTCTTTTGTACCGGGCAAAGAGGACGGGGTGCAAGGTGAGGATCGGATGGTCAGTGGACGACGTTCGTTGCAGCGGCAGAGACGCGGTGTACAGGCAGGGCGACTCACCGGAACCTCCTCTGCGAGCCTCTTCTTGACGCCGACCGTGTCCCTTTGCCACGCCAGCGAGTCGTTGCAGGCGACGTGACCGCCGTCATTCGACGACGAGGAACAAGCCAAGTCGCTGCTGGCAGACGGGCGATCGGCCCGGACGCTGAGCTTGCCCATGGCAGCGGCCAGCGCCTCCTTGGACATGGCGCCCGCCGCCCTGCCATCGACGTGCCATTGGCTCATGTCCTCCTGGATCTGCCGCACGCCACGCTTGGCCAGCAGCTCTCTGCGAATGTCGTCGGTCTCTTTGCGCAGGCGCTCCCGCGCCCGGCTCTGGGCCTCTCGGCGAGCATGCGCGGCGGGCGTGGCGGGCTCTTGGGCGGGGACGGTGGGCAGGGGTGTCGAAAGGATGCGCTCGTTGCGATCCAGCATGTCGGCCAGCTCAAACTCGGAGCAGCGCGAGAGCGGCTTGCGAATGCCGGCCGACGAGCGAAAGGTCCTCGGGATAAAGGCGAGCGATGCGGCCGACCGTGCTCCCGCGCCAGCACCGCCGCCGGAGACGATGCGGCCAGAGTGGGGTGGCGATGCCGATAGCTTGCGATGCGGTGCAGGATGGGCGCTGGGTGACGGTTGACCAGGAGCGGCGGCACCGAAGCCGATCTCTGGCTTGACCTGTGCCGATGGCGAGGTAGCGAGGCCACGGTCCGAGGTTGCCGTGTCGCCCGTGAGGGGCGGCTTGCTCCCGGTGGGGAGCATGAGGCCGTTCATGGTGCGGCCTGGACCGAGGAGTCGTGCAGAAGTTGGGTTCAAAGGGGATGCAGATGCTGGGGCGACCCTATCGATGAGGCGCGAACTCCGGCAGGATGAGGCGCTTGTGCGCTGGCGTTGCAGGCTGGTAGTCGGCGGGCGGAATCGACGAAAGCTTCAGAGGCGGTCTGCGGCGGCGAGCGCGTGTCGGTGAGCGATCCGGGTCCGGCGGATCTGTGGACGAGTTTGGCGAAGCCGGGAGGGGGTAGGGATGGAGTTGCGGTAGATCTGGGGTTTTGGTGGCTTGGTCAGGGCCCTGGAAGCGCATGGCAGTGCGGCGAGGGAGGGATGGCGAGGAGGTCGTTGCAAGAGCAGACAGACGGTCGCGATGACACGCCGAGGTCCTCGTCGGTAGCGCCGTCGATGGACGGAGGTGGTCTGACCACAGGGTGGCAGGGTAGGCAGGACAGGCCGCGCACCAATACAGCACTGCAAGGCTCGGGGCTGAAGGCAAAGATGAGTGAAGCGTGGGCGAAGCCTCGAGGATATATATATATGTAGCTCAGAAAGCCGTCGGGCGACGGGCACGGTTCGGCAGCAGGTAGAGTAGTAGTGGTGTAGGGGAGCGGTGGACGTTGATCGCCGGGTGGTCGTCGTCGTCGGGTCGATGGTGGTCGTCGAGGGCTCCTGCTACCGCCACCCGCCAGCCCGGGACGACCCCCTCTGGCTTTATACGGAGGCACGCGGGCCCGGTCCGCCGCCGCCCCCTTCACCTTGGCGGCCCCCTCGCCAGGACCCTGGCTGGCCTTTGCCTGCCTGCCAGCCTGCCTGCCTGCCTGCCTGGCTGGGCAGCTCTGACCTAGCCTGCCGCCTGCGCCTGCGCTTTGGGGCGGTCACGCAGCAGGCAGCAGCAGGTGCTTGGGCCATCCCCCCCGCTTTCAGCCCCACCCTCCTGGCGGCCTCTGTGCGTTGGCCCCCTGGCTGGCAAGGCCAATCTGCCTTTTTCTCAGCTTCGTCGATCGGCGAGGGCCGATGCGCAGGCGTGCAATGCAGGCAGGCACGCCGAAAAGACACGCTCGCACGCACGCACGCTCGCCCGTTGGTGCTGGCTCTTCGCTCTCTGTTCTCTGCTCCCTGCTCCCGTAACCTCGTCGATCCTGCCTCTGGGCTCGGTCGGAGGTGGAGGAGTCGGTCAGGCTCCCATCTGGCCTCGTCCCGGTAGGCAGCCAGATGCGCGCCGTCCCTCTCTGGGCGCCGTGCTGCCCCTCCTGGCCTGATCCGCGCGAGAGAGTGAGAGTGCCAGTGTGACTGAGGCGGCAGCAGCAGCATCGGCACCTGGGCCTTGTTGGGGGGCCCGACGAACGACCGTCAGCCGCCGATTTCGCGTCGCCTCTCTGGCATGGCCAGGCTGATCTGGCACGCAGCGGGCGGGTGAGCCCGAGAGCCGAGGACAAAAGAGGGGGGGAATGGCGCTGCTTAGCAGGCTAGGCTAGGCGGGCGACCGAAATGGAAGACGACGTCGAGACGGATCGGTTTCTCTGGGCCCTGCTCGTCATCTGCATGTGCCTGGCGGCGGCGACCAGCAGGCAGGCAGGCAGGCAGGCAGGCGGGCTGGCGGGCTGGCGGGCTGGCTCTCTGGCTCGCGGCTGGCTCGCGGGTGAACCCGTTGGGCTCTTTTGGCGGGCCTGGCCTGGTCTGGCCTCTGTCGACTCGCCCGCTGGCCGTCAATCTGGCCCTTTGGTTGGCCCCGTGCCCGGCCACCGCACCGCTTCCCCCGCGCAGCGGTCGGTCATCAAGGGGCGTGCGTCCGCCCGCTCGCTGCATTCGTCGGCGTCGGCGGCAGCGGCGTATAAGAACGTCTGGGCGCCCGCTTCCTGGCGGCCCTCCGCCTGCTCCCCTTTCCCTCCCTGTCTCGCTGCGCACCATCACCACCGTCGCCGCCGCCATCGTCGGCCGCCACTACCATCTGCCCTCGCCACTGTGGTCGCCGCCATCCCTCATCCCGCTGGACCGTTGCGAGCGTCCATCCCTCCACTTGTGCCGACGAGTGCCTTGGTGCGTGCCGAGACGCCCTTGCAGGCCCTTTTCGGAGCACCCGTGCTATCGCCACACGCTATCCGGGTAAATCCGAGCCAGTTGCAACCACGACGGCCGATCCGATCCGATCGCCTCGCGCTGCTGCAGAGGACGAGCACCGCCACACCCGCTTGCCCTTGGAGCGCGACACACCTCGCTCCTTGCTCTTCCTCGCTGCGACGGCGCCTTCGCCATCCGATCGTCAGAGTGGCGGCCGATCCTCGACGGGCGCAATCGGCATCATCTTGGCGCAGCCCTCGCACATCTGCGATCTCGACAAGGGGCCCATCGTCCCTTTTCGGATCCGGCCCAGGGACGCCGCCCTGCCGACTCGCCCTGCTGCCCGGACGCACAACGTCGGTCGATATCCAGCGCAGCTTCCAAGCATGCAGACACTACAGCACCACACCCGTCGAGCCGCGCTGCGTTAAGAAGCAAGCATTCCACGAGGACCCTTTGCGATTGCTCCTCGTCGACCCCTCCGTCGTGGTGACGGCGTTCCTCGACAGACCAGCCCATCGCCCCTGCTTGTACCCCACCGTCGCTGGGCAAGATTTCGTCTGCCGCCGAGAAAGCCCACGACCTCCGCCTCGCGGCGGCAGCGCCGATCTCCTGTGAGTCGAGGTTGCCGCCGAGACGGGCATCCCGTCCTCCATGTCATGTTTTTCCCTGCTGGCACTCTAGGATCCAGCGCTCACGCAGATCCGAATCCGTCTCGTCCCCCTCTTTCGGTCTGCTCCCATCCTCCTTGTCCTTCCTGTAAATCCTCGTCGGGCGAGCGCAGACACCATGGAGGATCTGTCTGCCGACGATGACATCCTGTCGGACATCCTGCTCGAGTGAGTCGAGCATCGCCGTGGCGAAAGATCAGCGGCGACATAGCCTCGCTGACCCATCGCACAACCTCTCGGCTTGGCCGCTTGGCTGCTCCGCTGTTCCTGCAGTACGCTCGAGTTTGAGCCGGCCATCTCGACCCACAAGATGAACCCCAACTACCGCGGCCAGCGCTTCGACAGGGGCACCGTCAGCCAGATGGTCCGGAAGCGGGTCGTGGTCGAGCGGGATGTCGGTGCGGCTGTCGAGGATCTGGCAAAGTGAGTGCACCAGTAGCGCCGGCGAGCACGGCCGTGCGTGGCAAGCCCTGCGCGTAGAGAGGGCCGCGACTGCGGAAGCTGATCTGATCTGCTGCCTTGAATGTCACCCCCGCATCCGCTCTGTGCCTCAAAAGGCTCGGGATCGTCGCCAAGTACCTGCAGAAGAAGACGCAGCGTCAGGTCGCCGGCTTTCAAGCGTGAGTGCCTTGAACCCGCATAACGCCCTTGCGGCTGTTCAATCCGCTGTTGCACGGCCACCTGACCCCCCCCCTTTCGCCTTTCCACGTCTTCTGTCGCTCTCAGCCACGCACGCCGGTATCTCGAGACCTACCTACCTGACAGCGGCGTCGAGTTCGCCCTCACGACCCGCTACAAGCGGGTGATGATGGAGCGGCTGGCTGCCAAGGCAACTCCTGCTCCCGTCGGAACATTGGCGGACGCAGACACAAAGGCGGGCGAGTCATCGACCGCGGGCCAGGTCGGCGAGGCGAAGCCCAGGGAAAAGCCCAAGGGTCGCCAGTCGCTGGACCGGGCTGCCACGAGCATCGGCGCAGCGCCCGCGGCTTCCGAAAAGGCCGACCTCTGCGTGCTCGCCATGCAGGAATTCAAGCCGGGCGATCTCATCTCACACTGCAAGGGCGGCCTCAAGGACCTCACAAAGAGCGAGGACGAGGCGCTGCGCGAGGAGGCAGTCAGCTCGAGGGAGAAGCGCAAGGAGGCCGAATACAAGGGCGTCCTCGGCCCGGGGAGGGATTTCTCGGTGATCAGCTCGTCGCGCAAGGGTTGCAGCCAGCTGCTCTTGGGGCCCGCCCGCTTCGTCAACGTGAGTACCGTCGGACAGCCCTCGCGGCGCAACCAAGGTGCTCCCTGCGATGGCCTCGTCCTTGTCCGCCCTGCGGGCTGCCTAGGTGGCCGAGGGTTAGCGAGCGCCGGCTCGCCTTCCCTCACCAGGCATGACGTTATACGCTGACGTTGGACCCGCCCCCCCCCCCCCCCCCTCGGCGAATACACCGCTCCTGCACAGCACGACTGCAACCCCAACACCGAGTTTTACCGCATGGGCATGCAGATGACCTTCAAGGTGATCCGGCCGATATCGCGCAACGAGGAGATCACCACCTACTACGGCGACAACTACTTTGAGTGGGCCAACAGCGAATGCATGTGCGCCACCTGCGAGCTCAAAGGCGTCGGCGCCTTTGCCGACAAGGGCGATGCCGGCCTTGTTGCTGCTGCAGCCGGCACCGGCATCGGCCCTGGCACCGAGGACGCCGACGGTGGACTGGCCGAGGAGGGCCAGGACGGCGCGTCAGAGACCAACGGCGAGGGTCGACGGCGCCTGCCGCGGCGCACCGGACGGCAACCGGGCGCCGAAGGATCTGCCGTGCCTTCGCCTTCGCCCACTCCCTCGGCTTCGATCATGGGATCCGCAGCCGCTGCCGAAGACGGGTCGTCGGAGAGCAAGTCGAGGCGGGACATCCTGGCGGATCTCAAGCTGGCGCAGCACGGGCCTTCCGATGACCGGTCCGACCCGTACGCGGAAGGGGCAGGTCCTCGATGCCGCTGCCTCACTTGCGGCGCAACGTTCTGGGCGCCCGAGAAGTGGTGGACCCCCGACGAGTGCCCGCGGTGCGAGAGGCACTACAAGATCTTCAAGGCCGACTGGCCGGATCGCGTGCCGACCGAAGGGCTGCTGGCGAGGAGGGGGAGCGGCAAGAGGAAGCTCGACGTCGGCCTGGACAAGGAGAGCGAGAAGAGTTTCAACGCCCGCCGTGTCGAAGCCGCCGCGGCGCTCGATCAGGCGACGTCGGCAAACAAGAAGCGCAGTCGGCCGGCCAAGGCGGCCTCGCCACCTGCAGTGCCAGCAGAGGCGAGCGATGGCGGTGTCACGCCGAGCAATCCGGCGACTCCGATCACCCTCACGCCTTTGCGAGACGCCCCGCCGACGTCCCTGACCGCCGGGCGCCCGATAAAGACCAAGCCCAAGGACTCGCCGCTCCGACCGGCCCAGGCCACTGGCAGCCCTTTGTCCCGGCCGTCTTTGCCCAGCGCGACGGGCAAGTCTTCCACGGCAGGAGCGGGCCCGTCAAAGGCAGGGGCTCGCTCAGTGGAAAGAAAGACTTCTGCTGCTGCTGCAACGGCGACCGCGATCGGGACGCCCAAGCCCACCAGCAGCTCCTCAGCGCGGCTCCGCCAAGACTCGGACGATTCGGATCTTACACCCGAGTCTGAATCCGACTCTGACGGCGAGCGGCGGCCTACGACCCACGGGTCTTCGGCCATCGCTGATGCCGCGACACGCTCTTCGTCGAGTGCCAGCCCGGGTCCGATGGGACCCAAGATGCTGGGCAAGCATGCCAAGACGGACGTGCTGGCGCAGTACTGGGGCGCTCCAATGACGGACAAGCGCTCGAGGCGCAAATCGTCGTCGCAGAACAATCCAGTCCTCCTAGGGCTACGGAAGACGGCCGCGGCCGCGGCAGCAGGTGCAGCATCGGCGGGGTCGCCGACAGCAGGGGAAGGGCGCAAGTCGGCTCCCGCTCGGCAGATGCATGCGAGCGACTCGGACGAGATGCCTTTTGCGTCGTCCAAGAAGGGGTCGCGCAAGCGACCGGTCCAGTCCACGCCAGACGAGGACGAAGACGAAGACGAGTACCACGATGGCGATGGCGACGGCGACGGCGATGGCGTCAAAGAACCGGCGCATCCCCGGCCTCCAGCAATTCCGACCGCTCACCATCGCAAGACGGCGAGCATGGGTGATCTATCCGGGCTGGCAGCACAGCCGTTGCCGCCTGCCGCTCCGCCGCGGGCCAGCTCGTCGACCTCCCAGGGGCAACCCGAACCTCAGCCCAAGGCGCGGCTCGGCACGGATGCTGCGCGGTCGACGACCCCGGTCAGCGACAAGAAGCACGTCCCCGGGACGCCCGTGGCCATCCCCGGGCTCGCCACCACCGGCGTCCAGCGGACCTCGGAGTCGAACCTCGCCCTCTTCTGGTCCGCGGGCGTCGAAGGAGGCCGAACACGGAGGCAGGTCCCGCGCGAGCCTCAGATGCTGACCGCAGCGCACACACCCGCCAAGCGATCTCGACCCAGCTCCGAGGCCAGCCGCAGCCGGACGCCCGAAGTCAAGCGGCCGCGGAGCAAGCTGGGCAACAGCAGGACCGGCGACAGCCCGGCAGATGGCCCCTCGCCAGCCGCGACGTCGACCGTCAGGGCGGTCAAGGCAGAGGACATGGACGTCGACAGCGGCGACGATTCCGCCAAGGACGAAACCGTCCGACGCCCGCTCAAGGACGCTGCGATCCGAGGGCCAGGTGGACCGCTCGGGGCGGATCCAACGACTGGCTGTGGCAACGGCTTTCCGCCGCCGGCAAAGACTCCGCTCCTGCCTCCGGCAACGCTAATGCGGCCGCCGCCACCGCACGTGCGGCCTGACCTGCTGGCGACGGCAGCTGCGAGATCCAACTCGCCGTTGGCAGGGCCGCCTCCTCCCGGCCTCCGGGCGGGGGCGCCTGGACAGCCGATCCGCAGGAACTTGCGGTGGGGCAGCGGAAAGACTTCGGTCAGTCGTCCTCTGGGCAGCGTCAGCCCGCTCGGGCGGCCTCTCCTCGGCCCCAATGGAAGTCCCGCGCAGGCGCTGCCGAGGCCGCCGATGGATGCCGCACGAGTGCTGCAGTTCCAGTCTTCTGCAGGCCCCGACCAGACGCAGTCGAAGCCGCTGCCATCCGCAGCACCCGTTGACCCCGCCAACGGGATCGCGACTCCGACGCAGTCGGCGCCGCCAGAGCTGGAGACAAGCTCGCTTCCTGCGCCATCCCAGTCGCCGCCCGCGCCCCAGCCACCGTCCAACGGCGCCAGTGTGTCGAGCGCGATCAAGCAAGAGCCGGCCCTTGATACGCTCCATGTCAAGCTGGCCGACGTGCATCGCCCGAACGACATCATCGCGGAGCCCGTCGGCCACGCCCGCAATGGCCACGACGGCAACGGGATAGACACGGCCGCGGCCGCGTTGGCCAGCAACCTGAGCTCGGCTCGGCCCGCTGCGGCCCAAGCGGCTGAGGAAGGGGCTGGCGCCGCCATCGTCGACGCGGCGATTTGGCCCGTCGCGCAGGCTGAAAGTGGCGCGGCCGTGCCACCGGCTCACTTGGACGACCCATGGACGCCACCACCACCTGCTGCGCCTCTACTCGATGCTGGCGATGCGCCCTCGACGGTGCCGACCCTGGCGCACCCGGCCAAGGACGTCGCCGCCTCTCCCGCCTCGAGATCCGCCATCTCGTCGGCGCCCTCTTCGCCCTCGTCCAACGGGCAGTCGCTGCAGCGACGGGTGTCTGGTCGAGCGCGCAAGCCGCCAGAGATGGCCGCGGGCCAGATTCCCTACAAGGGCAGTCTGGTGAAGCTGGCCGCGCAACGCGCCAAGGACGCCAAGAAGGGAGACTCGCCCGCACCGCGCACGGCCGCCTCGACGCCGCAGCGCAGTCCCAACTCGACCAAGGGTCACGCCTTGGCATCGCCGGGCTCGCCGGACAAGCTCATCACTTCGCTGGACGCCGCTGCGGCGACCGCCATGCCGGACGAAACCGGGCACGTCGCGGCTTTCGGCAACGGCGTGGCTCCAGCCACGAACGACGATGCTGCCAAGAGCGGCCGGGCAGCCCTCGATCCCCACGCCGCCATCCCAAGTGCCGAGGGAGAGATCGTTTCGGGATCCTCGGGAATGTCCGAGCGCATCGAGCGCAGCTGATGCCGATCTTTGTCCTTGCCCTGCGCCGCCCGAAACCTGCTGCTGCGACCGCAACGGTCCTTGCCCCCTGCTTTCTACTCCTGCCACTCGAGGCTCGCGCGCCTCGCCTGTATTTTTACCGCCGTCAATCGACCAAGCGCACGCACGCAGACCAGCGCCAAACAGAAATTGCCTTGCTGCGCTCCGTGTCCCTTTCATGTGTTTGTGCGCTGCGCTCTCCGTCCCACGTGACTGGCCAGAGGAGGATGGCGTCGGACCACCGACGGTTCCTGACGGCGCACGCCTCCGACGGCTGACGGCTGAGGCACGATCAGGTCCGACGGCATCCGGGAGATGAAAGGGAGGCAAAGGGCTGGACGATCTCGATAACGATCGACGACCGGCGTCCGGAGGCAGCGAGAGGATGGCAAGAGGGCGTGGAAAGCAGCAGCAGCCGCGCGGGGAGAGGATAACTTGTCGGCAAATTGGCGGCCGGTGAGGTCGAGGTTGGCCGTCGAAGCCGCCGGAGACCGGAGGATTTGTGCCGGCGTGCTGGTCTTCCTTGCTCGCCCAGAGCCGGTGCCTTGTCTATGTGCGGGGCCCATCTTGGCCTCTGCCGCCGCCGGCGAGATGACCGACCGAAGTGGTACCGGGCCGCTGCCCTACGAATAATGGTGCCGGTGCCCTTTGATGCCGTCGTGCTGTCGTGCCGTCGTGCCGTCGTGCTGTGCCATGCGATGATCCAGCTGCGTACCCCGCATTTCAACGATCTCGGCTCGACCTTTCCCCCCCACGCCAACCGCTTCCTCACTCTCCCTTTGGCATTCGTATGTACACACGTAAGTACTGTACGTACAGAGGCGACGGCGACCGCTCCCCTTGCCTTGCCTGCCTAGCCCGCTCGCTCGTCCCTTGCCCTGCCCCGCCCCGCCTTGCACTCGACACCGGCGATCTCGTCGCAGCCGATTGTCGCACGCGACAAGGGCGGCTACAGCTTGTTGTACGTTGTGCGATACCAGCGCAACGCCCCCCAGGCAAAGCATGGGCCGCTCGCTGTCTTGCCCCAAGCACAGCTGCAGCAGGTGCTTTCCTCGCACAATGGACCTACACAATAGGCTAGTACCCTAGCTACACTCGAACGAAGCACGATGCTCTGTCTCCCCACCCCGGAGGTCGAGGGACAAAGGCTGCGCGTCGATGCGACCGACCTGCGACATCCCGTGACGCTCGCCTCCGTGCGGCCGCGCGGTCACCGCTTGCACTCTCATGAAGCGACCAAGACCGGCCAATGGCTCTCCGAGAGCAGAGGCGGAGGCAGAGGCGCAGAGCACCGATCTCGACCGACCCGCTCGCTCGCTGCAGAGGGCAGCCGGAGGAAGGTACAAAATCTAGCTTGTCAAACGTCCCCTTGACCGTGGCCCCCCTGTAACGCCGTGAGTTTATCCTCCCCCCTCCGTCCGTCTCACGTCTGGCAGCCATGTCGCCCCCTCCTCGTCACCAGGGCTTTGCCTGGGTCGCTCTCCTCTCGCTCGTCGCCACCGCCATCCTCGCCGCCACCACCGCGTCGGCCTTCCCCACCAACTTCGACGCGTCGGCCGACGACGTCCTCGCCGCCCGCGCCGCCGTCGAGCCCGCCGCCCTGTGGGAGCGCGACGACAGCGACAGCAAGCACGGCCAGCACGGCGGCAGTTCGAGCGGCAAGTACGCGCAGTTCAAGAAGCCCGACTACTCGAAGCGCGGCCTGGACAAGCTCTGGGCGCTGCTCGAGGATGCCCGGCCGGTCGAAAAGGCCCACGTCACCACGGTGCAGCCGCGGCCCTCGCAGGACGACATCGCCGTGCCGCCCAGCCCGAGCAACCTCCTCGGCCTGTCGGACGCGTCGCAGTGGCCCGTGACCGACCCGGCGGTCAACAAGGCGCGCAAGTACAAGCTGCCCAAGGACTTCAAGTACGGCGTCGCCTCGGCCGCCTTCCAGGTCGAGGGAGCCGCAAAGGCCGACGGCAAGGGCCCCTCGCAGTGGGACTTTTGCGGCCACGTGACAAAGGGCTGCATCGCCAACAACCAGACGGGCGACGTGACCGACAACCACTACTACAAGTTCAAGGAGGACATGGCGCGCATCGTCAAGATGGGCGTCGACTCCTACTCGTTCTCGTTTGCCTGGTCGCGCATCCTGCCGTTTGGCAACGGGCCCGTCAACCAGCCGGGACTCGAGCACTACGACGAGGTCATCGACGAGGCCATCGACCAGGGCCTCGAGCCCGTGGGGACCCTCTATCACTGGGACTTTCCGCTGTCGCTCGAGTTCCAGTACGGCTCGTGGCGCGACGAGAGGATGGTCGACGACTTTGTCCACTACGCCGCCACGGTGCTCCGGCGGTACGGCGACCGGGTCCGGACGTGGTTCACCTTCAACGAGCCCAACAACGTGTGCGGGCCGTACCTGAGCGGCTTCCCGCTCAACACGACCTACGACGGCGAGCTCGACGGCGCCCAGGCCTACTTTCACTGCGCGCGCAACCTCCTCCGCGCCCACGGCAAGGTCTACCGGCTGTACGAGGAGATGCAGCGCAACGGCACGCTGCCAAAGGGGCAGATGTCGATGAAGAACGACAACTCGATCGCCCTGCCGCACCGGCCGGGCAACGCCGAAGACATCCGCGCCGCCAAGCGCCACGACGCCGTGCTCCTGGGCCTGTGGAGCGACCCGGTGTACAGCACGGGCGAGTGGCCGGCGATCCTGCGCGAGACGATCCCCACGTCGATCCTGCCCGACCTGACCGACGAGGACCGGAAGCTCATCCGGGGCACGGCCGACTTTTACGCCATCGACCTCTACAGCGTCCGCGTCGCGCGCGCCACGCGCGCCCCGGGCGGGCTGGCGGCGTGCGAGCGCAACTCGTCGCACCCGGACTGGCCGCAGTGCGTGTCGAGCCTTCCGCCCGACTACCAGACCATCTCGACCGACGACACCAAGGTGGGCGGGTGGCCGCTGGGCGAGCAGGCCGACGCCAAGGCGCCCTGGCTGTACAACTCGGCGGGCCTCGTGCGCAACTTTCTGCGCCAGATCAAGGAGACGTGGAGCGGCGACATGAAAATCTACCTGAGCGAGGTCGGCTTCGCCGAGCCCCACGAAAACGACAAGCAGTACCTCGAGCAGATCCGCCTCGACTCGGCGCGCACCCGCTACGCCCTCGACCAGCTCGACGAGTACGTCCTCGCCATCCACGAGGACGGCGCCAACCTCGGCGGCGTCTTCTTCTGGTCCATCATGGACAACCTCGAGTGGAACCTCGGCCTCAACACGCGATTTGGTCTCCAGTACGTCAACTACACCTCGCCCGGCCTCGACCGCGAGTACAAGCAGTCGTTCCTGCGCATCCGGGACTACATGAAGCAGAACCGGGAGCAGTAGACGGCGGACACGGCCGGCGATGGCGCCACGCTGTCTGGCCGGGGCGTAGATACGGTAGCTGTGCGAAGCAGATGCACTGCAATGACAGACGTTCGCATCCAGTCTCCTCCGGCGGGTTTTGTCGATCGTGACTGCGCCTATGCTGTGCAGTGGTTCGGGCTGACCGTGAGCGATGCTCCTCGAACTCCACGGAGGTTGTTCCGAGCGCCGTGGACCATTCGGTCAGGGCTGCGAGGCGCCTGTCTCAAGTCGGCCCGCGACGCGAGCTCCGGCCACGGCCATATCACTGTGCAGTGTCGTCGGACCTCGAACGTAGATCCACGGCAGTCTTATTCTGCAGGGCGCACGCGGGCTCGGCGCTACCCCGTTGCGCCCTCTCCATGGTCATCTCACGCCGTCGCCGCACGACGCCCGCACCGCGGCAGGCGCCGAGTGGTCCGACGACCGAGAGCTGAGCCTGCGACTCTGCGACCAGAAGAAATCCCTCGCGGACACATTCGAGCGTGGCGTCGAGGGTAAGCAGACGGGTATCTTGATATCAACGGACCGGCATCTACTACTGAAACTGCAAGCGAAGCGAGAGATGCAGCACCGTCAAGAAGGCCCGTCGTCATCGTATCTACCCTTCAATCCCTTGTCCTTGTCGTCGATGGCGTCTGCCCGATCGGAAACGGGCGGTCCGCGAGGAGCGAGACCCACCCCGTTGCCTCCCGTGGCAGAGAGGCCGCCTTCATCCATCCAGATCCTTTCGTGGGGTCGTCGAGCGCCGCCCTGGCTCCCCTCCACCCCAGCGACGGGCGGGCGACGCGACGCGACGCGAAGCGACGACATCTATCCGCGGTAGGCCGAGACGATCTGGGCCATGCGGCTCGTCTGGCCAGCGGTGAACTGGTACATGCAGGCGTCGTCCGAGTAGTCGAGGAAGTTGTGGATCGAGTCGACGCCGGCCACGTTGGGGCACGAGTCCTGGCTCGACGGGCAGCCCGACGTAGCAGTCGACTGGGCGGGCGTGTCCGACACGCTGTCGCCCGATCCCGTGCATCCTCCCTGGAAGACATGGTAGAGACCAAGCCAGTGACCAACCTCGTGGGTAAGGGTGCGTCCCTGGTTGAAGGGAGCATAGGACGACCCAGGATAAGTTTGATAGGCGATGACGACGCCGTCGTTCTTGGGGGCTCCCGAGTAGCTCCAGGGGAAGGTGGCGTAGCCCAGCAGGCCCGAAGAGCCAAAGCTCACGGTGTACACGTTGAGCGTGAGGGCGTTACCGTCGCGGAGGCTGTTCTTCATCTGGGCCTCGGCGGTGGTTCCCTGGTCGACGCCGGTGAACCAGGACTTGTTGGTGACCGTCTCGGAGGCCGAGAGGTAGAAGGAGAAGCCGGTGCTGGCGTCTGCGACGCGTCACGGGTTGGTGTGAGTGGAGGCGCGGTGGTGGTGGCGGCGGGCGCGAAGGCGGGGGCGGAGGTGGGGGCGCGGGTGGGGGTCGGCTGTCAGCGGGCTGTCAAATTCCGCCGGGCTAGGTGGCCGAAGTGGGGGGGAGGGGAGGGGTGGCGCTCGGATCGGGCGAGCGGGCCGACGAACGGCGGGGGGACACTCACAGTCCTTGTTGAGGACGTCGATCGAGGCCTGGACCTGCGAGGCGGTGAGCTTGCCGCTGGTGCCGTCGGTGATCGTGTGCCACGAGACGGGGATCTGCTTGGCGGCGGCGGCGACGCGGATGTTGGCGATGCGCTCCTGGACCTTCTTCTCGTGCTCCTCGTGCTTCTCGTGGGTACCGCAGCCACGCTTGGGGATGGTGCCGGCGAGGGCGGCGGGGACCGCGACCAGGGCCGAGAGGACAAAGGCGATGTTGAACTGCATCTTGGCTGTTGTACGTGGGGCGCGGGTGGTTTCTATTGGGGGTCTGGCGAGAGACGGAGCGATGGGCAAGATGATGGACGAGAGGCAGACAAGGAAAGGTGGAAGGGATGATGGGGCGAGGGATGTGATGAGCCGCACGGAGGGTTGCTCTTTAACCTTTTGCGGATAGGGGGGGTGCTCTCTGAGACACGACTCTAGCGCTGGTCGAGCTAGGGTGCGGGAGCTTGTGCTGTGCCTCGAGCCCAACCTTGGCAGAGCTCGCGCAGCAGAGGTGCTGTATCGGTAGCGTAGGGCACCGTGTGTCGTGTGCCAGAGCGAGGGGTGGAAGAACCGACGATTCACTCGCCATCGCCGAGCGAGCGGACGAGCGGCGGCAAAAGGGCCTGGCATACCGTACCGGTAGCATCGACGCTGGACCCGAGGACCCTCGCGCGCGCACAGGGCAACGCTAGGTTCGGCAATGCAACGCTACCGGACAGGGGAAGATGACAGGAAGGCTGGGACGGAAGGCCTTCTTCCGTAAGGTGAGAGTGAGAGGTGGCACCGCCCTCGGCCGGTGGCCAGGGCGGACTTGACCGGCGGGACTCGAGGCGAGGCGAGGTCAGGTCTTGGAAGCATGCTGCTTCTGCCTGGGACGACGAGACACGACGACGATGCTCCTCGGTCGTGAGGCCGAGCGCACACTGTAAGCAAAGCAGGCAGTGGGAAAACGACGCTAGCGTCCTCGCTTACGACGCGCGGACGGTCGGTCGGTCCAGAAGGCAGGCCTGGCAGGGCCACCAGAGGGTGCCGAGGAGAGGGTCGAGAGCGGCCGGTGGCAAAACGTGGCGTTTCCCTTGCCCTGTTCGGGTAGAGCCCCACTGTCCGCCATTCTTCTCACCCTTCGCAGCCGGCTCACAGGCACACAGAGCAACACCGAGATGGGCCACGAGATGGCATACAGAAGATCGTTACCGGTCGATAGCCCAGAGGCAGCACGGACATGGCCGCGCCGCATTGGGGCCCGAGACCAGGGGCCGGTTAATCTGCTGTGCTCGGGCTGGCTACAGTACCTCGTCGAGACGCCGGCTTGGCTCTGCGCGCCCTCTTGATAAGATTGTCCCGTCGTTGATCGGTTGGCCTGCGAGGCGGAGCACAGCATATATAGCATAGCATGACATGACCCGGCATGGCATTGCAGTCCGTTGCGCAGCCAGTCTTAGTGTTGAGCGCGGGGGCCGACATCGACCCTTATCTGGCATCATTCGCGGCCAGTGTGGCGCGGCCCTTGTCGAATCAGGGAGCGAGGATTGTATGGGCGATGGCGATCCGACGGTTGGCAGATGGACGACCGACCAATCGCGTTGGGGCGATGGGAGCTCGCCAAGGGTACAACTAACCTTGCGAAGATTGCAACAATGGCGGGCCGACCTGCGCGGATGCGGCGGAAGGGGGCTCTCCGTGAATTGGCATCAGAGAGAGACGCCGAGGCTCCGGGACAGCGAGCCAGGGTCGGAAAGAAGCGGGCACCCGCAGCGACGGCCGTCGAGAAGAAGAACAGCGTAGCGGAGCAAAGGCAGGGCTGGGGATAAGCGAGCCTCGGGCGCCTGTCAAGCGACGAAGAAATCAGAGCTCCGCTCGCACCGAGAGCACCCGTGGGGGGTCTGCGGCCTTCTACAGCGTCCACCACCAGACGGCCACCTATGTACGTACAACGTCCCGCCGCAAGCCAAGCACGCAGACGATGACAGGCTAGCTGTGTGCAGTGCCATCTCACGATGCACACACTGGACAACGAATTAACGACGTGCGTACACCTGGCTCGACGCAAAGAAGTCAGCGGGCCCGGGGATCGCCCGACCGAAGCAGCAATCCGTCGGCGGCGTTGCGAGGCTCGGCGAGGACGCTCGCGCGTGGCCAGCATGGTCTCTGATCACTTTGTTGCGATGGGACAAGGTCGCACAAGCTCAACTTCCCACGACGACCTCGTTTCGATGGTCGGGCAGCGACGAGGAACAAGGATGATGGTCGTCCGGCAGCGGAAATGACCGCCTGGCGTGGGCAGCCGCGATCGTCAAGAGGAGTAGAACACTAGTGCGGATCAAGGTCATGCGGGCATCGCAGGTTGCTCCACGGGCTCGTCGCTCCGGGAACCTGTCCGGCATCAACGATATGGCGTTATCGCAGACGAGCGTGACCCCAGAGAGTCCCGAGCGAGTGGATTGCCCGTGGGGCAGGTGCGGTACGGTCCTGGCAGGTACTGTGCGGGGCCCTTGCTGCCTCGTCCAGGTCATGTCTTGAGGAGGGGCAGTGCGGGGCGTGGGTGATTGACCGGGTGGCGAGGCAGTGAGTGTGGTGAGCGGGCATGGAGGCAAGGGGGCGGGCGTTGAACTCTACCAGATCCACGCCCGCTACGCCGCCGCCTTTCCTGCAAAGATTGCCAGCCACGCCGAGCCCGACCTGCTGTTCGTCATGGGTACTTTTTGCGTACCGATTGTCTGGATGCATTGCTGTTGGTGCCAGGATCTTCTCCGAGGTGGACGACAGTAGTCAGCAGTTCGCACGCCATCTGTGAGCCTTCCTCGGCCGGCCATCGTCGGCGTGGATCGTTGCTGGCCTCCTTCTCAGCCTCTCACCAACTGCTTCGTGTGGCGAGTGCGCGCACACGCATCGAAGCTCGGCCCGCGATTGCTGCCACTGTGGGTTTCAGGGGAGGCCGGTGAGATACCGGTAGCAAGAGAATAGCGGCGACCTTTGGGTGCACGGCGGCTACGGGAGTCGCGCTAGGGACGTTGCTGTGCAACGCTTGCACGGACCAGCTGGCGAGTAAGCGACTCGATGACGGTCGGCGATTGAAAGGGATGGGGCCCGCTGCGCTTCTCGACGGCTTAGCGTGTCGGTCGACACTGGTCCGACGTCGGGTGGCGCGCTGGTGGGTGGGTGAGTTCGAGATTTGATCGTCGCGAAAAAGAAGAAGCAAGCAGAAGCAAGCAGCAAGCAAGCAAGCAAGAAGCAAGACGACACGAGCCCAAGCCCTCGTCGAGGCGGCCTGTCGCGGCCTGGCCTCTCGCCGCAGCTGCGGGTGCACCGAAGCGCGAGGCTTGGCGCATAGAGGCGCAAGCATGCATGCATGCATGCTGCACCAGGCAGCTGCGCACATCCCCGCCCAGCTTCGGCTTCTGCCCCGGCCGGCGCGACTTCCGGTGCTTGGACCATCGTCCGTCCGTCCGTCGTAGCCTCGTCGGGACGATCCGTCGATTGCGATCGTGACCGCGAGCTCGACACCGGGACGAAATCGCTCGTCCGTCTGCCTCGTCCTACCGGCAGCTTCCGCTCGCACATGCAGACAGATGATTGCCCGGATCCCCCTTGCCTGCCTGCTCCAGGTTGCTTGCCTCTGTCTCGACCGACCTGCAGCGCATCGACGCCCTCCGAAACTCTATCCTCGCCCAGGTCCGCACCGTCGCACCGCTGATAACACACAGGAACACCGCCAATCGACGACGTGACCGTGCGTGCGACGACTCGACCGTGCGTGCGTGTGTGCGAGGTGCAAAGGCAGGGACAGGAGGACCCCAGATACCGCCGGCAACCGAGCGCAACGGTCTCACCATCCGGTGGCCACGAGAGCGGCGCGTGCCTCGCACGCACCTAGAGTAGCCGCCCTCGTCTCGTCTCGGCCCGGTTCCGCCAATCTCTTCTCGCGCGCCCCGTCCGACGACGTGAACGTCAGCTCCAGACCTCTTGCTGGGCAGAAGTGGACCTCCTCGCTGCCCTCGCAGGACTCGCAGCGGCTATGAGGCGAAAAGGTGTGGAAATTGCAAGGAAATAACAGGCAGAAAAAATACCTCGGCCAGAGCACCAATGAGACAGGGTGGACGCAACTGGCATGTCGAGGTTGTTGCTTCAAGGCTGGACTGCTTCATGACTGGACATCAACCTGAAGCTGGTAGGGGCTGCCAACCTGCATAGAAGCAAGCAGACCCTTGCAATCAACAACCGGTTCCTTCTGCCAAAAGTTGGTGGATCATGCAAGAAGGATGGAACTCTTCTTGTTGCAGTCCTTGTTGTGGTCCTTGATGCTGTGCTGGAGCCTTGCAAGCTGGGTGGTGTCTGTCAGGAAGTTGTTGATCTCCAGATCAGTACTATCAGGCCATCCATCATCTGCTGATGAAGATTGAATGTGCAACAGTGTTGATGATCTGCTTCTCCCTGTTCACTGATAGAGGTCCCTATTGCTCCTTGCCTGCTTCCCAGGAGACAAGAGCTTGGTCCGCTCTGCCAAGATGCGGAGGATGTGCTGCCTGCATGTCTGCAGGGCAGTCCTTGCTGAGACCAGCTTGGACATAGCCAGCTCACAAAGACGTTTGGCCTTGCCCTCTGCCATGGAGTTGAACACCTTGTTGGCCTTGAGATGTTGCTGATTGAACTTGTGATTCTCAAAGACCTTGATGACTGTGCGCACCTCAACTTCCTTTGAAGCGTCATCGAATGTGTCCTTGAGCTGTCTGTAGGCCTGGTCCTTGGCACAGTCTGCCTCAAGTTGCTCTGCTGGCCTGTTCTTGCTGTGGCAGTGGACGTGACCCTTGCTCTGGACAGGAGGGACACCACTGGCACTCTCCTCTGCCAGCGCCTGTACCCCTGGACCATTTGCCCTCTGTTCGTAGTAGGTCAAGCGCGCAAGAATGTTGATGATCTCCTGGTCCCTGTCCTCACACAGCTTGCCCGCCCAAAGCGCAATGGTGTTGAAGTTCAAGATGCCGCCAGTGTAGTTCCTGTGCAGAGTGTCCTTGGCCTGCTCATGGTTGAGCAGCAGGCGTGCAACCTCTGCAGAGTATGCCGTAGCAAACTGGGTGGCAAAGTCGTGGCAAATCATATGAAACGATCCAAACTTGAGGCCAATGTTGACAGCATGCCTCAGGAGTGCAGAGCAGGCAGCCTTGACAGACAGGAACTTGTCTGTCATCTCAAGGTGATCCTCGGCCAGGGCGCAAAAGTGGGGTTCCTTGCCAACACCTCTGAACTCTGCAGCCTTTGAAGCCAGGAGCTCTCGGACAGATTTGATCTGCCTCCCGTGCTTCCCCTTCTCAAAGAGAGCTCCTCTGTGGACAAGGATGTTGAGGAGGGTTGGGGTGGCCTCCAGGGCAACATTGGTCGGCAGACACAGAGGGGGGATCCTTGGGTGGATGGATTGCCTGTTGGTTCCTGCTGATTGGAACCCCTTTAGGTGGTGCACATGCAGAACAAGCAGGTAGGTGCCAGGACCCTCCTGCCTGAACTCCACGTCCTCCTGGAGCATGCCGAACCTCTCGTCGTCACGGGGATCGGTGCTGCAGAGGGAGCCGATCCTCAGTCCTGTGGCGAATACCAGTTGCACCAGGGCCATCCTCTGCAGGATCGCCTCGGTAGCCCCTCCGCTGACGAGGGATCTCCTCATGTCCTGGAGAATCAGGCTGACCCTCAGTCTGTTGCAGCAATCATCATCATCAGTATTGTCTTGCAGCTACAGGGTTGAAGTCAAACAAGCAGCATGATCATGCAGTTTTTGTTTCAGGCTCAGAAGCTTGTCCACCAGACTCATTGCAGCAAGCAGCACAGACCCTCATACAGCAGCCGCCATGCACAGGACATCAGCGACCTTCCAAGCCTTGAAGGGGCAGACATGTCATCGATTGAGCAATGCAGCAGTCTACATGGCACGACAAGAGTGACAATGTCTGTGATTTACGCTGCGGTCGAAGCGCCCGACCATTGCAGCAGAGCGCCACAGCCCTGCTGGAAAGAGAGTGCCAATCGATGCCGGGAGGGCAGGGGGACAGCCTATGCTCGCCCTGTCGAGCAGGCACCGCAATGTCACAGGTTGAGGGAGACGCGGGCCCATGTCATCGACACGGACGCTCAGATCACCACGGGTCGATACCGACGAGCTCGGCGGGCGTGTGCGAAGTGGCCGCCTCGCTCTGGAGCCAAGGGGGCATGTCAAAGTCGCGGCCACGCTTGCCGTCCGACCACCATGACGGGGCGAGGCGGAACTTCTTCTTGGCGAGCCTGATGCTCGGCTGCGGCACATCGAGGAGCGTGTAGGTCGCCTTGCGCTTCGCGCTCGCGTCCAAGAGGCCGCCGAGAATGACACGGCGGGCCTCGAGGTTCGTCGACATGATCGTCTCAGTGCGCAGCAGGTCGCCGAGCGTCGAATCCACGTCAAAGATGGCCGCTGCGTCGAGGCCGCGCGGGTCTTGCTGAGCGCGGACGTCGTTCTTGAGCTTGGTGGACTGGTCGGTCAGCTGCGCGTGCACCCATCGGACGTGTCCCAGGTTCGCTTCGGCCTGGTCCAGACGGGCCGAGAGGATCCTGATCGTCCTCGCGCTCATCTCCCCGTCGACGAGAGCGTCGAACTTGTTCAGGATATCGGCGCACCGAGCCAGATGCTTCTGACCGAGCCGGGTGTAGGTACCGTATAGGAAGCCGTCGTCCGCATCGGCCTGTAGCCGCCTCATCCTCGACAGAAGCTGACTGTCCTCGCGCCACTCGACTCGGCCGTAGTCGTAGAGCCTGTACGCCCAGATACGGGCCTGGGCCTCGTCGTACGCGTTGTTGTGCAGGACCAGCTTGACGGTCATGGCAGAGCCGGGCCTCGGAGCTTCGATGGGACGCTCGAGTCTCTCGAAGGCGTTGCGCTCGCCTTGGCTGTACCGTTCGGCGGTCGAAGACGACGACGGGCCGCCGTGCAGCAGGCCGCTGCGTCCCGCCGAGCCTTGTCCAATGACGTCGGCGAGTTCTCCCGCAGCGTGTTCGAAAGCGTTCCCAGCGCCAGCACCCCACTCCCCGTACGAAGGGAATGGGCCGGCAGCGGAGACTGAGGCGATAAGCCCGCCGGGGCCAAGGAAGGCTAGGGCGACGGCGACGACCGTGGCAGGCCAGATCGAAGAGAGCTTCATCTTGCAGGCCTTGATCGACGGACAGTGCTTCACGAGGTGCTTTCGGTGCGTCGGTGGTGGTGATATAGCGGTTCGTGCAAGGCGTAGGATGGCCACGAATTGGCGAGAAAGGTGAGAGGAGGAGGCTACACATGTACATGCACGCTCTCTCGACCGCGCGCCTTTTATGTGCGCGCCGTCCTTGGCCGAGCCTCACGTCGCTGTTTGCACATGACGTCGTTGACTAGGCGTCGTCGGAGCAATCTCGGAGCGGACGAGAAGGACAAAGACATCACCTACATGCATGCTGGTTTGCCCCGAGCTTCGGAGCGTTGCATGCTGGGCATTGTCCCTGACCCGTTTATTCTCACTTCGGAGGATAGCAAAGTCCCACATTCACGCCGCGCCGACAACGCGTAGGGACTCGTGCGTGGCTGATGAAGCCGGCGCGGCACAAAGCAACTCGGTGAACGAGTCGTCCTTATGCGCTGACCGATCGCCGCCCGCCGGCTTCAGATCCAGATCCATATGGTGGAGACGGCCGGGGCGGATCAAGGTGCGAGCAAGTAGATGCATGGTCGGTACGGACAGGCCGGGTGACTTTAACGCGAATCATCTCGGAGCGTCCCACACGTGCGGCGTGAATCAACAATCACGGCAGCGCCGTCGGAGAGACCCGTCTCGCCCCGGCGCCGGCGATGCGGTGGGAAGCCTTCATCTCGAGCGCGACCGGTCGTGGCGGGTGCGATCGCGCTCGGAAAGGCTGCCGTAGCCAGCGAGGCTTAGGGAGCCACCGTGAGCTGGCCTCCCCTTCTCGTCGCTGCAAGACATAGAGCAAGGCCGTCGGGGACGAAGACGGATGTGGGTGAAGGGTATATAAGCATGCTCGACGGCGCCCACAAAAGGGCTCTTACACGTTTCCCGTATGCTACACCTCTTCCTATTCATCCATCGAGCCCGCTCCTGCTCTCCAGATTCTCCATCTTGCCGTGCACCGACTCTATAGGGGCTCTGGAGCACACCTTTGAGGTCTTGCTCAGTGCCTTCCACCATTCTCGCACGCTTCGCCACCGCCGCCGAGCACAAGCACCCTTACCCACGGCGTCCAGCCGCGGCGTCCCGTCCCATGCGACTTCCATGAAGGTCGGTCCGACCCGCGTCAGCCTCGCCACGCTGGCACTGTCGTTGCTCTTCTCCATCGTCCAAGGTGGCCTCGACGCCTCGGCTCGCGGCTCGCGGCTTCGATGAGTTCGGCAACTGGATCGAGGGCGCCGCACGCACTGCATCAGAGGAGCTCCAAGAACCGCTCGCCCATTCCGCTTCCTCTTCGCCGATGCACGAAGGACCTTCTTCGCCGATGCAAAAAGAACCCTCTTCGCCGCCGGAGCGACCGGAACGGCGCCAAGGGGTCCGACCTTCTCTGTAGATGCCATCTTAGAGACCGAGCGGTACGAGCGACTCTTGTCGGAACTGGCAGAGTGGAAGGCGTACACGTACGAGCCGACCTTTGATCGTCCGGAGGACAAGGAAAGACGTGCTTCCGATGGCATCTTTGACGCTCTGCGACGCTTCCAGTGGGGTCAGCAGCCGGAGTCGAATCCCTTCCCCTTCCCGCCCGCCACGTACGCTCGCATCGCGCAGATGCACCTCTCGCGTTGCAACGACCTTATCCGCACCCAGGACCGCTTCATCAACTGGGGTCTGACTGCGGAAGAGATCGAGGCGCAGATCAACGTGCACCGCGACGCGATGGTCGAGCTCGGACATGCCCAACCCGCCCACGATCATCTTCAGGCGAATTACTACCGGCTGAGCAGCTGGATTCATGGCTGGACAGATGCCAGTCTCCTCGACCTCGAGGCGGTCCTGAAGCAGCTGGAACGCGGTATCACGACGTTGGGAGCTCAGCTCGAGGCCCGCCGAGTGCTGCTCCGCGAAGCGTTCGGGGAGACCGTGTCCTACGTCCGGGAGCACCATCCAGACACGCCTGCCGATCACGTCTACATGCTCCAGGAAATCGATCAGCGCTATGTCGCAAAGGCACAGCATTACGCCCGCAACGGCCCCTACCTCCTCGAACTGGATCTGAGGCCGTACGTCATCGACCCGCCTCCCGTGCTGGCCCAGCTCAAAGCCGCTTACCCATCGCTCAATGATGCGGAGCTTGCCAACGTCGATCCGTGGAGGTTCTGGGACAGCGACACGTTGACAGCACCCGGACGCAACCCGCCTGCATCGGAGAGTAGCCACGGCCCTCGCCTGCCGCGCCGTCGTGGACCCCGCCAGTAACGTCGACGATGAGCCAAGAAGCGGCATGGCTGTGGGCACAAGCTGGACTCGCGCCGTGGCGCCCTCACGTTGTCGCCTCGCCGACTGTCGTTTCTGTCGACACGGTCTCTGCTCTGCACGCTCCCCCGCCCCCTCGCTCCCCTCGCAAGCTGCCTCACGTTCGTTGTCCGCCTCTCGTCGTTTCGCTCGCTCGCTCCTCGTACCGCGATTCGTTCCGTCCTGTCATAGCAGAAGCACTGCCCTTGTCGAAGGCCGCTGAGCTTTCAAAATTCTAGAACCGGCGCCTCGAACGCTTGCCAGGCAGGCGTACACACGTGATCCGATCAGAAGGACCTCTCGGTGCTGTCGGCGCCCATGGCCTGGGTGGCGGAGCTGCCGGAGCTGACCGTCTGGAGCATGCGGTCGACGTAGGCGGCGCCGCTCCACTTTTGGTGGGTGAGGACGTCGCAGCCGAGCTCCTTCTCCTTGCGCTGCACGAGCTCGACGTAGGCGAGCATGCCGTCGTCCTTGAAGCGCTTCGACAGCTCCCACGTCATGGCGCCCGTCGAGTGCAGGCCCGCCAGCGAGATGAGCTGGAAGACGAACCCGCTCTTGGCCAGGTCCCACACAAAGTTCTTGAGGTCCTGGTCTGCTCGGTCGAACGAGGGTCCAAAGGCAAGAGGGCGAGCGTGTCAGCGGGGGAGGAGTAACACCTCCGGGCAGGGCACGCATCGCGACGCCGACTCACCAGAGAAGCCGTGGGCGCTCCAGTTGAAGCTGGGGCTGAGGTTGTAGACGAGCCACTTGCCGGGGAAGTCTTCGTGGATCCTGCCGGCGAAGCCCTGCGCCTGCTTGAGGTCCGGCGTCTTGGTCTCGAGCCAGAGCATGTCTGCAAAGGGGGCAAACACCTTGACGCGCTTGACGGCCGCCTCGATGCCGCCCTTGAAGTGGTAGTAGCCCTCCTTTGTCCGCGGGGCGTCCCAGCACCACGTCGGCACGCCCGAGGCGCCAAAGACGGCCTCGGCAGCGTGCCTCGCCTCGTAGTTCGACACGCCGCCGGCCACCTTCTTCCTGTACTCCTCGATGCCCGACTTGTTCGAGGCGTTGTGCCGCTCGACGGCTGGGCAGAGGGCGGAGAGGTAGCATGGCGTCCTGTCAGCGCTCGCCAGCCTACGATGCCCACGTCTCTCTGGAACCGCTCGGCTCACCTTCGTTGAACGTCAGCAGCTCGCACTTGTCCATCCACTCCTTTTCCGCTGCGTCGACCTGCGGGCCCATTGCGCCCTCGGCCTCCTTCTGCGCGAGGGTCTCTGCGAGGCTCTTTGTGCCGGCGGGCAGGTTGTAGGCGCCCTTGATGAACTCGTGGTCGCGGGCGTCGATGCTCGACGAGATGAGCTTGGCCGACTCGGAGTCGGTGCGGGCAATGACGAGGTTCGAGGCGCCCAGGATGTCCCAGGCGAAGCGGGTCGAGGTGAGGCGGTTGACGTGCTCCGAGGTGGGGACGAGGACCTTGCCGGCCTGGTGGCCGCACTTTTTCCCGCCGTGCAGCTGGTCCTCGAGGTGGATGGCGGCGGCGCCGTGCTCGGCAAAGAGCTTGGCCAGCTTGAAGACGGTGCTCAGGCCGCCGTGGCCGGTGTCGGCATCGGCGACAATGGGGCGGAGGTAGTCGACCCAGGGCGTGTTGGCCTTCTGCTCGGGCGTGAGCTGGCAGCGCTCGTCCCAGTGCTTTCGGTCGTGGTGCTGCTGGGCCTTGAAGAGGCGCTGGACCTGGTTGGGGACGGTGGTGTAAGGGTAGTCTGCGAGGTCCGGGCCGACCTCGTTGTTGCAGGTGGTGAGGACGGAGCTGGCGGCCCAGCCCGAGACGTAGACGACCTCCTGGTTGTAGGCCATCTGCGACTGCTGGACGGGGTCGATGGCGCCCATGGTGTGCACGGGGGTGCCCTGTGCTGCGTGGTGGGAGAGGGTGGCGAAGAGCTTGTCGGCCATGAGGGACGAGGCCGGGGGCTGGACGGGGAGGGAGCCACGCTTGGAGACGACGGCCTCTGGGCCATAGGGGCGCTTGATGCCCTTGAAGCGCGGGCTGTCGAACCACTGCTGCACCTGGTCGCATGCCGCCTTGAAGTCGGCCGCCTCCTCTTGGGCGCTGGGGGCCCGCGTGCGCAGGGGCTGCGGGGGCGGGTTGAGCGAGGTTGCGGCGGTGGACGACGAGGACGAGCTCATCCTGACTGCGCCGAGCGACGAGGCTGCTGTGCGGGGGAGGAGGGCGGCGGTGGCTGCTCGAGATGCGAGCCTCGTTGCCACGGCGGACGACTGAGGGACGACGGCGACACGGGGACTGAGCCTGGCGGCGATACGACGCGAGGCCATGCTGTGAGAGTGGCGAGCAGGAGGAGGAGGAGGAGGAGAGAAGGCCGCTGGCGGTGGTGGTGGTGCGCTGCGAGCTAAAAGGGCGAGGCGAAACCAAGGATGCGCAACTGCTCTTGTAGGTGTGCGAGTGTGGCAATCTACGGGCTTATGGTGGTGGTGATGGAGTCGAGGAAAGCAAGGCGGTCGGGATGTCCGGGGGTAAGAGGGGGCACCGCCGAGAAGAAAGCTCCAAGGCGGGGGAAAGGGTTGGGGGCCCAGGCGCGGCAGCCGCCCTGAACCGCGCCCGCGTGAAATGGCCAGAGGCAGGCGGGCAGGCCCCTCCTGGCAGCCTTGGCCCGCCGGGCGAGGCGGCGACTGGGCGACCCTCGATTGTGGAGAAAGGCGCCGAGTTATCGGAGGCGACGGCTTTGCGGTCGGAGAGGCCGGCCGGCCGGCGCTCCCGGCGTCCATCGGCAGCCTCCGGTCGGCAGCTCCCGATGGGCGGTGCAACGGTGCCACGCCCCATCGGCTCGGCCGGGTGGGGGCGTGGCAGCTGGCCAGGCCTGCCTCCACCCGTCTTCTCTTTGCTGGCCGCGGGAAGAAATCCGCTCGGCTTGGCTTGAGGCCTTGCACCTCTCTCGCTGTTGGTCTCGCTGGGTACGTTGCCGCTACCTTCCTCGACCCTATCCCGCCCTGCCTGGCCAGTCACGACCCCGTCCTTTGGCCCTTTGCCTTGGCTTCGGCCTGCCAGCCCGCCTTTGCCTCAACTCCCCGCCCATCTTCACAGCCACCCTCATCGCCACCGCCATCACCATGGCGCCGCGCAAAAAGAACCCCGCCATCAAGTCGAGCGGATCCACATCCTCCAAGGCCGCCCCGCTCCCAGACTGGGTGAAAGGAAACGCCCCCAAACCACCACCCTCCTACACGAAAGCAGGAAGGGAGGCAGCTGCCGCAGCAGCCGCTGCAAAGTCGACGTCGACACCACCGCCAGGGAAAACCAGCGCCGCCGCGTCCTCATCCACACCACCCACCGCTGCCGCCCCTGCAGATGCCAAACCCACCAGCGCAGGCCCGGCTTCCTCGGCGGCCCAACAGCAGCCACGCGAGATGCTCTTCCCGCCGGGCAGCAAGACGCCGCTCAACATGCTCTACGAGCGCATCCAGAAGCTGCCGGGCTGGGAAAAGCCCATCGTCGAACCGCGCCGCCACCCCAACGGCTACTCGTGCGTCGTCACCTTGAAAAAGGCCAACAAGCAAGACGCCTCCAACCCGCACACCGTACGCTTCGAGCCAAAGGAGCCCGGCCTCCGGCTCGACTGCCAGTCCAGCCTCGAGGCAAAGCACTGGGGCGCGACCTACGCCCTCTTCCGCATCTTCAACAACCTCTCCCTCAACCGCGCGCTGCCGCCCGGCCCGCGCGAGTACTGGCAGCAGCTCGAGGCCTACAAGAAGCAGGCACCCAGCCACCAGGACTGGATGTGGGAGGCCGATCCCTTCGACGCACAGATCAAGCGCGAGGCTGAAAAAGCCAAAAAGGAGCGGGAGCGCGAGGCGGCGCAGCAGGCCGCCGCATCCGGGCGCAACGAAATCATCAACGGCAAGCTCAACGGAACCGGCCGATCCCTCAGCAAGGCGTGGCAGGAGGCAAAGGAGGTGCGCATGGGTAGCAGCCTACGCGAGAAGGTCGAGAACACGATACGCAGGCTCATGACAGTCTTCCCCGAGGCCTGCACGGCCCCCCTCAACCTCGACGACGACGAAAGCCCGGCGGAAGGGCCATCGCGCGGCGGCGAGAGTGCAAAGCCCATCGCCGTCGATGTGGCTGGCCTCGAGAGGGAGCTGGTCTCGCTCGGCTTCCGACCGGGTCACGCCCGCAGCGCAGCCAGCTGGCTCGCATCGGCACGCAAGGCCATCGCCACCGCCGCCGCGTCGTCCTCGGCGCTCCCAGACCCGTTGCTGGCGTCGGCAGCATCGCTGGGCGACCGCGAGGCCGCCATCGAGTACCTGATGCTCTATACGCCCGAGGACGACCTGCCGACCAGCTTCAAACCGAGCAAGGCTTCGGAGAGCTTCATCACGTCCGCCTCGGCAGGTTCTGGCAGTGAAGGCCTCGCCATCACCTGGGCCATCGATCGGCTCGTCAAGGTCGGCGGCTACCCGAGAGAGGCCGTCGAGCGCGTCTTCCGGGCCATCCTGTCGGCAGAGAAGACCTCGTCGCAGCAGCTGCCCCGCCAGGCACGCGAAGGTCTCGCGCTTGATATGCTCAACCGCCAGATGGCAGGCTGGGATCAGGCGGATGTCGAGCCGCAATGGAGCTCCAGCAGCGCGCTCCGACATGCTCTCGAAGACTTCCCAGCCCTCTCTCACGACGACCAGGCCGAGATCCAGAGCAAGAGGGACGACGAGCGCATGGCAGTCGAAGCCGTGCTAGGCCCGGAAAGGATCGCGGAGCTGGCAGACAACGAGAGGACAGCGCCCGGCGAGTACGACATCTTCATCGCCGGGCCGAAGACGCACGTCGGGGGCAAGGAAGACGTTCGGCTGCGGATCAAAACTCACCCGCACGATGCCTATCCGCGGCCTTTCGAGGCGGGCAGCGGCCGCTTGATAGCCCTGCCGAGCTTTTTTGTGGCCTCCTCGACGCTGCCGTCCTATCTCCGGCTGGCCTTGACGCTCCACCTCCTAGAGGGCATCAAGGACACCGCGCAGCGTCCCGACTGGCAGGAGATGGTCATCTCCGGAGAAGGTGGCGTCGTGCTCGCCCTCGTCGAGGAGCTCGAGGTCGCTTGGATGGCCACGGTCGACGACCCGCCGCTCCTGAGCAAGGTGATGCAGCATCTCGTACCGTCAAAGTCGGTCCAGGCCTCTGCGGTGGCCACTCCCGACTCGTCGCGGCCCGGCACGCCGTCGGCCAAGCAGTCTGCCCGAGGAGCGCGTGGCGGTCCGGGCGCCAACGGCAAGAGGGGAGGGCGGGCGCTTCAGAGGTCTCCCGAGGTCGATGAGCGACTCAAGGACCAGCAGAAGAGGCTGCACGAGTCGGCCGTCTTTGCCAAGATGGGCGCCGTGCGGCGCTCGCTGCCCGCCCACGCCGCCATGGGCGACGTGCTGTCGATGATCTCTCGCAACCGGGTCATCATCATTGCCGGGGAGACGGGATGTGGCAAGACGACGCAGGTGCCGCAGTTTATCCTCGACGAGGCCATCTCGAGCGGCCAGGGCAGCGAGTGCAACATTGTCGTGACCCAGCCGCGCAGGGTCAGCGCCATGGGCGTTGCGGCCAGGGTGGCCGTGGAGCGGGGCGAGGATCTTGGCGGCAAGGCGAGCAGCGTGGCGCCCGACTCGCTCGTCGGCTATGCGATCCGTGGCGAGAGGCGGGCGAGCAAGAACTGCCGGCTGCTCTTCAGCACCACCGGTGTCCTGCTGCGAAGGCTGGGCGCCGGCGGAGACAAGGACCTCTCGGGCATCTCGCACGTCATCGTCGACGAGGTGCACGAACGCAGCGTCGACTCGGACTTTTTGCTCCTCGAGCTTCGCGAGGTGCTCAAGCGCAACCCCAAGATCAAGGTGGTGCTGATGAGTGCCACAATCAACCAAGAGACGTTCGCCGACTACTTTGCCGGCGCACCCTGCCTCGAGATCCCTGGACGCACCTTCCCCGTCACGGACCACTACCTCGAGGACATTGTGCGCGACAGCGGCTTCCGACCTTCTCCCGCCGACTCGCGGTCTTTCCGCCAGCAGGAGGGCAAGCGCGGCGAGCAGGCCGGCTCCGCCCTGCGCAGCCAGCTCGAGGACCAGGGCATGGACGAGGACCACATCCAGGCGCTCGAGGCGCTGAGCCGGTCGGAGAGGATCAACTACGACCTGGTCGGCGCGACGGCCAGGTACGTCATCGAGCGAGCCGAGAAGCAAGAGGCCGGCGGTCAGGTCGAAAGGGGCGTCGGAGGGGCCATCCTGGTCTTTTGCCCCGGTGTGGGCGAGATCCGCCAGGCGATGGACTCGATCCGGTCCGCGGTCCGAGGAGCCGTCGACATCATGCCGCTGCACGCCAACCTGTCGCCGGACGAGCAGCGGCGCGTCTTCCTGCCGCCGCGCGCCGGGCACCGCAAAATTGTTGTGTCGACCAACGTGGCCGAGACGTCGATCACGATCCCAGACATTTCGTACGTGATCGACACGGGCCGTGTCAAGGAGACGCGGTTCGAGCCAGAGTCGAGCCTGACGCGCCTGGTCGAGTGCTGGGCGTCGCGCGCGGCGTGCCGCCAGCGTCGTGGCCGAGCCGGACGTGTGCGCGCGGGCGAGTGCTTCCGGCTGTACACGAGACTGACCGAGGAGTGCAAGATGGCGCCGCAGCAGACGCCCGAGATGCGACGGGTGCCGCTCGAGAGCCTGTTCCTCGAGGTCAAGTCGATGCGCGAGGACGAGGACGTCAAGCACTACCTCGGCAAGGCCATCGATCCGCCGAGCGTGGCGTCGATGGACACGGCGCTCAAGACGCTCATCGAGGTGGGCGCGCTGCAGGCCGGCGGTGGGTTCAAGAGCCGGCTGACGCCGCTGGGACGCCACCTGGCGCAGCTGCCGCTCGACCTGCGCCTGGGCAAGCTGCTCATCCTGGGCACCGTGTTTGGCTGCCTTGGTCCGATGCTGACGGTGGCGAGCGTCATGTCGTGCAAGCCGCTGTTCAATGCGCCGTTTGACAAGCGAGCCGAGATGAGCAAGGCGCGTGCGGCGTTTGCCATGGATGGCTGCAAGAGCGACCTGCTCACCGACGCCAACGCCTGGCACCAGTGGAACCAGATGCGGATCGACAAGAGGCCCAACAGCGAGATGCGCGCCTTTTGCGAAGATGTGAGTGCGGCCAGGGCGAGCGGAGGGGGGCGCAAGCAAGGCTTGCCTCTCGCTTACGGCGCTGGCACAGACTGGCTGACCTCCATCTTCCGCTCCCGCCCCGCTGCTGCAGAACTTCCTGTCGCCCTCTACGCTGCGAGACATCCTGGCGACGCGGCACGACCTGCTCTCGCACCTGCAGGAGCTCAACTTTGTCGCCGCCGACTACAAGGCCAACGCGCCCTCGAGCGCCGCGGTGCACGCACACGACGCGCACTCGACCAACGGCGGGATGCTGCGGTCGCTCATCATGGCGGGGCTGTGGCCGTCGGTGGTGCGGATCGCGCTGCCATCGGCCAAGTTTGACCAAGGGTCGAGTGGCACGATCCAGCGCGACGCCGAGGCCAAGGCGGTCAAGTACTTTGACCCGGCCCAGGGCCGCGTGTTCCTCTTCCCCGGCAGCACGCTGTTTGAGGCCAACAGCTTTGCGTCGAGCTACCTCGCCGTGTTCAAGAGGAGCGCCACGGATGGCGGCGGTGGCAAGGGGCCGAGCGCGGCGGGCGGCAAGGTGTACCTGCGGGATGCGACCGAGTCGCCGGTGTACGCGCTGCTGCTGTTCGGCGGCCGCCTCAAGGTGCACCACTACGCCGGGGGCATCTCGATTGGGTCGGTGGATGGACCGGGCGACGCCGAGGGGTTCGTCAAGCTGCGGGCCAATGCGCGGATCGGGGTGCTGTGCGCGCAGCTGCGGCGGCTGGTGGACGCCATCCTGGCCGAGTCGGTCGAGAATCCGGGCAAGGTGCTCGAGGGCGAGGCCAAGGAGGTGGTCGAGTGTATCGTCGCCCTCGTCGAGAGGGACGGCATCTAGATGGCGGCGACCTCACAATCGATGATAGAAGAGGCAGCGCAGCAAACAGCCCAACCTCACACAGCAGCCAGGGGAAGCACGTGTGGAGGCTTCCACTTTTGGCAGCCGCGGCCCGAAGGCGTTTTTGGCGGCGCAGGACAGAGCGGCGTACATGCAGTAAGCTGTGTCCCCCGGACACGGTTGCTCTATCTTGACTACTCGCTCCCCGCCTGGTTTCATGGCCTCGTCCAGTCCAACGGGCTCACTCCTCCTTCTCTTTGACCGTCCACCACCACGCCGACATCGCTCGCTCGCTCCACGTCGCCCGGCAATCCATATCCCCTCGGCCATGGCTGATACGTGACCCCTCTGCCCCCGTCGGACTGGCCTCCGCCTCGTCCCTCGATCTGACCTTGTCCCCTCGTCCCCTCGTCCCCTCGCCGCCTCGCCAAACATGTCGGTCCCTGCGCCGTCTTCGCCCTCGATGGCCCCCGCCGCCGCCTCGAGCCTGCGCGTGCGCAAGACGCCCATCTTTTCGGGCGTTGTCGCCCCGCTCGCCATCGTCCTAGAGGTGCCCGGACTCACGTCCAAGTGGTACGCCGACATCGACCCGGACGGAATCGTCCTCCGCTACATCGACAACCCGCCCATCCTCACCGTCGGCCTCGGCATCTCGCTCGCCGCCGCCGTCATCGCAAACGTTGCCATCATCCTCCGCTTCCTCGAGGTGCTCCGCCCAAAGGCCAGCATCTCCATCGCCATTGTCGGCTTCACCCTCCACGACGTCATCAACCTCGTCGCCCTCGCCGTCTTTGGCGGCATCTACGGCGGAAAGGACGACGGCCTCTCGCTCAGCGCATCCTACTGGATGGTGTGCGCATCGACGGCCGCGTCGCTCCTCGTCACCCTCAGCCTCGTCGTCGACTACCTCCGCACAAACGACTACGGCCACGCCGGCTCCGGCCTCACCCAGAAGCAAAAGGGCCTCGTCCTCGCCGTCATGGCCCTCCTCCTCTACCTCTCCCTCGGCAGCCTCATGTTTGCGTTCCTCGTCGGCATCGATTTCATCTCGGCCCTCTACTTTTCCACCGCCACCGTCCTCACCGTCGGCTTCGGCGACGTCGTCCCCGCCAGCGTCGGCGCAAAGGTCGCCGTCATCCTCTACGCCCCCGCGGGCATCGTCCTCGTCGCCCTCGTCGTGTCGTCGGCGCGCAACACGATCCTCGAGAGCTTCCACTCGAGCTTCCAGCAGCGCCTCGCCCAGCACCGCCAGCGCGTCGTCGAGCGCAGGGCCGCCAGGAGGGACAGCAAGGTCGCCGCCAAGACGTTGCGCCACACCCTCTCCCGCATCCGGTCGCGCAACATCTCCGCCTCGCCCTCGGCGGCGGCAACGACCAACGGCAGCCTCACCGCCGACCCCACCCGACTGCCGCAGGACGACGCATTGACCAGGAGCGCCAAGACCGCCACTCTGACAGCGCAGAGCGACCTCGCCGGCATCGACCGCGCTCACGACGGCAGCCGCTCCGACTCGAGCCACTCGCGCGACCCGCTGCTGGCAGAGGTGCGGCGCATGCAGCGCGAGCTCGACGAGCACCGGCAGGACATGGACGCAAACTACCGCGCGCTCGAGGAGCGCAGCCTGCACGAGGCGCGCACCGACGCCGCCACCAAGATCGGCCTTGCGTTTGCCATCTTTGTCTCGTTCTGGCTCGTCGGCGCCCTCGCCTTTCACTATACCGAGGGATGGTCGTACTTCCACGCCTTCTGGTTCTGCTTCATCGCAATGATCACGATTGGTTACGGCGACTATAGCCCGCACACCCAGATCGGGAGGGGTGTCTTTGTCATGTGGGGCCTGCTGGGCGTCGCGGTCCTCACCATCCTGCTCGCCGTCGTCCAGGTGCGTTTGTCGTTTGTCGCGGCGGCAGCGTCGCTGTTCCAGAAGGCGGTGCGAAGATCATCACAGTCTGACACGATCCCTTCCCTCTCACCCCCGCACCCCCTCTCTCGTCGCAGGACGCCTTCGGCAGCCTGCTCCAGGGCGTCTTGACAAAGTCGACTGCGCGCCTGTTTGACCGCAAGTCGGCAAGAGGGCATGTAGAGGCGCGGGGACACCACGGTTCGCGCCGAGGACGACGGCACCACTCGCACCGCACGCAGTCGGATCCAGGCCCACCCTCGCCAACAGACCGGCCCGGGGCGCTGACCCACGAAAAGTCGAGCTCGTCGCCCGTCTGGTCGCACCAGGGCCCGACGCTGCACCGGCACAAGCGGCGGCGCAAACGTCATCGCGACGCCGACGACGATCTCGAGCCCGGCTTCGCGCTCGACCTCGAGTCGAACGCCCCAGCAGCGGTGGCGGCGACGGCGGCGCTGAACCTCCAGACCTTTGCCTTTCCCCTCCGCTCGTCGTCAAAGACGGCGAAGGGCGTTGTGAATGCAATCGAAAGTTCGCCGCAGGCTCAAGAAGACGATAGTGGCAGCGGACGACCGGCAATCCAGCCGCTGACCCTCGCCCTCGCCCGTGCAGCGATGGCGTTCCACGCCCAGAGCCACGCGATACTGCAAAAGGAGCAGGAAACGATCCTCCACTCCCTCTCAGCCTTTCCGGAACTGCGAAGCGCGTTGCGCCGACAGCGACGCGGCAGTAGCAGCACGACCACTGGCGGCGGCGGCGGCAATGTCAAGGTCGAGTCAGACTCGGACTGGATCGGCGACGATCGGACGGCAACGACGACGGGAGCGTGGACAAAGGACACGGTGGACGAGGCCATGGACCTGCTTTCGCGCGGCGGCGACGAGGAGAATGTCGCGGCCATCCGGATGGTCTTCGCTCATCTGCGCTTGCAAGGTCCGTCTCGGGATCACTGCGGGCGCCTTCCGGTTCCAATGTGTTGGATCGCTGACCCTTTCTGCCTCTCTCCCTGTCTCTCCTCTCGCGCACCCGGTCGTTTCCTCTTCGACGACGACGACGACGACGACGACGACCTCCCTCGCTCGCAGATACGCTGATGGACCTCTTGGAGCAAATCGGATACGTACACCAAACCGCCGCCTCTTCCGACGAACCGGCGTGATTATGGACTCCTTCCCCCGCTCCAGTCGAGATGGACTCGACGTCGTTGCTTCCGTTTCCCCCGTTGTACCATAGAGAACCGCATCGTGCGTGTCTTTTAGATCGCATCGAAGATGCTCCGGGTCCAATCGATGCAGACGCCCACCCCTGGCTCTTGCCAGGACTTCCACCACGTATGTCTGCCGCTGCGCCGCTGCTGCGTTGCGGGTTGCGGGGACTCGGGTGTTGAGGCAGGCTTGTTGCAGCACGGGATCGCCCGCTGCGGCTGCCCTGCTGCTTGCGGCCGCTGCTGCTGCAGGCTGTGTGCATCAGTCCGCTATAAACCTTGTGCGCGCTTCAATGAGCGGGTGCACGCTTCAATGAGCTGGTGCGCGCTTCAATGAGTTGATGTCGAATCGAGGCTGATGAGCCAAATGTCGCTCAAGCAAGGTGGGGCTGTGAGAATGGAATGAAGAGATGCACCCTGGGCTTTGGACCTGCTCCTGCTCCTGCCATCATCAGTGCTGCAGCAAGAGGTTCTGCAACCACAAGGAAACATCAGTCTAGACTTGATCCTGTGTCTGTGTGTGAACAGTGGTGGTAGCCCACAACACCTGTTGTGTCATGACATGGTTCTTGCACCTGCTGAGATCATGCAGACGAGCAGATGTGGCTTCAAGACCTTTGTCTCTGCAGACATCAAGGAGGACCTCCTCAAGCTCCTGGAGAACACCACCCACAAGACAAGGGTGGTCATTGCTGAGTTGACGCTCCCTTTGGACTTGGTCAACGCAGCTCTTGACACTGGAGCTTGGACCTGCTTCTCCTGGTCCTACGACAAGGATGCCTTGCAGGTCATCAAGGAAGGTGACGGCGCCTTCGACTTCATGAGGACCCGCCTCTCCAGGATGAGGATTCCAGGCCCTGGCAGTTCTGCGCCCTCTTCAAGAAGGACGCGATGCTATTTGTGGTGCCAACAGTGGCTATGGGGTCAGCCTTCTACCACCCCTTGGCCAACCTTGCCATCAGCACTGAGTTCTCCATCTCAGTGCTGATGGCCCTGTTCCTGGCCAGGAGCCCCCCCACGGACGGTGGCTACAAGTTGCCCACAAACATGAGCTCAGTGCTGGTGCATGGGAAGGAGGCTGTGAGGGACTGCTGGACAGCCTTCAGCACCATCAGCCTCTTGACCTTGAAGGTTGATGGAGTGCTTGCCAACCCTGATGTCTGGCACAAGCTGCCCTCGTGGAAGGCATGGCTCACCTGGTTCAATGGGAAGGATGGCTTCACCAGGGAGGGTGATGAGAAGATGATCTGCCTCCCTTATTGCCATGATGGCAAGGAGGAGGTGGTCCACATCAGGCACCACAACCTTGGCAAGGTGCTCTACTGGCCATGCGGGCAGCTAGCCCTTGTTGCCCATCACGCCGACAACACCCCCAGCCCAGTGCCTTCCCTGTTCCTCATTGGCCGCACTGAGGAGGGGGCGACAAGCTTTCAGGAGCTGTACCAGTGGAGCCCAGAGCAGCTGCACAGTCTGGACAGAGGCCTGCTCTTTGCGCTGTTCATCCACGAGGGCTTCTGCACCCAGCAAGAGGTCGACACCTTCCAAACAAGCATCAACAGGGAGATCAAGAACCAGGACCTCAACAAGCAACCTGGCCTTGACTTGCTAGCCCCCCCAAAGAGGGTGATCACCTTCACCGTCAACATCAAGGAGAGCAAAGGCCTCATTGCCAAGCAGCTGTGCCTATACATCAAGCCGTCAGATGCCCTTGCCGAGGATGCTGCCATCAAGAAGCCAGAGGCTGGCCTTTGGCTCACCACCGACATCGCTAATGGGGAAGTCCCTCCAGCCGGCTGCACCAGGACAGGCTTCCTCACCTTCACGAGCAGGGCGGTCGGGCTCTTCCTCCTTCCCCGGGGCCACACAGTCAGCAACTCAACAACGGTCACACAGGCATGCAGTGATGGCAAGCTGCTCCTGGAGCTGTCGTTGCTGCTGCTACGGTACAAGAAGGGCACAGCTGGGGGATGGTGGCACTTCCTTGGTGCTCTCCTGGAGAAGGAGGATGTGCCAGAGTGGGTGAGGGCAAGACTGGACGAGGTGGATGGCATGGCGGAGGAGCTGGCTACCTACAGCAAGAAGATGAGGAACAAGGGCATCAACAAACTGGGCCTTGACAAGATGGCTGCTGCTACAGAGGCTGGGGGGATCAAGAGGAGGCTCAGCAAGATGAAAAAGAGGAACTTGGTGGAGCTGATGACATGGGAAGCAGGACACTGCCCACCACCTGCTTGTTGTGCCATGTTTGAGATCTGTAAGGGGCTGGGCTTTGGTTGAGCTCACACGAGCTGTCTGATGAAGAAGGGCTGTACTCCAACATTCAGCAGCATTGAGGTGTGGGCATTGCAAGAATCAATGTGGGTGTGGTACAAGACTTCTTGACATGTGGCCATGCTTGAGTAGATGGGATGGCAATGATCTTCTGCAGCCAAAACCTGTGCCTTGAGCTCTTTGATGTACTTGTCTTTGCATCTGGGCAGACTCTCTTGAACATCACATCTGGTGCAGATGATGCTGAGCTCCAAGCATGAACCAACAGATCTGTCAACATGCTGCTTCAGCCATGCAAGCGATGCTGTTGTTGCTGGTCTGGGCTGGTACATTGCCTGCTTGACAAGTCTCTACATTGGTGCTAATGTGTCCATCAAACAGGTCATCTCAAACTCCTAGGTGCATGTGCTTCATGAAAGACTGCAGCAGCGTCTTGCCAGTCTGGGCTTCATTGGTCATTGGTGGCCTACAGTCTACAAGGGAAGGAGAAGGCCGACCGGGGAGTGTCACAGACGGGTTGGAGGAGGCCAGCCCAATCGGGCCGCGCCACGATCAACGCGAAACCCGTGCACGAGCCGCGCGGAAAAACGAGACGAAGAAAAAAAATCCGAGACACACGCGCCTGCTACCTCGCTCGTTGCTCCACACCGCGCTTCTGTCCGCCATCCACGTCTCGTCTCCCGACCACCACCACCGCTGTCGCCGCCAGAAAACAACACCATCGCCATCGCCATCACCATCATCATCGCCATCACCATCACCATCGCCACTGCCAAGTGACTGCAATGCCGACGAAAGGTGAGTCACGGTAGCACGGTCGCACGGTCGCCCGGTCGCATCAGTCCTACGCCCCGCCTCACGCAGTTCGCCAACCTGATGCACCACTCGCACATAGATTCCGTCGAGCGTCCCATCAAGGGACCCAAGCCGGCGTCGAAGTCGTCGAAGCCGGCGTCAAAGTCGTCGAAGCCGACCTCGAAGACGGCGAAGCCGGCCTCCTCGTCCAAGGCAGCCGGAATGGACAAGCCGAGCTCGGCATCGAAGAAGAATGCCGCCTCTACCGCCGGCAACGAAGAGGCGATCGATAAGGAGACGCTTCCCGCAGAGGAGGCAGCAAAGCCAGAGCCAGAGCATGCCAGGACAAGCGAAGGAGCCCCCGCCGAGAAGAAGCGAGGCGGGAAGCGTGCCCATCAAGACCTGTCCGACGTCGAGATGGACGACGCCGCGACACAGCTCCCCGACATCAAGTCGGCCCGCCGCGGTGCCGGCGCGAGGGGTCGAGGGCGAGCCTCCCTGGAGCCTTCGAGCGACGTCGACGAGGGCAGGCCCGTGGCCAAGCGCCCACGACGACGCACGACGCCCCTCGTCGGCCCGCTCAATGCGCTCCCGCTGCCCATCGATCCGGTCCACGCCTCGGACGTCAGTGAGGGCATCGCTGTCCAGGTATCCCACGGGGCGCTTCCGACCACCAACAGAGGCGACGTTCTCCTCCGGAAGCTCTTCGTGTGGGGCTCGGGCGACTGCGGGCAGCTTGGCCTGGGTCCTACGGATGCAGCGAATCCCAACAAGCTCACTAAAGCGAAGCCGTTCGGATCGAAGGTCATCTCGCAGATGATCGACGCCGGCGCCCTCGGACACGGCGGCGTCGAGGTGATTGCTGCGGGCGGCATGCACTCCGTCCTCATCGATGCAAAAGGCAGCATGCTCACCACCGGATCCGACGACTACGGCACTCTCGGACGCAAGCACAGGGGCCCGGCCGACGAAGCCGAGGACGCATACTACTCGTTCGCCCCGGTCGAGGGCATCTCGCCCACCGGCCGCGGCATCGTGCCCGGCGACGACGGCGGTGCGGAGGGCGACGTGGAGCGCTATCGCGCGACGCGAGTCGCATCGGGGGACGCGGTTAGCGTCTCACTCGACGACCGCGGACGCCTGCGCAGCTGGGGCCACTTCAAGGACGGCGAGGGTGCCGTCTGCTTCTCCGACTCGGACGCCGACGGCTGCAACCGCGAGCAGTGGCACCCGATCCCGGTGCCGGGCACCGAGCACGTGCAGTTTGCCCAGGTCGCCTGCGGCGAGAATCATGTGCTGGCGCTCACGCTCGATGGGCAAGTCCTGTCCTGGGGCGTCAACGTGTGCTCCCAGCTGGGCCGCGCCGCCAACCTCAGGAAGGCTTCCACCAAGTTTACGAAGCGCGAAGCGCCCAAGGACTGCCTCCTGACGCCCGCGCCAATCCCCGGCCTTAGCGACTGCAAAGCGATCTTCGCCGGCCTGTCCAACGGCTTCGCCGTGACCAAGTCCGGCAAGATCTTGGCATGGGGTCTCAACACCAAGGGCCAGACTGGAACTGGCCTCAAGGCGCCCAAGGTCGCCACGCCGCACGCCATCGCCGCGCTCAGCCCTGCGCGCCACGACGGCGCCCAAGTGGTGTCGATCGTCAGCGGCAACTTCCACACCGCCTTCCTCCTCTCGAACGGAGAGGTGTACACGTGCGGCGACAGCGACGAGGGCAAGCTGGGCCTGCCGAGCTCGCACCCGGCGCTCAAGGACGCGACGGCATCGCAGCCGGTCGTGGTGCGCGAGCCGCAGCTCGTCGCCTTCCCGGATCCGCCGGCGTGGGCCCCTGAATCGGCCAAGACGGCGGACGGCAAGACCAAGATCGTGGCGCTCTCTGCCGGTATGCGGTTCACGTTGGCCCTGGCCGCCGACGGCACTCTGTACTCGTGGGGCACCACATCGGATGACGCGATGGGCCAGCCGGCGGAGGAAGAGGGAGGCGACCAGAGCAAGGACACGCCGACGGCCGTTGCAATGCCCGGCCAGGCCGGCGCGTGGCGCATCATGGCGGCGGCGACGGCGGGCCAGCACTCGCTGGCGCTGGCCGTCAAGCCGCCGCAGGAGGACGACTAGGGGGCGGGCGCTCCGGATTCAGTGTTTCGCTATACTGTCCCAAGAAATTCAATCTCATTGTCCCAAAGTTGGTTGGCCGTTCAGGACTGAGCTGTCCTGCCAGCCCAGCGTAGCGTGGCGTGCGTGCACTTAGCTTGCAGAATGAGCTCGGACCAATTGCCTAAAAGTGAGGCTGGAGCCCGGACCAAGTGTCAGAAAAGGGGATCGGGGCCAGAGGAAGCCTGGACTCCTGGACTCCCTCCACCACCAACACACCACTCGTCTTCTGCCTCTCTTGCCCTCGCGAGCCCGACCGTCGTACTAGCACCGCACTGCATGGCTGCCGCTGCCGCGCCGGCTGGTCCGGCAACGTCGACCTTTGGCCTCGAACCCAACGGCGCCCAACACGACCGGGCAGATCCACCGGAAATCGAGGACCGGCAGACGCACAGCGAGGATGCGACACCGCACGATCTCGTCGATCCCGCCACGCTGACGACGCGCTCCTCGGTGCTGCAGGCACTGGCGGAGCTCTCAACCTACTCGGCCTCGCTCGAGGACGAGCTGGTGTCGCTGTTCGAAGAGTCGCTGCCCGTCATCGACGAGGCCAAGCGCAACGTGGCCAGCGTGGCGCCCCAGGTCGAGCTGGTCAAAGAGGAGGCCTACGTGCTCGATCGCCGCCTCCAGGAGTCTGCGAGCGTCGCGAAACGCATCAGCGAGCGCGTTCGCCTGCTCGACGAGGAGCGCAAGAGGATCGCTCTCGCCACGGAATGGGCTGTCAAGGTGGCCGAGCTCAAGGTGCGACCAGCTCTGACGGGTCGGGGCGGCTCTTCTCTTCGCTGCGATCCGCCGTCTGACTCTGCGGTCATTCCCTTCTCCTCCTTTGACATCACAGGATGCCCTGCTCTCCCTCGCGGCCGCCGTCGAACGACGAGACTGGGACCAGGCGACGACGCACTGCATCAAGGCCATGTCGATCGATCCGGCAATCACATCCTCCAAGTTCGCCGCAGCCGTCATCGTGAGTCGGCTGCGCCTGGCCGCTCGGCCGTGTGAGCCTGGTGGGCCTGCTGACCGCCCCGAGCGCCTCTTGCCTGCTTCTCGCGCCGTCCACTGTAGCCCACTGCGGAGCTGCCCGAGGCTCCGGATGCCACGCTGCTGGCGCTGCGGCAGGCGATGCTGTCGGCCTTCACCGAGTCTTTCCGTCGCGCCACCGAGTCCAAGGATCAGGCCGAGGCGAGCCGCTTCTTCAAGCTGTTCCCGCAGGTGGGCTGGAAGCAGGAGGGCCTCGACGTCTACAGCTCCTTTGCAAAGACCATGGTCAGGGAGCGCGGAAGGGCCATTGGAGAGAGCCTCGGCAGTGGCAAAGGTGAGCCTCGCATCCTGAGGCACAGCTTCGCCCTTGCCAGCGTCGAGATCTCTTGACCGCTGACGTCGCTGACGTCGATTCATCCTCCTGCTCTCCGTCCGAGCGCCTGCAGCGCAATCACCCACCTACTTCGCGCTGCTGCTGACCGGCCTGTTTGAGCACCTCGCCACTCTGATCGACATGCACCAACCTGTCGTCGACCGCCACTATGGGCAGGGCAACTTCGGCCACGGCGTCATGCCAGGGTTGCAGGACGAGTGCGATCGCCTCGGGCTGCGCGTCCTCGATGCCTGGCACGAGGACCGCGGGATCAAGCGCAAGCTGGACGAGGTCAACAGCCACCGCTTCGTTGGCGGGGCGGCGGCGGCGGCGGCGGCCAAGTCGCCACCTCCGGCGTTCCGTCCTGCGTTCGGGGTGCCCGGCCGCACCGCCAGCCCGGCCGGAGGGCGAACAGCATCGAGCTCCATCGACGACCCCTCTGGACCCGACGGGAGGGAGATTGACCGCATTCTCAACGAGCTGGCCGCGATAGGGTCAAGATGGGGCCTATACCGGCGCTTCCTCCAGGATCGGCTACAGGTGAGGATGTGGTGCGACGACGCCGCCTTCAGCTGTGGTACCTCGCGCTGACCTGAAGCCTGCCTCGGCCGCCAACAGGTCCCTGACGGCAACCATCATGACGGCCGGCAAAGGAGCCTGGCAGAAGAGAGGAAGGCACAGGCCTCTGAGCCGCTCAAGGACTTTCGCCGCCCGTCCGTCTCGTCGCCGCGACTTTCGCTCGACGGAGCGCCGACAGGTGCCGGACAAGCCGATAGAGACAGCTTCGAGGCCGTCGAGATGCGCGACATTGCGGCCGAGTCGCAGCTGGGCAAGCAGGTCGACGAGGCACTGGCGACGGTCTATACGACCATGGAGACGTGGTACCTGCGCAACAGCCTGGAAAAGGTGGGTGGCCCCGACGCCCCTGTCTGGCCCCGCCATGCCTGCTGACCATGACCTCGTCAATGCTTCCTGACCGACGCCAGGCTTTCCGCATCGACCAGCCGGACCTGCAGGCGCGGCCGTACACCTCGTCGATCCTCGACGACGCCTTCTACGTGCTACGGACTGTGCTCGGCCGCGTGCTGTCGACGGCCTCGCTGCGCACCGTCAGCGCCATGTTCCGCACGGTCCGCAGCGTGGTCGAGGAGGACTTTATCGAGGCCATCGTGCGCAAGATGGAGAATACGTGGCGAAGCGTCAGCGGCAGCATGGCGGTCGACGGTCCGCGCAAGGAGGCGGCGACGAGGGAGATGCGGACCGTGTTTGTCGTGAGTGTCGGATGCCGTCCCCCTGAACTGCGTGCGTTGGACGCTGCGTGCGTCGGACGGCATGACCTGGCATGCTGACCTTGGCCGGCATGTGACTCGCTCGCTTCCTCGCTGCTGCGGCGCGATGCCGACGAGCAGACGTACCTCAACGTGCTCGACATCTCGGCGCAGTACATGGATCGCGTGCTGGGCGATGTCGGCAACGAGCAGAGCCTGGCGCGCATCTATGGCGGCGACGAGCTCGAGCAGACGCTCGCCATTGTCCACAGCCTCGGCTCGCTCGTCAACCGACTCAAGTCTGGACTGCGAGTGAGTGCAGTCATCACTTTGGGCGTCGCTTGACATTCTTGCTGCGGGCGCTGACCTCGGACGCCTTTCTTCTGCCGCCGTGCAGACCGAGATTGACCAGCTGTTTACACAGATCACGCGCCCACGCCTCCGCGCCATTCTGACGGAGGCGTACCGCGACACGAGCTATGTTCTGGACGACGAAGGGTACGCCGACGCCGAGGACCGGGACCTGGTGAGGCGACGCTTCATCAAGGGGTGGGAGCACGTCTTCCACGCTTTCAAGGTGCGTCCCCCTGTGCTCGACCTCTGAACCACATCGAAGGGGAAGGGTAGTCGCCGTCGTCGACCGTGTCTTGTGCTGACCGCTCCTTGCAACGTGGCCGGGGAATGACGACCACCAGGGCATCTTTACCGAGTCCAACCACAATACCTACGTCAACATGGCCCTCGATGCGCTGCTCAAGCCGTGGGAAGGCATGGTGATGGGCATGCGCTTCTCAGAGGTGAGTGGTCGGCGGGCCACGTTGGACTTTGACCTCTCCTTGTTTGGCACTCGCCTGCCCTTGCTGCGATGAGCTGCGTCGCTGACGCACCGCACCGCACACCTTTCCTGGCCCGGCTCGCCACCACCGACCGACTGAGCAGCTGGGAGCGCTGCGATTCGACAAGGACATCCGCGGCATCTCGACCTTCCTCGCGTCGCAGACCAGCCTGCCCGTGCGCGAAAAGTTTACGAGGCTGCAGCAGATCTCCTACGTCATCAACCTGGACGCTGTGAGTGCACCGCGGCGCGCGTTGCAAAGCAGAGAAAGGGATAGCGGGGGACGGAGGCGCGGACCATGTCGCGAGCAACGTGTCTGACGTTCTCCCCCTTTTCACTCTGGTCTCCACCCTGCCCGATCCCGACCCATCGAATCGACAGACGGAAGACGAGGGAGACGTCTACCAGAATGCCGTGTCGAGCGGCATTTCGTGGCGCCTGTCTGCGGCCGAGGTCAAGAGCATTCAGGCTCTTCGACTCTGAGCGTCTGACCTCGTGCGCGCCATCGAGGCCTCGAAAGACTACGCAGGCATTCGTGGACGGGCAGCATCCTGTGTCATTCGAGCGTTCAAGGGAAAAGGGTCGCGGGAAGGCCGATCGACCGTCACTGCTCCCACTTTTTGGCCACCATGCCCTCGGGCGGGCGCGTCTCGACTCTGCCCTGGCCGACCTTGGACCAGTCGGTGCTGAGCGTGGTGCCGCCCGACTCCTGGTAGCTCTTGAGCATGGCGCGCTTGGTGTCCTCGTCGGCGTCGGCGTAGAGCTTCTGGAAAAACTTGTTGATGTCGGCCTCGCCCTCTGCGCCGGCTCCTGCGCCGCCCTTTGCTTCGTCGTCGTCGTCGTCGTCGAGCTTGAGCGTGTCCCACTTTGAACGCGGACGCGTGGGTGCGGCGGTGGTGGTGGCGGCGGGGACGGATGCAGAGGGTGCGGCCGAAGAGGATGCGGCCGCTGCAATGTACGAGGGCGCTGCGGGACGTTGGTTGTTGCAGAGAAGATGTCGAATGACGGGAGGAGGTTTGCATCACGGCGTCAGCGTGCCGTCTTACGTCGCTGGTGCGGCGTGCGACTCACTGGTCCCGGCACCGACGCTGGAGCTGTCGGCCTCGAGCTTGCGCCACTGGACGCCGGGGGCCGCCTTGTCGAGCACGACGTCGATCTTGGTCGAGTAGACCTTGTACGACGACGCCTCCTTGTTTACGCGGGAAAAGAGCGGGTCGATGACGAGAGCCGTCTCTGCGCCCGTGGCGGGCAGGTTGACCGAGACGCTCAGCTGTTTTCAGGCGAGGGGGGCGACAGAGGGAGCGTCAGGGCGAGGTGCGGCCTGCATTTGCCTTTGGCTTCAGGACAGCGAATGGCAGGGTGGACAAGGGACGCACTGAGCTGTCTCCGATGTTGACTTGTACGTCGTCCTCATTCGCCCCCTTGATAAAGATGGACACGGTGACCGAGGTGTCGGTCTGGTAGAAGTCGAAGCTGGGTGGCGGGCGCGGCGTGGGTTTTGATTGAGGTGTGGGAGAGTGGGCGGATCGGCGAGTCAGACGAGCGTTGGTGGAGGCGAAGGTGTGTACCGGCCTGCATGCTCACCGTGGTTTGGACATGGCGATGGCGGTGCACGGCTGGCTGTGGATGGACAGGTGAGAGACGAGGTGGCGAGGTGGCGAGGTGGTGGGCGGTGGTTGAGGAGGGCAAAGCGCAACGAGGGGCGGCCAGAGCCGGCTGGCAGGCCAGGGGAAAAGAAGCGCACAGGGCCCCCTGGACAAAGTGGAGGCAAGTTGGCCGTGCACGGACGCGCCGCCGAAGACGCTCGAAGGGTCAAAGGCAAAGGCAGCGACGGCCCGCCACCATTCTCATTCCTCTGCTCCACCATCAACAATTCTACCGCGCGCACAATCCGCCACGCACTTTGCCTCGCCTTGCCTCGCCTTGCCTCTCTCGACGCGACGCTGTCTCCATGTCCGACAAGCGCGCAGTCGATGGTCCCGCGCCGGTCGTCGATGGCACCCACCCTCGCAGCCCAGGCGCCCCTCTGCCATGGCTCACGTCCTGGGAGCGCGACCTCCTCGCGCTCAGCACCGCCTTCAAGCTCCTCCTCTGGCCCTGCTACCACTCGACCGACTTCGAGGTCCACCGCAACTGGCTCGCCATCACACACTCGCTCCCCATCCGCCACTGGTATTTCGACTCGACCTCGCAGTGGACCCTCGACTACCCGCCCTTTTTCGCCTACTTTTCCTGGCTCCTCGCGCAGCCCGCTCCCCTCGTCGACCCGCTCATCGTCAGCCTGCACGAGGGCATCGACCACGCAGCATGGCCCGCAAAGGCCTACATGAGGGCCACCGTGCTCATCACCGAGCTCGTCCTCGGCGCCGCCCTCGTAGCCCACGCCCGCTTCGGATCGCAGCGCGCCCTCAAGTCGGGCCATGGCGACGTGCCCACGACGTCGTCTTCTGCGCCAGCCACGGCCACGGCCACGGCCACGACCGACGTCGGCAGCTCCATCCCGAAGTCCCCGTCCGCAATCGCCACCGACGACACGGCTACGCTGCTGGCCGCCAGCCTGTTCCTGCACCCGGGCCTCGTCATCATCGACCACATCCACTTCCAGTACAACGGCTTCCTCTTTGGCGTGCTCCTCTGGTCGCTCTGGGCCGCGCGCGAGGACAGGCCCTTGCTCTGCGCATTCCTCTTTTCGTCGCTCCTCAATCTCAAGCACATCTACATCTACATCGCGCCCCCCTTTGTCGTGTACCTGCTGCGCGCCTACATTTACCCACCCGGCAGCCAGCCCTCGGACCTGCCTAAGTCGCTCGAGCGCCTCATCATCCTCGGCGCCGTCACGCTCGCACCCTTCCTGCTGAGCCTCGTGCCACTCGCCATCGATGGCGCCCGTGGCGAGGCCGGGGCGACGGGCACCCTCTCGCAGATGGTCTCGAGGCTCTTTCCCTTTAGTCGCGGCCTGATCCACGCCTACTGGGCGCCCAACGCGTGGGCGCTGTGGGCCTTTGCCGACCGCGCCCTGGTCAAGCTCTTCCAGCGCAGACCGGAGCTGATTGGCTTCCTGCCGCATCGCCTGGCCACCAAGTTCCACGCGTCGGCGGCCGCCGAGGGCCTCGCGTCGGCCTCTCGCGGCCTGGTGGGCCACGTCTCGTTTGCGGTCCTGCCAGACATCCTCCCGCCCACTTGCTTCCTCCTCACCCTCACCTGCATGCTCGTCTACCTCTTCAAGCTGTGGCAGGCGCCCACCTACCGCTCCTTTCTCTCGGCCATCAGCCTCTGCGGCTTCGCCTCGTTCCTCTTTGGCTGGCACGTCCACGAAAAGGCCATCATGCTCGTGCTGGTCCCCTACACGTTCCTCGCCGCCGACGACTACGCCCACTTCCGCACCTTTGTCATCCTCAGCACCGCGGGCATCGTCTCGCTCTTCCCGCTCCTCTACGAGGCCGCAGAGACGCCCATCAAGCTCGGCTTCACGCTGCTCTGGTCGCTCGTCGTCTTTGGCTCGCTCTCGAAGCGCGTCTACCGGCCCATCACCTCGAACCTCGGCATCGCCGTCCACCCCCTCGAGACGGCCTACCTGTACGGCTTCCTGCTGCTCCAGCTGTACGTCTCGGTGCTCCACCCTCTGGTGTTTCCCGCCCCGCCATCCGCAGCCGTGTCGCTGCAGCCGTCGCCAGCATCCGCGGCGATCCCCGCACGTGCATCGCTGTCGCCGGCTCCCAGCATCGCGCCTCCCATCGCCACCGATGCTGCGACGCCAATAGCCGCTGGGAGCCACGAGTCGATCTCAGATGCGGCGCCAGAAGTTTCGGTCATCGACACGATCCTGCCGACGGCCGAGGCGGCAGCAGCAGATCCCGAACCCACCGCCTCTTCTTCTCCCCAGGACATCGAAGTGGACCAGGCGCAAGCGCCAGCGACGCCGGCCGAGGCCGTCGACGGCCTCGACGACTTTTCTCTGCCGGATACGGAACCGATAGCGGCGGCAGGATCGAATCTCGCGTCTTCCTCTGACCTGCTGCAGTCCGCAGCGTCGACAGCCGTCGCCGCATCCCCGACCGCTGCCGTCGCCGCCACTGCCGATGCTTCCATTCCGGCCGCCGCCCCCCCGTCGACACCACCGCCCGTCGCGGACCCCTCGTCGTCGGCCGCCATGGAGTTCCTGCCGCTGATGCTCGTCAGCGTCTACTGCGCCATCGGCGTCGTCTGGGCGTGGCTGCGCGCCTCGTCGCTCTACCTCGCTCAGCAGTACTAGACTTCCGCAGCGCTGGACGGCAAAGTCGACCGCACCGTCGCGCGTATATCGATACCCCTCGCCTCCCTCTTTCATTAAATCTATGCCCGCCATGGTCACCTGCTCGCGGCACCTCGCCGGCATCGAGACGCGCGGCTGCCCCGTCGTGGCAGCAGTGTGGGGGGCGAGAGGTCGAGCGGCGGCTCTATCTGCGCTCGAATCTGCGCTCGAACAGCGGGCTGAGGGGTGTTCCGCGCTCGCAGGGCCCTGGCTTGGCATCGCCTGCCTCTGTCTCCCTCACGATTAGAGGCTAGGCAGGCACGGCACAGCGCAGCGCAACCGTGCACAGCCGTCCCTTCCAGCCTAACCTGGACCCCGGCTGCGGCATGTGCCAGACGGACGGATTGCGGTCGATGGCGTGCGCGACGGTCGGTGTCGTGTCGGGCGCGCGGACAAGCTGGCTCCGATCCGCGATCCGCACGCGCGCCAGCTCGACAAACGGCGGGCCGCGCGATGAATCAGCGCAGCACAGCGCAGCGCAGCCAAGCAAGCAAGCAAGCAAGGCCAGCCGGGCTGCGCGCACCTGCCTGCATCTGCCTGGCTCGACGTCGCCGGCTCTCATCGCTGCGCTTCGAGTCTTTGCCTGGCCTCGCGCGTCGGGTAGGCAGGCAGGCAGGCAGGCAGGCAGGCAGGCAGGATGATGGACGCGGGGACGACGAGACGAGGTCGGGGCATATAACCACCCGCGCCTACCCTGCGCTCCGAGCCGTCGAGCCCTTCGCCATCGTATCCTCGGTCTTCGCCCAAGCCACTCTCTGTCCTCCGACTCTTCAAAGCTCAACTGCTCCCCCTCAAACCCCTGACCTCGAGCTTCGCATCCAACACCAACCCCGTCAAGCCGCCACCCACGATGCATCGACCGCGCTTCGCCCTCACTGTCGGCGTCTGCCTCATGGCCGTCGTCTCTTCCCTCGGCGTCATCGGAAGTCCCACCGTGCCCGCGCCCCGCATCGACGTGCGATCCATCACTGGCCCCTCCGCTTCCGCTTCCGCTGCCTCCATCGCCGTCGCCAGTGACGACGAGCGAGTCGACGTCGAGGCGGCCCCGGCAGCGACGTGGAAACAGTACCGGTGCTGGGAGAGGTACTCGCAGCGTTGGGTCGACTGCCAGTGCGACGAGGAGCGCAACATCTGTTGGCTCTTTTTCAAGCCCATTGCCAGCGTGGACGCGCCATCGTCGTCGTCGTCGTCGTCGTCGTCGGTCTCGGCTTGGTCGCCCGGCGCGCCCATCGCACCCGCACCGCCCAGTCCTCCCGGCTGGAAGACGTACTCGTGCATGGAGAGGAACGAGCAAAAGTGGACGACGTGCCACTGCAACGACAGCCAGGCCACCTGCTGGTTCTTCCTCCCGCCCCGCGAGTCGACCTCGACTTCGACCGGCACCGCTCCCACCGCCGTCGACGATGCAGTCGTAGCGGACGCCACCAGCCCCGACTCGTCGTCGCCGCCACGCGCAGACGGCATCGAGGTGAGGTAGCTATGCTGCGACGTCAAGCAGGATTCCTGGGTGCCCTGCCTCTGCGACACGGCGCGACGTGTCTGCCACTCGACTCCCTGATCTCGACCTCGGCCAGGCCAGGCCGGCGAAGCTACGGTCGAAACCGTTTCTGCTGCAATTCTGACGACGAAGGAATCCCACCCGCTCAAGATGCAAGGGCCGCCGGCCACCAAGCCAGTCCATCTTGATCCTGCGCCTGCGTACTCGCTCCAGGAAGCTCTCTGTCTGTCCTCTCGCTCTCGCATGGTCGAGTCCTCGACGACGGCAAGCCCTGTCGCCGCTTGAACCGAGTCCTGTACCATCGCATTCGACTTGCGATCGCTTTTTGCTGTCCTCCTTCCGGTGACCCGCTCCACTTGGCCGCTTCGCGTCACCTGTTTGACACTGGCGGGGACACCAGAGCGACAGCAAGAACAGCGGCACGCCGTCTTCCTCCCACGTCTCGATCTCTACTGCGCCGTTACGCTCTTCGATGTGCCGTCCTCCGCCCCTCGAATTGAGCCAGTGTCCTCGCCGCCTGTTGCTCAGAGTGATGTGCGAGCGTGTACGCCACCTCGCTCGACGGCCGGGAGCAAGCTGCGGTGTACGACGGATGAAGATGAAGGGTCGATCGGTCGTCCGCCGACGGCTTGACTGAGCTCGAGATCGGAGGGCTTGCGATAGGCCCGGCCCGATGGGCGGCCGGCCGATACCGGTGAGATGCAGATGGCAGGCCTGCCTGGCCAGGCAAGAGGCTTGCGCCTTGGCCTCCACTTTGGGCTGCGCCGTCTTGACCGGCATCCTTGTGCCGCCTACTCTGTAGTCTGCGTGGCCTGTGCTGTGCTGCCTGGCCAGGCTGTGCTGCCGTGGCTCTGGCGGACCTGGCCGGCCTGCCGCGTGTCGGGCCGGTGTTTCGTTGTCTGCCGCCCGCGCCCCGCCCGGCTGCCCGCCGTGGCCCTGGCCTGGCCATCGAACCAGGCCGAGGCGCTGCGTTCTTCGATTCACGGATGGGCCGATGGCTTGCTTCTCGTGCCTTGCTTGGATCCTGGAGATGTCGTCGGCCGGCATCCGAGCGTACGCTGCGCTCGCCCGCCACCGCTGTCCCGAGCTTCCTACCTCTTGACCGCTGGCCGCCGCCGTCCGCGCAGAAGACGGATGGGCTTCCGAGGCCGGTCAAGGCAAACAGGCTCTGCAGCTACCGTGGGCTGAGGTAGGCGGGGCGACGGGGCGACGTACGTGAGAGGGACGTGGACGGGGCGTTGTCGACGAGAGCCAACATGCCAACCGCCCAGGCTAGCCTGCCCGCCTGCCCGCCCTGGACATCGACCTGTTGCCGACCGATTTTCACGCAGACGACGACGACAAGGACCAGGGCGACGACGACGACGACGCAGGCGGGCGCTGCCAGCCTTCGATTGCCCAACTTCGATAATGCCGCTCGCCCGCCCCCTCGCTCGCTCTTGACCTCTCGATCCTGCCTCGCCTTGCTTGCCCCTATCCCTTGCCATCTTGCCTGAACGGTGCGCTGGTGCAACCGGTGGCGGAGGCGGCCGTCGCCCCTTTGATGCTGCCCCGTCCCACGCGGCCTGGCAGGCCTGCCTCTGCGAAATTTCGCGGCGGAGGCGGAGGCCCGGCTGGCCGGAGCCAACGGGCGGGCGAGCGGGGGGCGGGCAGGCGAGTGAGCCAACCTAGCCTGAAGGCAAGCCAGGCCAGGCCAGGGTTTCCACCGGGCAGGGCTTGGCTGCTTGGACCCGGCCGGCCCCCAAAATGTCGACTCAGCCCTAGCTTTGCTTGGGCCAGGCAGGGCTGGGCTGACGCTGGCCTGGCTGGCACCTGGCAGCCGATGGGCGAGGCCAGGCAGGCTGGAGGCTCGTTCGCGCAAGCATGCAGCTGGCCCTGGCTTGACCGTTGCTCCTAGCCTGCCTCGCTCGCTCGCTCTCACACTCGCCCCACCCACCCTGGCCTGCTGGCCTGCTGGCTGGCCTGCCTGGCCGGATCTTCCGCTGCCTCCTCGACCGCTTCCTTCCCACCGCACCGTCCGCCCCTCTTTGTCGCCGTTTCCTCACCTCACCACTCTCCTCCTCCTCCTCCTCCTCCTCCTCCTCCTCCTCCTCCTCGCGTCGTTCCCCCCGGTCACCTTCTCTTGGGCGCCTCTCATTCACCGCTCTCCTCTGGCCCCGCCTCATCACCTTGGCCGCCCGCGTCGTCGTCGCTAACCCCCTCCTTCATCATCCTTCTTCGCCCCCCGAGGTCGCTGGTTTCGACGGCGCCGACAACCGTCACCAGCAACTCCTACTCGAGCCGCAGCTGCATCGACGCCCGATCGCTCTCGCTCGACAGACAAGCGCCTTCGCTTCGACGACCGTCTGCCCAGCCGCCATCTGCCGGTTTGTTCTCACTTCCTCCAGCGCGGACCGGACTCAACCTCTGGGTCGACGTTAGAGCGACGTCGCCAGCCGGAAGCGTCTCGAGCCATAGACCTCGGCGTCAGCCTCGTGCAACGACACTCGCACGCTCGCCACCACGACGGCGACGCCCTACGCCGACATTTCCTGACGCCTCGTGAGCGGCTGGTCAGCCTCGTCACGCCTGCGGTGCCGCGCCAGGCAGCTCAGCACCGCACCTGTACATAGCCGTCGCCTCGCCACCCGATCTCCGATAGTCGGGCCCGGACGCTCGATTCATATCCCTCTACCTCTTGCTTCGACCCGCCCAGCTTGACCTCCAAGGCCTCCCTCGCGCTCTCCGTCGCCTTCGCCGCAGCAACTGCTTCCGTTGGACTGCTGACGACCACCGCCGCCGAACTTGCCTCGAGTCTATGCTCGGCCAGAGACGCTCTCGCCTGAATCCGTCGTATTGACCGAAGAGTTGGCATCACCGACCGCATCTGTGCGCACCGACCCCCTTGGCGCCCTCCACATCCGCAGCACACCGTACCCCTGTCGTCCCGGTCGAGGACCTTGACGTGCGGACCCGGACCCCCATCTGAGGCACCAACCGGCTCTCCCCACCGGACAGCGCGGAACAATGGCACCCCACGAAGCCTCAAAGGCGGGCCCGTTCGGCAAGCATGCTTCCGTGGCCAACCTCAATGGGCTAGCCCAGCTCTCCCGCTCCACGTCCTCGAATTCTGTGCCGTCGGCCCGGCCCGTCCCGCAGAGGAGCGTCAGCGGCAGCGTCGAGCCTAGCCAGCAGCATCTCAACGGCTTCACCGCCATCGCCAGCCCGCTAGCGACGCCGAGCGAGCTCGTCCAGGAGGACCCTGTCGCGGCGCTGCATCCGAGCAGCAACAGCGGCAACAGCAAGCTCGCCATGACCGGAAGCCCCACGGTATTCGGCGCGGGCTCGCTCCCACACAACACCGGCGGATGGTCCGACTCGTCGACTTACCAGACGGCGTCGGGCGCCTCCAGCGTCTGGAACGGCCGTTCGGGCCTGGCGTCGGGATCCCTCGACGGCGATGCGCTCGCTACCGCAAACACCTCGGAGGTTACGACGCCGGGCCGCGCGACCACAATGGGCCCTGGCGACCTGCCCTCGAGCTCCTTCTCCAGATCGCCGCTCGCCGCCGGAGACGGGACTGGGGGCACCTGGTCCTCGGTGGCGGGGAGCGGACCCTCCAATCATGGCTGGCCGAAGGACGTCCCCACGGCCAGCACGGCCGACTTCCACACCAGTCCGACGGCCGCCAAACAGCGCTTGTCTCCGTCAGAAGATAGGCGCCGCCAGCAGACAGTGGTACGCACGGTATCGCCGCGCGCATCCGGCAACGTCCTGCCCGATCCCGGCAACGCCCAGAGCACGGCGACGACCACCAGTCACGACCGTGGCTCCGGTCCCTCTGGAGCGATCGCCGCTCAGGGCAACGCCAGGACGGTGCGACCGGGCGGGCCGGGCGGAGGACGTGCCGTACCCAAGAACCCTCCTATCCGCTCGACGACGCTCGATCCGAGCCACCACCTGCCGGGCCAACGGAGGCAAAGCGGCATCGATGACGCTAGCCAGGACGACCCCCGTAGTGGCGATGCTGAGCTGAGCGACGAGCTCCGCAACATGTCTATCTCCAGGAACGACACAGCGCCCGCCACCGACCTGCCCTCCCACCTAGGCCAGGCAGTGCTTAGCCCCGCCAGTACCGATGTTCCGCTCCAGCCCACGATGCCCAACCAGCCCTTGATGATGCCGCAGCAGCCGCATGGGCCGTATCAGCCGACACCGCAGTTTGGTCACGCCGCGCGCTTGTCGTCGGCGTCGTACGGCTCCCTTTCGCCCGTGCCTGCGCACGTCGAGGGCTTCTCGCCGTCGATGCCGTACTATGCCAACAACGCCAACCGTAGCCCCGACGCCTACGGCGGCTTCGCGGGCCTCGGCCAGCTCATGCCTGCCATGCCCGGCATGGGCGCAGGCAACGGCGGACCCGTCATTGACATGTCGGGCTACGAGTCGTACCGGACGACGCCGGATCCCTACGCCCCGCCCGTCCCTGGCCGCCAGATCTTCATGTCGCCGAGCGGGCCACCCTCGCAGGGGTCGACGCCGCAGAGCCCGTCGTTCGGACCCTCGCCGATGCCGCCCATGGGACCTGGGCCAATGCGACCCAGCGACGCCGTCTTCTACCCTGGCCCTGCAGGTCCCTATGGCGTGCCCGGCATGGCTTCGGGCTCGATGTCGCCCGTGTCTCGGAACGGCATGCAAATGCCGGGTACGCCGCAGTTTGGCTACGCCAGCCCTACCGGCCCGCGCAACATTCCTCAGAGCCCTTCGCTTGGGGGATCCGTGGGGATCGGCCTGTCGTCGATGCCCATCCCTCATCCCGGCACCCCAGTCTTCCCACCGCAGAGCCCGCTCTTGCCCAGCCAGCTGGGCGGGCCCGCCGGGATGGACAAGCGGACGCCGCCACAGGCCCAGCCTGCGCAGCATTTCGGTCCTGGCCCTTTCCGCAGGTCGATCTCAAGTGCCGACGGCTACGGAGGCCCGCAGATGATGCCGGCCCATCCGCCGCCGCCCTACGCCATGCCCGGCGCTCAGCAGCAGCAACTTCACCAACACCAGGGTCAGCCATATCCGGGACCGATCAATGGCCCTCCGGGCGCCGCCATGCAAGCTGGACCCGCGATGGGCTGGAACGGCCGCTTCCCGGACCACCGAAGGATCCCGACCGGGCCTGGCGGCGTCATGGCCCCTCCGATGGGATTCGGCGGCGGTCCGATGCATCCGCAGCACGGGCTGGGTGGCGCTGCTGGTATGGGTGTGGGCGTCGGAGGCTTCGTGCGGCCCCCGGGTGTGTTCCCTCACCACGGCCGCGGCGGCCCGCACGGGCCCGGTTCGCAGGGCAGCAGCAACCGGAGCCCGCTGCTGGAGGAGTTCCGCAGCAGGCACTCCAAGAACCGCAAGTTTGAGCTGCGCGACATCTTTGGCAGCGTGGTCGAGTTTAGCGGCGACCAGCACGGCAGCCGCTTCATCCAGGAGAAGCTCGACTCGGCATCGGACGAGGAGCGGACCAAGGTGTTTGACGAGCTGATCCTCAGCGCTCGCCAGCTGATGACGGACGTGTTCGGCAACTATGTGAGTGTTTTTAGAGCAGGCACCTCGGGCCTACGGCGATGGGGTCCGCCGTGCCTCGGAGTCGATCCGCTGACCCCTGTTTCCGCCCCCCACCCTCTTTACCCCTCCTCCTCCCTCGCCTCGTCGCGCAGGTGATTCAAAAGATGATCGAGCACGGCACCGAGGCGCAGCGGACCGCGCTGGCCAAGGAGATGGAGGGCCACGTCCTGGCCCTCTCGCTCGGCACGTACGGCTGCCGTGTCGTCCAGAAGGCCTTTGACCACGCCGACGAGGAGCAGCGGATCCGGCTCGCCTGCGAGCTCGACGGCCACGTCTTGCAGTGCGTCAAGGACCAGAACGCCAACCACGTGGTGCAGAAGGTCATTGAGCGCGTCGACCCGCTCAAGATTGACTTTGTGCCGCAGGCATTCCGCGGCCAGGTGCTGGTGCTGGCCGCCCACTCGTACTCGTGCCGCGTGCTGCAGCGCATCTTTGAGCACTGCCGCGAGGAGCAGAGCCGGCCGCTGCTCGACGAGCTGCACGCCGAGGCGTTCCGGCTGATGCAGGACCAGTACGGCAACTACGTGATCCAGTGGGTCCTGCAAAAGGGCCGCCCGGCCGACCAGGCCCAGATGATTGCCAAGATCAAGGGCCAGGTCTTGCCGCTGTCGAGGCACAAGTTTGCAAGCAACGTCATCGAGGAGGTGATCCGCTCGGCATCGGCCGACGACAAGGCCGAGCTGATCGAAGAGATCCTCACGCCGCGCCCGGTCTCGGAAGGAGCGGGCCCGACCCCTGTCCCTTTGCCTACCGTCGATGCCGCCAGCAACAACGCCTCGCCTGGCTCTGCTGCTGCTGCTGCCGCCGCCGCCGGTCCGCAGAGGATCGCGCCGGCCGTCATCATGATGAAGGACCAGTTTGCCAACTACGTCTTGCAGCGCTTCCTCGAGAACGCCAAGGGCGAGCAAAAGGCGCGGCTGGTGGCGGCGATCCGGCCGCAGCTGCTCAACATCAAGCGGTTCTCGAACGGGTACGCCAAGCACCTCGCCGCCATTGAGCGGCTGCTCGACGAGGCCGAAGCCGCCTCTGCAGCAGGCGACGGCGCTTCCCCTGGCCCGACACCGGCACCGAAGACGAGCAGCAGCGTTGCCGACGCTCCCGTCGCCGCCTGAGCCGCTGCAGATCAGTCACCGCGCCAAACCGCACTCCTGCTCTGCTGCCATCGCACGTCCGCCCGCCAATTCGACCTTTCTCCTCGACGGCTCGCCGGCACGACACCCGGACATTAATTTGCCTCCCTTCAAAACTGCATCCCCCCCCCCGTGCACCCCTCCTCCTGCCGCCGCATGGCTGCAAAGTGAGGTCGAGGATCCTCTTCGGCGCTCGCACCTCCGAGAGCGGCAGCAGGCAGCAGGCAGGCCAGCGTCAAGCTTTTCGGCCATGCCAGGACCGGCCAGAGTGCCCAAAATAGCAGCGACACGGGTGACTGACTGTCCTGATGGAATCGGGTCATGACGGTCGCTGTTGCGCCGCCGGCCTCTCCGCAGGACTCTCGCTCGTCCTCGTCCTTTCTCTCTCTCCCCCTCGCTCTCTCGCGCTCTCTCTCTCTCTCTCTCTCTCTCTCTCTCTCCGCACCGCGCCTTCCCCCACTCACGCCTCTCCCTGGCTGCTCAAGGCAGTCGACCCCGCCGCCGTGTCTCGTACCCTGATCCCGCAAGCGTTACCGTTACCGTCCGCCTTTGACGCCGCCCATCATCCTCACCGTACTACGCCCGCACCCGCACCCACAAGCTTCCGCCCATAGACGACGCAATCGATGTGAAGATGTCCGACGACGATGCACTACTGCGTGCAAGAGCTGCAGACCTACGTGCTGGACCCTTGACCGGCTTGGACATGGGTGACGTCGGTGAAGTCGAAGTCCACCGGCGTCGTCGCGCTTGCTCGGACGACGCTCGGTGCTTTGGCTGCGGCAGTCTTCCGATGGCGGGCGAGCAGGCGGTCGGGACGATGATGGTCGGTACCATCCTGCCCTGCTCCTTCCTGGCCTGGCCTGGCCTGGCCGTGGCTGACCGTGGGCCAAAGGAGATCTCTGATCTGTCGCGCTGCGATTGCGATGCGATGCGATGCGATGCGATACGGACAGCCGCGACGGAGAGAGCGGAATGATCCGTGGCCGCATGATGGCCCAGTGCCGGGCCTGCCGACCACCAGTCGAGGCGGCGCGGCCTTCCCGACACGCACGCTAGGCTACCAGACCCTGCCTGGCCAACCTCGGTTGCAGAACAGCAGGCTGGGAGCGCGCGACCCAAAAAACCCTCCGAGAGGCGAAGCGGGGCGCGGGCGCGGGTGGGGCGTCGGTGTGGGCGCGCTCTCGGATGGCCTGTCAAGCACGCACGCACGCACGCCCCACCTTGCTTGCTTGCTTGCCAGGCAGGCCAGCCTGTTGGCTTGCTTCCAACCTTCGGTACAGACAGGCCTGGAGCCGCCGATGCCAAATTTCCAAAAAAAACCATCTTCTCTCTCACCTCGCTCGCTCGCTTGCTCCTTCGCCCTAGCCTGGGTCGGTGTGGCGCGATAACGGAGAGTCGCTGGCACCGCGCTCGACGAGCGACGCCTTACGGTAGCAGAGCGGTCGTAGCGGAGCGACATCGAGTCATCCCGCCCTAGCCTACGACTGCAGCGCAGCGCTGGCCAAGAAGAGAAGGCGGGACGGGCGCAGCCCGGACGGAAATGCCACGACGAGCGAGCGACCCAGACGCCCTCTTGCTCTGCTCTGCTCTGCTCTGCTCTGCTCTGCTCTGCTCTGCTCTGCTCTGCTCTGCTCTGCTCTGCGCTTCGAGGCCAAACCCAGGCAAGGCTACTCTTGCACAAGCAAGCTCAAGCTTGCCTGCTTGCCTGCTTGCCTGCTTGCCTGCTTGCCATGAGAGCGATGGCCCCGACATGGAGCGGAGGGCGGCTCGGCGAAAGATGCTCCGGTGCTTGCGCCGCCAGCTTCCACCTAGCGTGCGTGATCCTCTTCCTCTCGCTCGAGACGCGGGGGGGTCAAGGGCAGGTAGGGCATGCCGCGACGATACTCTGGCATGGCACGACCGGGGCTGGCCAGCGTACCGGCGTCTCCTGTCTGGCGCACACATCGACGACGGCTCGGAGCAAGCAAGCAGGCGATCGCGAGGCAGGCACACGTACGGTGGGTTGGAGAGGCCTGAGCCGGCCAGCCAGTCAGCCGTAGCGTCACGGCTAGATCGATAGACCTAGCCTGCCCGCTCGGCTTCGGAAGGCTCGGGAAGCTGCTTAGCGTGCGTCCCTCTCGTCGCTGCGTTCCCACAGCCGGCGGGCGAACGTGGCCTGCCCAAGGCCCTCGCCAACATCGCGACGCCTCTATCTCCTGTCCCTCCCAGCCCCGGCCTGCCCTGCCATGGCCGGCCTGCCTGCCTGCTTGGTTGCCACCTTTGGCATGGCGACTGCAGCGCTGGCTCATCGTCCGCCCGTGGTCGGTCCGGGCGCTGACCGGCAGCCTACTCTGTACCTAGCCCGCCTGCGCTTGCCCATCGACCGACCAGCAGCCAGCATCGAGCAGCGGCGGGCGTCCGAACGAGGCGGGAGGCCTCCGTCGACCTCTCGACGTGGCCCCTTCCGCCTGCACGGACCAGCATCTCACTCTGGCGTCGACGGCGTCTTGGTTGCCACACAGCTGCTTAGCTTGCTGCTTGCTCGCTGCTTGTCGCCTGCTCTGCTCCCCCTCCTCGACCTTCCGGTTCGGATGCCGTCGCTGACAGGCCGTCGAGACCGCCGCTCGGGCCAGCCTGACGAGCTGTCCTGGCCTGCTGGCCTGACCGTCCCAATTCATCCTAGCCTGGCTGCCCCTCGCTCGTTTGCCGGGACAGCACCCGCCGTGGCAGCAACAGCTAGCAAGCAGCGAGTCATCGCCTGCCGTTGTCGGTACCAAGCCGCCTCCGCGTCCCCCTCTCCCTCACCCTCCTCTCTGAGCTTGCTCCTGGCCAGGCCGCCCGCTACATACATAGCCGGCAATCTGGCACGCCAAACCTCGCCCCCCATCTGGCCACCCTTCCCTGCCGTCTCTCCAACCTCTCTTTGCACCTCTACCGTCCCGCACAGCCAGACAGCATCAGCAGCGCCATCATGTCGACCGACAAGATCACCTTCCGTGAGTGGCCGTCTTCGTCGTCGTCAGCCCTAAATTGCAACGTCCCGCGACTGTCCTTCTGACCACCTCGCTCGACCTCGACTCGGTTGCCATGTTCCGATAGTCCTCAACTGGCACGCCACGCCGTACCATGCTCCCCTCTTCCTCGCCCAGAGCAAGGTGAGCCGCCGCCGTCTGCATCATCGTCGTCACCGTCGAAGCCTTTTCGCACCGTTCACGACGCAGGCAGTCATATGTGGGCCTCCGTCGTCGAATCGACTGCTGACGCCACCGACCCGCCTCCATCGCCATCCGTGACGATGGCGTTCCACCCTTCCATGGCTGTCCAGGGCTACTTTGCCGACGAGGGCATCAAGGTCGCCATTCTGGAGCCCAACGACCCTTCGGATGTGGTCAGTCTGCCGTGCCCAGCTCGGTCCCCATCCACGCGATGATACGAGCTCGCCCTCTGCCTCCCCAGCCACATGCCTAACCCTTCCATCTCCTCGTATGCTCCTTCCATCTCCTCGTATGCTCCCTCTTCTTCGCCCTCCACCGCCCTGCAGACCGAGATCATCGGCAGCGGCAAGGCCGACATGGGCTGCAAGGCCATGATCCACACCATCGCCGCCAAGGCTCGCGGCTGGGACGTCCAGTCGATCGGCACGCTCATGGACGAGCCCTTCACCGGCGTCGTCTACCTCGAGGGCTCGGGCATCACCGACTTTAGGTCGCTCAAGGGCAAGAAGATCGGATACGTCGGCGAGTTTGGCAAGATCCAGGTGAGCCCCCGTCCACCCGTTCACCGTCGCGCGGCACGTATTTCCTCCCTCCGGCGTGCGATCGACGATGCTGACGAGTAAGGCTCCCTCGCGATCCCTCTCTGTCTCTGCCTCTGGTGTCCTGCCACCTAGATCGACGAGCTCACCACCCACTTTGGCATGGGTCCCGACGACTACACGGCCGTGCGCGTCGGCATGAATGTCAGCGACGCCATCATCCGTGGCGACATCGATGCCGGCATCGGGTGAGTGGCCTCCCCATCGAGCCGAGCCGAGCCGAGCCGAGTCGACTTGATTCGATTCGAGGCCCGCCAGAGGGATCCAATCCGGACCTCCTCGGACAGCTTCCTGTCCGAGTCACCCGAGCTGACGCAGTGCCTCTATCTCTCCGACGACGACTGTACTTGGGCGTCACTTCGGCCACTCGACAGCCTCGAGAACGTGCAGATGGTGGAGCTCGAGGAGTGGTGCAAGACGCAGGGCCGCCCTGCGTCGGACGTCAAGATGCTGCGCATCGACGAGCTGGCCGAGCTGGGCTGCTGCTGCTTCTGCAGCATCCTGATGATTGCCAACGACGCCTTTGTGCGCGACCACGCCGACGACCGGGTGCGCCCGTTTATGCGCGCCGTCAAGCGGGCCACCGACTTCCTCTTTGCCTCTCCGCGCGCGGCGTGGGACGAGTACCGGCTGTACAAGAAGTCGATGAACACCGACGTCAATGCGCGCATCTTTGAGCGCAGCTTTGTCTACATGTCGCGCGACTGCGCAAACGTGCCGCGCGACTGGTCAAAGGTGACGGCCTACTGCAAGCGCCTCGGCGTCGTCGGACCCGACTTTGTGCCCAACATGACCAACGACTTTCTCGGATGGGACATGGACCACGAGGTGGCTGACCCGCAGAGGAAGCAGGTCGAGGTCGCCCGCTACCAGCACCAGGTGGCGGGTGGGGAGGGCATCCTCAGCGGCGGAAAGGCGCCCGTCTTTTCACAGGCGGCCGTCGTTGCTTGATCGCCCAGGCTGGCTTGCCCCTCGTCTCGTCTCGCCTCGCCTCGCCTCGCACATGGAGGGATCTCGTTCCACCTGTCCCCCTCCCGATAGCCGTGTAGCCGTGTAGCCAAAGCCATGCAAAGCAAAGCAAAGCAATGCAAAGGCCGTCTTGATCTGCAGCCCCCTCCTCCTCCCTCTCATTCTCTCTCTCTCTGCCCCCGTGCAGTCTTCGGGTCGATGCGATGCGCGCGCAAAGGTAAGCTGTCCCTGCAGCGCGGCATGGCTGAAAGTCAGGCTGACTGGTCGGACTGACTGGTATGATTTGGATTCGTGCCAAGCAAGCCATCATGGTCCGGCAACAACGGCCAAGGTGAGCCATGGTCGCGGAGGCGAAAGGAACGGGGGGAATCCAGAGGCGCGGATATGGTATGCTAAAGTCGTCGCGGTCGTGGGTGGCGTCGTGGATGCTTTTTTCGGTCGTCGTCAGAGTCGTCTCGGGCATCGTTGGTACCAAGGCAGGCAGGCCGGCCGGCCGTGGTACGGCGAGTTGCGGGCAGGCTGCAGGCCGGCCGGCCGGCCTGGCTCGCCACTTCTCAGGCGACCACGCCCGTGCCGCTTGTCGCTGCCAGAGTTTGGCTGTGACTGGCGGCGGACGTGTCGGTCGCAGCCGCGCTGGGCCAGTAAGCGCCGAGCCATCCGCGCGCCGATGGTTGGGCAGGGGCGACCGCCCTGACCCCCGGCAGGTCCGCTCGGTGCCGGCACCTTCTTTGCTGGATCGCGTCCAACAGCAGCGGCAGCGGAGCCTGCGGCGGCGGCGGCGGCGGCAGCGCATTCGTCATCTTCCTCGACCCATCCCTCGTCGGCGCCTTCTTCCTCCTCCTCCTCATCCTCCTCGTCCTGGACGCCGCACCTCGAGCTTCTCGCCATAATCTGCTGCGCGCGCCTCGCCTGCTCATCCGAGGCGTGGATGGGTGGCAGTTTGCGGCCATGCGCCCGGCCGAGCGAATCGGAGCCCGGGAACGGATGGAGCTTCGAGTTCAAGTCGAGCCGGTAGTTCTGCCGCGACTTGAGTCGGCCCACTGAGCCCTTGGCCGGGATGCGTGGGCGGCCAGGCACGCTCGAATGCGACGATGCCGCCGAGGTCGACAGGATCGAGGCTCGCACTGCCGTCGGCGGCTTGCCGGGCACTGCCTGAGGCTGCGAATGGCCGAGTTTTGCCGCCGCGCCGCGTGCCGGCACACCTTCAGCGACGGACGGCGCAGCCGCGGCGGACGACGTATTCGCGTCGGCGTCGGCGGCGGCGGCGACGGCTCCTCGGCCTGGCCAGGCAAACCCGATCAGCCCGCTCATCATGGCGTAGGCTCCCGGGCGGAGGCCCGAGTTGCTCTTGCGATGCACGATGCTGCCGCCGGGACGGGATGCGACGCGCTGGTGGTGCACCGACCTCCGCGTCGGCAGGTGCTTGGCCTTGAGCGCCTTGAGCTTCTCGACCGCAAGCCGCTCCTCGGACACCCCCGAACGGCTGGTGGCCATGGTATTCGTGCTGGCGCCCGTCGAATGCCCACTCGGTGGCGTGAGCGAGCTCGTGCTCGTGCCGGCAGCGGCGTCGCTAGCAAGATCGCTGCCTCGGCCGTTGGACGAGATGACCGACGCAGTGCCGAAAATGTAGGATCGCGAGACGGCGTGGGTGACCGTGGTCACGATCTCGGGCTGCGCAAAGGCATTGGACACCGAGATGGAGCGGGCCGTCGAGTTGACCGACGGCTTGCGGGTACGCAGCGGCAGGGCACCAGACGCGTACGATGCCGACGACGGCTCGCCGGGCCTCGAACCCAGACCGATCGGGAAGCGCTTCGCCTTGACGCTCGACTTTGCCTCGACGATGCTGCTGGTGGGCGAACGCTCGTCTTCGAGACCGGGCGTGCGAGGCTCCGAGGCCTCGGACGCGGTGCTGAGCCCATCAAAGCCGAGGGCCAAGCTTTCGCGGGCCGCGGGGGCGAGCGCCATGGCGAAAGCGTCCGAGCCAGCCAGCAGCATCGCGCTCACGGACCTCGCCGTCTCGAGCACGACACGCTCCTGCTGCCGGCGAGCGTCGCGGCCCCTGCTCTTGCCCTTGTTGGCGGCTCGATCGAGCCCTTCGTCGGTGCCATCGGCGCGGCCCGTCTCCTCGAGGATGTGCGCCATCGGTAGGCTCTGGCTGAGCGCCTCGGCCAGCAGATCGATGACGTCCTCCTTCGGCTCGGTCCGCTGCGACTCTCCGGAAGCCTCCCGGCGCGGTTTCGACGTGGCATAGCCGGCGGGGTGCGACTCCGACGACGACGAGCAGTGGCCCGACCCGGACCGTTGTCGCCGGTTGCGCTTCTCGACTTCGGCGACGAGGGCGCGCGACATGCGCCTCAGCCGGCGATCGAGCTCCTTGGCTCCCTGCTGGTCGGCAGCAGACCGTGTCTCGGCTGCCAACAGCTCCTGCGACAGCAGATTGGCCCTTCTGGCGGCCGGGCTGAGCGAAAGGGCCCGCTCGCGGTAGCTGCCAGAAGGCGAGAAGCTGCCGACGAAGGGCAGCGGCTCGCCCGCCTCCCTCCGCGGCGTCGAATGGATATGGCCGTAGCCACCACCAAAACCGCCGCCGCCGCTGACGCTTGGGCCGCCTTCGGACGGCACAAAGGTCTCGTCCGCCTGCAGCTCCTCGATCGGCTCGTCTTCTTCTCGTCCGGGGCTGCTGGGCGTCAGGATCAAGGCGGAGCGACTCAGCTGTTCGTTGTTCAGCCCGTAGAGCTGTCTCGACAGCTGGAGGTTGAGGTTGAGGTCGCGCGCACGCCTGCCTTTGGACAGATAGTCGCCCATGCCAAACTCCTCGAGCTCGCTCGCCGCCACCGAGCCGGGCACCGTCTCTGTGCCGCCGTCCGAAGGCGAGATGGAAAAGGCGGGATCAAACCGCCGCCCGGACTTGGCCCCCAGCCTCCCTGGCGTCGAGAGCGCCGAGATCGACGACATCATGTCATCCAGGCCGGCGTCCGAGTCGCTGTACATGCCGGGCGACATGCCCGACGACATGCCTGGCGAGCGGCCGGGGATGTAGGGCGAGATGGCATCCGACGGGCGGAAGGGTAGCGGGTTGAGGCCTAGCAGGTCGATCGACAGGCCCGGCTTGGGCTTGCTGGGCGACGTTGGGGCGGGTGGCGAGCGCAGCGGCGAGGTGGGGAGGGCTCCGGCGGTGGCAGTGCCCGACGGCGTTCCCGGCAGCGACGAGACTCGGGGCGGCGGTGTCGCGAGCTCCGCCACGATGGGCGGAGGTCGCAAGATGCCCTCCTTGGCGATGGGCTCCGGCGGCGGGACCGGCGATGCGCAGACGGCTTGGGCGCTCAGGTCGAGCCCCAGTGCTGATTGCGGCTCTGGCTCTGGACCTGGTGACGAGTCTGCAGCCTCGACGGCCGCTTGCGCTGTTTCCGCCACCGTCTTTTGCGATGCAGCCGCAGCGGGTGCCGCTGGGGCCGCTGTCTTCCCGGGCCCCACCTCGATGGTCATTGGCCGACACAAGCAGCCGGTGCCGATCATGGCCGGCAGTCTCCTCCGGGCATACCATTCTCCGCCGCCGGCCAGCTTGTCGCGGCTTGTCCATGACGGCAGGGAAGTGGAGGAGGAACCACCGTGCGATTCCTCGGCCGCAGCGTCGTACAGGGCGCGGTGGACCTGCATCGTCTTTGCCACTTTGCCGATGGAGGCGATGCTGCGGGGCACAAGGGTCGAGGCGACCATCTTGACGACCGACGCCGGGACCCAGGCGGCCATCTCCCCGAGGTCGGAGACCTGGGTGATGAGCACCGCTGATCCGCGGGGGTCCCGGCGGCGATGGAAGCCAGGCGCCGTGCTTCCCTCGGCGGCGTGTCCGGCCTTTGCCGGCCCACTGGATGCCGACGAAGCCGACGGTCTGCGTCGTCCCAGCGCTCGAAGCTGGCGGCCATTGGGCGGAGCGGCATGTCGCATGCGTTGCTCGACTGAGGGGTCGTCGGGAAGGTCCGAGAGCCCATCGTCGCCGAGATCCTCGACCATGAACCCGCCGACCTGGAGCGGAAAGCGCGTGTAGCCTTTGCGCGGCGGCAGGCTGGGATCGACGGTGCAGCAGGACGTCGAGACGAGGCGCAGGGGAGCCTCGGCGCTCGGCGGTGCGCCGTCTGCGGGCGGCAGGCGAGCGTCGACGCTGAGCAGCACCATGTCCCTGGCTTTGGCCACCATGAAGATGCTGCCGAAGCGGAAGAGCTCGACACGAGCGGCGGTGGCCTCGGCGATGTCCCTCGGCCGTGCCGCTTCGCCGTCGTCGCTGTCGTCGGGTCCGGCGCGGGTGCCGTCGGAACGGGAGTCGAGCTCCTGGGCCAGCCAGCGATGGACGCTGCCTTCCTCGACGGTGCTGTCCCAGAGCCTGCGGTTCTCGGCGGTGGCCATGAGCGACCAGAACTGACGGGCGGACACGCCGGGGATGGTGGACTGCACGCTGTAGAGGTTGCGGTTGGGGTCGGGGTGGGCTCGAACGGTCAGGGTGGGGACAAAGGGCTGCTGCGTCGACGCAGAGCCGTTGGACGTTGCCGCCGACGTCGATGGCGGTGCTGAAGAGTAGAGGACGGTCCAGTCGGCGATGGCCACCTCTCGGGCGGCGTGGCGGGCGAAATGGTCGGCAGACGGGTCATCGTCGGCGTCGCGCTGCAACGGCAGCTGGTCGGCCGAGTCTGGATCGGCAAAGGAGAGGAAGCGGTGGAGGACGCGAAGTGACTCGGCGGTGAGCTGGCTGGGGTCGCTCGGAGGTCCGGCCGTGGTCGGCGTCGTTGAGTCGGCGGCGGCCTTTGAACGGCTCTGCTGTGCAAGCGACGGCATGGTGGCTGGTGGATCAGGGGAGACAGGTGGTCGTCATGTCAGGCTGGCGGATCGTCGAGGTCGCTGCGGCGAGGAGGATGTAGGAGTCGAAAGCGGGGGGGGGCTGATGGGTATGAGAAGGTGAGGCGGACGGGCGGCGTCGTGGTTGTCGTTGATTGTCGTTGTCTGTCGTGATGTGGCTGCAGAGGGATCAGAGACGAAGCAGCTTGGCAAGCAGGCAGGGCAAGGCGAGGCAAGAGAAGAAGCGATGAGGGGCGGATGGTGGGATGCGGAGGAGAGGTGGAGCGGAGGCCTTCAAACAAGAAGGGGGCAGCGGTGAGGGCGGGGAGGCAAAAGGAGTCGAGATGAGCACAAGGCGAGGCCAGGGCACCATGGGCGAAACGACATCCACGCCGACGTGCGGCGCCAGGTCGCCCGCAGGTGTGTCAAGGGAGCTGCTGCAGCAGAGCTTCAGGAGCCTTGCCTTGCATCGCACCGTACCGCGCCGCGCCGTCGTCGTCACCACCACCACCGGCCCCTTTTCTCGACCGACCACCGTACGGTCAGTGGGCCAGACGCCCCGCCGGCTTCTTTGACGAGGTCGATGCCCCACCCATGGGCGCCGTAGTAGTGTCGAGCCAAGCCTGACAGACAGGGGGCGGCCGCGAGCCATCAGAGCACTACTACGGAAGCTGGCCACAGACGAGCCAAAAGTCAGGGTCCAGAGACAGGATAGTAGGCAGGGGCCAGCCAGCCAGCCAGCAGCCCAAGTCGGCTCTAGCCACACTACTTCTCTGGCTCCGGCCTCGCCTCCGATAGACAGCCAAGCCTACAGTCGTGGGTTGATGCTGGTGATCTGGCTAGCCTCTTGGACCAAGCTAGCCATGGCGCAACTACAGCAAGGATGCCAGCAAGGGCGCGCGATTGGATCGAACAGGGAGGCAGGAGGCGGCGGTGGTTAGCCGTCGACTCGGGACGTGACACCCAAACGACGACCCCTGACTGCAGGCTGGGAAAGGTCCGAGCCTCGGCCTCAACGTCGGGCCGGCCAGCCAGCCGGCCACGCAAACAAACACAGCCAGCCCCACGCACCTACGCCCGCCCACGTCGGCGGCGCCCAGACGAGCCCCGCCCGTCCGCCCTTGCATCTGCATCGGGCGCACGTCAGCGCCCCCGATCTCGCACCTTCCGGCCTTCGGAAGTCAGAGTCTGCAGCCTGGCTGGCTGGCTACCTGGCTTGCCCTGGCCTGGCCTGGCCTGGCCTGTCTGGCCAAGGCTTGGAAGAACGCAGCCACCAAGCAAGGCTGGCCAGCCAGCAGCGCTGGGGCCAGGCGAGGCTGGCTAGGGGCGTGTTGGTCTCGCCAGTCAGCTTCCTGCCTCCTTCCTCCATCACCTCGTCCCTACCGCCCCTCAACCACAGCCCACCACCCGCAGCACTCAACCTAGGTGCCCTCGCAACCATGGCCGCCCCTTATGGCATGCAGATGGACATCAACCCAAACGAGGACACCGAATTGTGAGTGCCAGCCGGCCGGCCCCTGCCAAGCCTCGGCCACAGGCTCGAGCCGACACCGTGTGGCCCATTCCGCTCCTTAGCGCACCCCGCTCCTGACACTGCCTCTCTCTCTCTCCTCCCCCTGCCTCACCCCGCGTCCCTCCCAGCCACGATGCGCTGAGAGCACGAGGCATCATCCCGCAGAAGCCGCCATCGCGCTCGCCATCGCCCGAGCTACCCACCGAGTCCGAGCTGCGCAGCCAGGCGCTCAAGCAGGCCACCGTCGAGGACATCGATCTGGCCCTCGAGCAGGATGGGTACGACCAGGTGGGCGAGGACGAGGAGCGCATCCTCCTCCGGCTGAGGGCGCAGAGGATGGCCCAGATGGCCACCGAGAGCAAGAGGCACCGCTTCGGAAGAGTCTTCCCCATCACCCGCCCCGACTACACCCGCGAGGTCACCGAGGCCAGCAAAGAGGACCCCAACGGCAAGGCAGCGGGCGCAAGCGACGACCAAGAGGAAGACGACGACGGTCGGGCCGAGACCGGTGCCGGATCCGTGGGGACAGACCAGCCGCAGAAGGTCAAGGGCACCGGCGTCGTCTGCTTCCTCTACAAAGACGGGTGAGTCTGCTGTCCCAGGTGCCCAATGCCACGCACAACTGCGGCCGCTGACCCAGATCCAATGCCCCCCTCTCATCCGCATTGCATCGCCATCGGCGCCGACGCAGCATGGACACATGTCGTCTCCTCGCCGGCTACCTCGACACGCTGGCAGCCAAGTACCCCGGAACCAAGTTCGTCAGCATCGTTGGAGACAAGGTGAGCTCGCCCGCGACCGTGCCTGGTGACACAGGCTGCCCTTGCGGGAACAGGATGAGATGATGTTGATGTCGTTTCGTCCTCCTCGCTTTCCACTTGTGCGCAGTGCATCCCTAACTACCCGGACAAGAACCTGCCGACGCTGCTCATCTACCGCAACGGCGAGCTGCACCGCCAGATTGTCGGCCTGAGACCCGAGATTGGCCTCGACGGCATGAACACCAAGTGCGAAGGTGAGTCGGCTTACCTGCCGTCGCAATGACATGAAGAGAAGGACAAGCCGGCTGACACGAATCCTTCTTCCACGGCTCGCCCGGCCGGACAGACATCGAGCTGCTGCTGACCGCGGTGGGAGTGCTGGATCGCTCGCAGGTGCCCGGCACGGCCACCTTTGGCGACGCCTCCGGAGCGGGCGCCGACCAACGACGGCAGGACCGCGAAGACGACGGCGAGGACTCGGACGAAGGGTTCGGAGGCACGCGGCGCGGCGTCCGGGGCAAGGGCATCCGCGGCAAGACGCAAGAGGAGGAGGACGACGAGCTCGACTGGGATCTCTAGCGCGCATCTTCCAGCGCAAGAGGCAGCGGTAACCCCCAGGGCCCAGCCGGTGAAGCCAGCGCTCGGCGCGACCCAGGCCTCGATGCCATCGCGGCGGGTGTCTGGCAAGCGACGGGCGAAGCGCTTCACCCGGCAGCACCTCCATCGAGACGTCGACCGTCCCGGTCAGTCGACAGCGGTCACCGCCACAGCCTGCACGGTGGCCCTTCTTTTCGGCCTGAGGCAGCAGGCGTGGCCACCGAGCCCTTGACAGCGTCTTGGTCCACCGACGGGCCAGGACCTTTGCCGGGCGGGGGAGGCCGAGAGACTGCGGCGGCCGCGGCCGCGGCGACGAGGCAAGGTGCGATGATCGACGTCACAGGCCCTCGGCCCGCTGCACCACGAATTGGGCGGCGGCGGCGGCGGCATCGGCTTCGGGCTCTTGATCGGCCGAGGGCGCGTCGTCGGTGAAAGGCGCGTAGCCTTTGGCCGCGGCGTCGGCGCGCTGTTCGCGCACAGCCGCAGCGGCGCCTTGGGGCGGCTGCCACTCTAGCTCGGCGTACCTCTACCTCGCGCGCGGGCGGGCGCGCGGGCGGGCGGGCGGGCGGGAAATCCAAGACGGAATGATCGGGCGGATGTTTGTGTCAGCCAACGCACCGCCGCTGGCCAATGGCCACTCGCGCCCGACCTGACCGAGTCGAGCGGTGCTCACGGGGTAGAGGAGCTGCGTCGTAATGTCGCCCCACACCTTGACCTGGTCGGCGGTGTAGGTGCGGTTCGAGTCGTCGAAGCTGTTCATGAGCTCGAGCAGGGGCGGCATGATGAAGTCGACGCTGTGCCGTGGAGCCGCGATCGGTGGTAGGCCATGAGGAGGATGTCAATCTCGCTTTCGCTTGCCAGAGAAGGGGTGATGGCGCGGCGCGGCGAAGGGAAGTGGGAGGGGAGGGGCGCATGACTCACAAGACGACGTCGACGAGGTCCTCGTCGGATCGAGGTTCCGGGACCGGGTTCGAGGCGACGTAATCTGGCTGGTCCGGTGAAAAGGGGAGGGGAGAGTGCTATTTGGCCACCGCGGACCAACGCCGAGATGGGACAAAGATGATCAGCGCTCCATGCCTTCTCCTCGACGCCATTCCCCCCGTCGAGGGAGGGGTGGGGGGAGAAGAGAAGACGAGAAGGTGCGGCGTGCAGACTCACGATGGTATCGTCGCCCTCGCCCTCGCACCCGTCGATGGTGCGGTAGCCGAGACTCGGTCCCTGTGCGCGCCCGCCGAGCTCCAGAGTCTCGTAGCGGACCGCCTCGGCCTCGAGCATCTTTTTCGCCTTCTGCACCGCATCCGTCCCGCCGGGCGCGCCTTGGTCCTCGTCGCCCGACTCTCCCGTCGATGTCGATGTCGATGCGCCCGGTGACGTCGAGGTGTTGGGATCGCCGGAGGAGAGGAAGCCGGCCCACTGTGACTTTTGCCAGCGGATAAAGATGTCCTCTTTTCCGTTGCCAGAGGTAGCGTTTCAAGGAGGAGAAGGGGCGGCCCAAGGATCGTCAGCCGCGGCCCCTACCGTGTGCGGCACGGGAAGGAGGAACATAGCAGCCTCGGCCGGCCGACTCACCGATGAAGCCGGACCCGTACCGCTTGCGCTCCTCTCCGCTCCTCTCAAGCTCGCCCTGAGCGACCTCGACGACCGACGGAGGCTTCTTGTCCGTCAGCCCGCCCAGCAGCCTCCGCGCCACGCGCCACGGCACGTCGGGCATGTAGAGAAAGTCGTCCTTAAAGGGGCTGACGATGTACTGGTCGTTGCGGGTAAACGGCCCGCGGAAGACGTCGAAGCGCTGGCTGCCGCTGTTGATGAGCACCAGGCTGGGCCGGTCGCGCCTCGACGCCTCCGACGGCCGCACCACCTTGGGCAGCACCTCTGACGCGAGCAGCGTGAGCAGGCTGTGGTTGTGCCCGTACGGCAGGCGGTCGAGGTAGTAGTCCTGCGGCACGACGCCGTGCAGGCGCGTCAGGTTCCATGCGTCCGAGATGGCGTCCATGAGGAAGCGGATGAAGCGCCCCTTTTGCGTGAGCAGCTTCGACGGCGTCGAGAGGCCGAGGTGGTGTGCCTGGAGAGCGCACGGGGGGTGCCGGTCAAGGTGGGGTATAGAGGAGACAAGAAGTCAGCGGGAAAGGGGCAGTCGACTCAAAGACGGCCGAGCAAGGACAGCCCAGACACCTACAAAGTTGCGCGGGTTGGGGTCGATGTAGCGCCGCGTGAAGCGGACCTTCTCGACGAGTCCCCGGATCCTTGCCCGCAGGTTCTGCACGCCCATGAACCCGATCGTCTCGAGGTAGCGACCACTCTCCATGGCCATGGTGTTGTCGTCGAGCATGCGGCAGTCTCGGACGTGCGTGTGTCCGCCTGTGTGGGCGAGGATCAGGATTAGCAAGAAAGGGAAACGATGCGAGGCAAGAGGGACCGGCGCCCATCAGCATGCTGCGACGTGCCTCGCTCGTGCCCGCCTGTGCTCGGGGGTGCGCGCCCGCAGAAGACACCCACCGAGGATCGAGATGGGCGTGTCCGGAAAGCGGGAGCGGATCTTGCGCCTGACGGCCTGCCACGCCGGGTCGCCGCTGACGGGCATGTGGCCGAGGATGACAAAGATGTCGACGCCGAAGCGCTCTGCGGCGTCGAGGCTGTCGTTGAACCACTGCTCCTCGATCATCTCCTCGGGCGGCTGGACAATGATGCCGGGCGCTGCCAGTTTAAAGTCGAACAGGATGCCGTACGACACGACCTTGATGCCCTGGACGGGCGTGACGAGGCTAACGGCGAGCGAGCCGATAGGTTCGGTGTGGTTGCGGCTGGGGTCGTCGGCATCGGGCACGGCGATCTTGACGTTGGAAGTCATGTAGCGGTCGATCCAGCGGGGGCGGAAGTTGTCAAAGACGTCCTTGGCCACGGTGTAGTTGTAGAGCTCGTGGTTGCCGATGGTGAGGAGGTCGTAGTCGACCATGGAAAAGACCTTGTTGCTGACGTGTCCGTCGATGGCGTCCTTGCCGCCGGGCTCGCCGGCGCCGTAGGGGGGGAAGCCGTCCGAGAGGCCGTTGCCGTCGTGGAGGTCGCCGGTGTCGACGAGGAGGAGGTCCCTGCCCTCGCCGTGGGCCTTTTGGCGCATCTTTGCGGCAAACGAGGCCCAGTCGGCCCAGTCTCCGCTGTAGTTTGGCTCGGGGGGCGTCACCTTGCGGTGTCCCTGGTACCATCCGTGGATGTCGGTGGTGTGGAGGATGTTGAGGTCGCCCCACTCGAGGTCGCGCAATTCGTCGTCAGAGCGGGGCATCTGGCCGCGCTCGCGGTTCCAGCGCGCGAAGCCCTCGAGCTGCTCCCTCTTGCGCGCCAGCTCGGCGGCCGTGGTGCGGCTGCCATCGTCAGAGTACCAGACCGGCTGCGGCGTTGTGGCGTCTCGGTGTCCGTCTCTGTGCGGGAGCTGTCCGAAGTTGGAGATGTGGTAGGGGTGGTCGGAGCATGCGGTGGCGACGGTGAGGAGGTCTAGGGAGAGCGAGAGCTGGACAAAGGTGAGCGGGAGCGAGAGGAGCTTCCACATGGCGGCGGTGGCACCGAGCCGAGCAGGTACGGGTAAGGAGGAACGAGGGCAGGGCAGAGCGGGCAGCCAGTGCCACGCTCTGAGCGTCGATGGAGCGGCAGACGGGGGGGGTGACACACGGGCGAGTGGCGTGAAAGCGAGTGGCGGTAGTGGTGGTGGTGGTCGAAGGAGGTGGAAAGAGGTGGGGCGTGGTGGGGGTCCAGCGCACCCTGCACACGCCGCACCCCAACACACAAAAAAAGGCGCGGGCCCGTGTGGAGGGAGGCCTGCAGCTGCAGCGGGCTGCCAGCAAACGCATCGGCTGGCGGCATCATGGGCCATCCTCGCTTGGACAGCATCCGGCCATGATGGTGCCAGGTCAGCCTCGACTCTGTCGAAAGAAGAGATGAACAAACCGCAGAATGCACAGCGAAGAGGGAGGTATAGGCACAGGAACAGACAGCGGAGAGAAAGACGAGCGCGGCGTCATCCCGCCCTTCAAGCAGCCGTGGTGGCCTTGCTCGGCCGGGCGGCGACGGCGGGCTTGCCCTTGGCCAGCTTCTTCTTCTTCTTCATCATGGCTGACGGTCGCGCGAGGGGGGGAGAGGGCAAGAGGGCAAGGGCAAGTCGTAAGTCAGTTAGACGCTCTACCAATACCGGCAAGCACGAGGAAAACGACAACAACGTCTGCACTCACCGCTCGCCACAGCGTTCCTGACATTCTCGACAATCTCACGGCTCTGCTCGACGTACTGCGCGTCTTCGATCCTTTCCTTTCTCTTGGTGCCCGCCACCGTCGACGCAGAATCCCCGGCGGCGAGGTCATGGTCCTTGTGCCTCGACGCCTTGCTGGGCCCGGCCTCCGGGCTTGCGCTGCCGTCGTCGAAGCTCTCGCCGGCGTCGGCCATGCGGTTGGCGGCCTCTTCAAAGTCGCGCTGGTCCTTTGGCTTGCGTCCGAGCATGCGCTCCAGCTTGGCGTACTTTTTCTTCTGCGCGTCGTCGAGCTGCCTCTTGCGCTCCTCTTCTCCCTCGAGGTAGGATGCGAGCTTCTTTGCCTCCTTGATGACGCCGAGGCGGCGTCCGTTGAGGTCGCGGCACGAGTCGTTGTTGGCGTCCTTTGCGCCCGCCGACATCTTTCCACCGGCGGCGCGCAGCTGGGAGCCGAAACCTCCCTTTCCGCCGCGGACCAAGGGCCGCACCTCGAGGCTGAGCGGGAACCCATGGCGTTCGGCGAAGAGCGTCGAGAGCGATTTGGCGGGCGCGAGGGCTCGGCCGTTGTGGCAGAGGGAGAAGTTGTTGGGACGGAGCGAGGATGCGTGGGCGAGGCGCGTGAGGCCGAGGGTGAAGCCGTCGAGGATCTGGGCTGCAGTGGTGTTGGCGGGGAGTGCGAGGCTGAGGGAGCGCGGGAGCGGGTCAAAGGAGCGGATGAGGACGGGCAACATGGTGTGCGACGAGGGTGGGTCGAGGTGCGATGCGGTGAGGGCGTCGGACGAGGTGCCGGGTCGAATGGCGAGCGTTGCTGCAGGCATTGCGGTGGACTGTCGCGGGTAGCTGAGCGATGGAGAGATGGTGGGGGGCGAGGGTGGCGGGTGGCGGGTGGCGGGTGTCGATGGTGGTGATGGTGGCGTAAAGGCAAACGGGCGGCGCCCTCGAAAGTCTGTTGGCCCAAGGCAATTTCCACGACGGGCTGCAGGGTGCAACTCTGCCTGCAGCTGCTGCTGTTGCGACTTGGCAAAGCTCTGACTCTACCTCGACTTCCTCGGGCTGCCTCTGCCTCGACCTTTGTTTGGTCGCGCCACTCGTCCAACCTTCGTCTCTCTCTCTCTCTCTCTAGCTTGCCTCCTCAATCCCAGGGCAAACCAAGCACGCACGGCACCGCCGCTGCCAACGTACAGCACGGCGACTCTCCCCGCTCAACATCATGGCAGGCCCAACACGCTGAACGTCGACGTGCCGTGCCGCCGCTCGACCCCCATCAGGATGCCCTCGCAGCCGCGCCCGTCCAGGCCCCCGGACCCACCATGACCAACTCGCACGGCTACCTGGTCGAGTACCCACGCATCCGCGTCGACCACTTTGACCAGGGGCCCATCCCGCTCCCTCGCTCCCTCCTGGCCCACCGCAAGGCCGTCCTCAACCACGACGCCGACGACGACCACTTTGACGCCCACCAGCGCCACTTTCCCAAGCCCCTCGTCTACCTCCTCACCCACATCCACACCGACCACCTCGCCGGTCTCGACCGCCCCGGCATCACCGCCCCCATCTACTGCAGCTTCGCCACAAAGAACCTCCTCCTCCGCTACGAGCGCCAGAGCGACCGCGTCGGCTACGACAACCACCATGGCCGCCTCGTGCGCCCCTATGCCCACCTCCAGGTGTCGGATCGCCAGGCTACGGCAAAGGGCCGCCTCTCGGGCAACAGGGCATCGGCCCACGACCTCCTCCACCCCCTGCCCTACAACCAGCCAACCGAGGTGGCCTATACCCCGCGCACCCGCATCACAATCACCCTCCTCGAGTCCAACCACATGTTTGGCGGCACCATGTTCCTCGTCGAGGGTCCGCGCGGCGCCGTGCTCCACACCGGCGACCTTCGCGCCGAGGGATGGTGGTGCGAGGCCCTCGTACGCAATGCAGCCATCTCGCGCTACATTGCCTGGAATCGCAACATCGACGTGCCAGGCGTCCAGCCGTCAAACCTTGCCGCCCGCAGCGACCAGGCCTGGGCCGAGGCGATGCAGCAGCAGCAGCAACGTCGCGGCAGCAGCGGCAGCAGCGGCAGAGGCAGCGGTGGCGGCCGCGGCGCAAGCCCCTCGCGGTCCACCACGGCTCCGGCTCGAGGCACCGGGACGTCCAGGGGGCCCGCAGCCGGCGCGAGCACGTCGCAGGACACCGACCCTTGCAGCGACCAAGACACCCAGGACCTCGTCGATCGCCACCGCGCAGCCGCGCCCTTCCAGTCGCTCCGTCTCGAAAACATCTACCTCGACACCGAGATGCTCCTCTCGACCCAGCCCGTGCCCTCAAAGGAGCGCGCGCTGCAGGACATGGTCACCCTGCTGCGCGCCTTTCCTCCGGACACCGTCTTCTACCTCAACTCGTGGACCTGGGGATACGAGGGAATGCTCAAGGCCGTCGCAAAGGCGTTTGGCTGCCGCGTCCACGTCGACCGCTTCAAGGCCGGCATGTACAGGGCGGCCCGGTGCGAGGACCCCTTCCTGTCCCAGATCATCACCCTCGACCCGGACGAGAGCCGCTTCCACGCCTGCGAGCGCAAAAACATGTGCGACGTGCTCCTGCGCTCGCCCGCTTCCGCTCGCGAGGCCATCCTGCAGCCCAGCGCCCACGTCGCCGACGACTCGAGCCTCTCGGGACGGAGGGACCTCCCTCCCGAAGAGCGTTGGGGCCCCGCCGAGGATCGTGGCGACGGGCCCCTGGTCGTGTTTGTCAATCCGGCTCAGATCTCCGAGGAGCGGTGGGCCGACACGTTTGAGCAGGCCCGGGGTCGACTCGAGTATGCGCGCCAGGGTCGCACGTCGTGGCCCAGGGCGGTCCTGGTCCCGCTCGAGCGTCATTCTCCGCTTCCAGAGCTGCAGCGGTTCGTCGACCTCTTTCGTCCCAGGACGGTCTCGCCCAACACCATCCTCGACGTGCGGGGCGGGCTCGACTACTACCTGCTCCATAGCCTTTTTGGCCCCTACATCGCCAAGGGCGGGGCAGATCGACTGGCGGCCGAGGGTCTAGCGCTCCTTGGCGATCGGCAATGGGCCTTCTTCGAGCGACAGATCCAGATGGCGCGCCACAAGGCCAGCAAGGGCGGCCAGGACTCGATCGAGGGCCACGCCAGTGGCTCCGATCCGCCAGCAGCCGCGCCGCATAGCCGTCAGAATAGCGACGGTACCGCGGCGGCAGTGAAGGCCGCCGAAGTCGAGGCGCTAGTCAAGACGCGCGGCATCAGCCTCAAGGCCGGCACGATGCACAACATGGCGGGCAACGTAGCCGCTCTGTTGGAGATTGAGCGGTGGCGGAGGCACGAGGGTATGGCCGAGGGCGTCTCGTTCCCGGCGTCCATATCGGCACCCGAAGAGAGCTCGTGGGACCTGTCCGAGTCCGGCAACCAGAGCGGCGCCACGGCGGGTTACGATGCCGACCAGAGTCAGGCGGCCGAGATGACGCTGCGCCCGACTTCGCCCCGCTGCAGACCTCGGCAGCCTTCACCTGCAAAGCAGCAAGGCGTGCACCAAGCTTCCGCATCGGCGGCCACCGAAGGCGAGCGCTCTTCATCGCCCAAGACCGGCAACGGCGCGGGTGTGGAAGAGGCGACGACGACCGGCCGACCGCCCGAGCCCCCCACGCCGAGCTCGGACGAAGCGCTGGCGTCGAGGTACCTCAACATCCTCATCCACCACTTCCGCGTGCACTACATCCGCCGCGCCGGCATCACCTACGTCGACATGTGGCGCGAGGTGAGGAGACGCAGGCCCAACGACGCCGCCAAGGTCGAGCAGCTGTGCCAAGTCGAGCAGGGTATCCAGCCGCCCGCCTGGACGCTCGACGACGGCGACAAGCGAGACGGCAACGCTGCATCGTCTGGCATCCACCACCACCACCAGCAGCAGCAGCAGCAGCGGCGACCTTCACCGAAGGCTGCTGCGGCGGAAGCGACCTCGCCTGGACCGACCACAGGCCAACCCACCTCCATGGAGCCGGAGGTCGACGACGGCGCTTCCTTGCACGCCCTCGAGACGGTCCTCGAGCTGCTCGAAGCGCCATCGGACGAGGACCTGCCGGACGAGTTGGGAGACCAGCCCGAGGATCATGCGATCGGCTACCGCATCTTGCTCGGCCGTTTCCGAGCGGGGCAGATCTGCCAGCTGCAGCCGGTCGAAGGGACGGACTCGCTGTCACTGCATCAAGGCTCTGGATCGAGGCAGCCCTCGACGCGTGGCTGGCATCCGCTCGCTTCGCGCCTGTTTGCCACGCTGGACCGCGATCTGCGCCGCGTCCTGACCATCTTGACATGCGCCGCGTCTGGCGACGACCTGCACTCGATCGACGACAAGATGGCCACCTTCGACCTGGGCGAGCAGGCCATCAAGGTCGTCGCCCTGGTCCTCGCATGCCGCCAGGTCTCTCGGGCGTTTACGACCGAGGAGCTGCGCGGCCTCTGCAGCGGCCTGCTCGCCTTGATCGAGATCGGCCACGGGCTGGCCGCGTCGCCCGCTCAAACTCGATCTCCCGGCGACGACGGTCACGATCCAGACGTCGGCATGCGAAGGATCCTGGCACTGTCGACGTTTGCGCTGCAGAACGAGGAGCTGCACCGCGAGGTGCTCGAGCCGCTCGAGCAGAGGCTCGTCGCTGCCGCCGATGGGCCGATGCGGCGCATGGTCCTCTCGATCCCTCCCGAGACGGGCCGCGTCCTGACGTCGGCAGCGCCACCTGGCAGCGAGAGTTGCGGCGGCGGCGGTGGTGGCAGTATCGAAAGCGGTGGCGACGGCGGCGGTGGTGGTGGTGGTGATAGGCGGGAAGAAAGCAGAGCGGCAAGCGACGGTGCAGATGCAGCTCGGGCCACGGTTGAGCAGCGCTCGGGGTCGGATCCGCCGATGCTACGCCCACCCGCCGCACGGACCTCACCACCAGGCCCGACCTCAGCAGCCGCTGCGACCCGTTCTCCCTCATCGCCCTCGCCCTCCTCTCCCGAACCATCGCACACCATTCGCCAGCTGATCGCCGCGCGCACATCGCGCCGTACCGGTGCAGGCGGCAACGGCGGCGCATCCGCCCTGACAGACGGCCCAACGACGCCACCTCGAACGCCGACCCGCCGCCCAACGTCGCCGCCTGCCGAGGAGCAAGATGCCCACCGGGCGCGGGGGCTCGACGAGTCGCAGGGTACGAATGTCAGCTCGTCGACTCTACCGGAAGAATCGACGCAGGAGGAACCCGACGTCCCTACCGGTGCCGGTGCCGGTGCGGGGACGGGGGCGGGAGGGCGGACAGAGGAACTGTTTCCGAGCCTCGAGCACCTTTCTGCGTCGACTCGGGGCCCCATGGTGGGTGGGCGGGTAACAAGGACGACGGCAGCAGGGGCGGGTCCGTACACCGCCTCGTCGCCGCCGCCTAGACGTGACGAAGTGGGAACGCGCAGGAACATGGTCGTCAAGACGACGAGCGCGTCTGCCGCTACCCATCTCCGTCCCCGGCCCCGTCCCCCAGCGGGGCACGCGCGGGCCTCTGCCGGCGCACCGACCTCGTCGCTACTGGATCCGCTCGGTCGTCTGAGACGGTACGAAAGTCCTGCTCCGACACTCGAGCCGCCAGGAGAGCAGAGGGAGAACGAGGAGGGAGCGGCACAAGAGGAGCAGAGGAAAGGTCGAAAACGGACCGCCATCGTCGCGATCGACACGCCCGAGCCTCGGAATCGGGCAGAGAAGCGCGACGAGGCTCTGCACCACCAGAGGCGAGGTGCGGCGCGGCGACGCAGAGACGTCTGATCCAGTATGTGGTGCTGCATTCTTCCGTCGGTCACGCCTTTATCGTAGAGACTGTCGTCGTAGGCGACAGGTCGGTGCACGTCTCCCCCGCCGTGCACCCATGAAACCCAGATGAGCCACCGATCGCAGTCGGCCGCGATGAGAAGCAAAGGACCCGAAGGTCGTGGGGGCTCTGCCGGCGGATCTCAGAGGATGCTTCGGCAGAGCGGGCACGTTGAGCTGCCGCTGGTGCTGATCCACTTGAAGAGGCAGCCGGCGTGGAACTTGTTCTTGCACGTCTTGCACGGCTTGGTGGGGAGCGAGCGGTCCATGGGGCTGATGATCGAGTAGCAGATGGCGCCTGCAGAGCGGTGGGACAGAGAGCAGACAGACACGGAGCAAGAGGCAGAGCAGGGGGGCAGGGAGAGTGTCAGAAGGGATGCACGACGGGACGCATGGGACAGCCCGAGACGACGGGCGTCCAGAGGCCAGTGGTGGCAAACTCACATTCCTCGAGCCCCTCGAACTGGACCTCGGCGTTGCGCTTAAAGAGGCTGAGGGCGTCAAAGATGAGGCCGTTCTGGCCCGTAATGAGCTGCTGGACGGCGAGGAGCCACGCGCGCCACTGGGCCTCGCTGACGCCGACGCGGCGGATGTCGCGGATCTCGACGCCGTGCAGCGGAAAGTCGGGCGGGATGCGCACGCCAATCTCCATGGGGTGCTCGTCGACCGTGTACGTGGCGACGACCTCGTTGGTCGAGAGCACCTTGATGGCCATGGCCTCGTCCTGCAGCCGCGACAGCGCGTCGGGCTCGCGCAGGTGCGACAGCTCGCGCGCCGCAATCAGCGGCGTGCAGTGGCGCGTCGTGAACGACGAGACGAGCATCGAGAACTGCCGGTCCTTGATGTCGAGGTACCAGTTGCGGATCAGCGTCGGGATGTGGATCAGCGCACGGAAGTAGACGTGCGCCGCCAGGACCTGCACCACGGCCAGTGGCGACGGGTCGATCTCGTCGAGGTAGACCTCGTCGACGACCCAGCGCGCCGGGTCAAACGGACGTCGCTCCTCGTTGAGCAGGCCCGCCAACGCAAACACCGAGGGGAGCAGGCTGTCCGACACCAGCGCGCGCTTCTCGAGCTCGGCGACAAACAGCGCCTTGAGCTGCAGCGAGGCGTCCTCAAAGTGGTCAAAGATGGCGATCCACGAGAGAAAGTAGCCAAACGACGCCCGGCGCGCATCCTCCTCGTCGACGAGCAGCCCGAGCTGCGCGTCCAGCGAGTCGGCCACGTTGTCGAGCAGCGCCGCCGGGAAGGAAAGCTTCTGCCGCTGCTCGGCGTCCGAGAGGAGGCCCTTGTCGACTGCGGCTTCGACGACGAGCCCCTTGACCCTGTCCTTGATCGACGCGCTCAGGAGGCGGTAGCTGACCACCTGCACGTCGTGCACCGCGCTGTGCGTCATGAGCTTGCAGAGCGGCGCCGATGTGACGTCGAGGTCGAAGCTCTTGCTGGGCACCTCGCGGACCAGATCGACAATCAGCTCGGCGCACGCCTCCTTGGGCGTCGACGAGCGAGGCGGCGCGCCGCCCTCCGTCTTGACGTCGTCGGCGAGCGAGACAAAGAGATCGCGGACCAGGTCGAGGCATGCCTCCTTGCGCTCCTTCCAGATGCCGCGCAGGCTCGAGTTGCGCAGCGCAAAGTCCCGCAGCGTCTCGAGCAGCCGCAGCGAAAAGTAGAGACCCGGCAGGCTGGCCTCGTCGGCGAGGGCGGCGACGTCGAGGTTGGACTCGACAAGGTCGAAGAAGAAATCGACGTGGCTGCCCGCCACATCCTGCACGATCGGGATCAGGGCGACAAAGATCTGGGCGAGGCGGACGTTGATCTCCTCGTCGATGTCCTCGTCGCTCGCGATCCACTTTTGCAGCGTCTGCAGCAGGAAGATGGCCCTCTGCTGCGGGATGAGCGGCGCGTCCGCATCGTCGCCAGGGGCCGCTCCGACGAGCAGGCGGAGCAGAGCGAGACCCTGGTCGTTGGCCTTGGACGCGGGCACGCCCGCCAGGTTGGCGGCGAGCTCGTTTCGCAGCCGATCGTAGGCCTGCGTCTCCTGCACATAGGGCTTGACGGCGATGATCGTCGCCTGTGCGAGGCCGGCAGCGCCGTCAGAGACGGACCGACCCAGTTTGAGCCATCTCTCCCCCTCCTGCGGCGAGACGGAGCCGAAGCTGAGGCAGCCAGACAGCAACCGACCAAAGAGCCTCGCGAGGTGCGAGCTCCGGGGATGCTCTCGCGCCAACGACCAAACGGTGCCGAGCACCTGGCCAAGCCCGGCGCGCGTCGACACCTCGCGCTTCTGCAAGGTGGCCACCAGGTCGAGGTGCCACTGCGCATCGATGCGCTCCGCCTCGGCCGACAGCATGGCCGTAGCCACGCCGACCGACTCCTGCAAGATTGTGGTCAGGAGCGGGCGGGAGACAGCGTCCGGGGCAAAGCACTGCTTCGAGCTTCCTGGCTGCAACAGCTCGTCCTCGGCGAGCAGCGCGAGCCAGACAGCGTGGTGCAGATGCCGCCGCTGCCGCTGCTGGCGCGCCAGGTCTCGGTCGTTCCTGAGCAGCCTGACGAGCGCCAGAGCCGTCCTTGCGTAGCTGCTTAGGCCCTCTGCATCGTAGTCCGCCCGGATGGAGGCGGATGCCTCGTCCTCGGGTCCAGACTGCGGCACCGAGGGATCGAGGATCGAGAGCGTCGCGTTCGGCTCCGTGCGGGCACAACGGACCAGCATCGCATCCAGATCATCGGTGGTCGGAAGCACCGCTGTGGCGCCGCCGGCCGTCGCCGGCAGCTGCCGGCTGATCTGCTCAGCTGCCGAGACGACCGAGGCAACCGGAACCTTGGTGTCCAGCAGCTGCTCGCTCGAGCTGGCCAGCCCCGCCTGCAACACCTGCTCCCGGGCTGGCTGATCCGCGATCGAGATCATCAGCTTCCAGAGCTCCAGCGCGGCCGTGGCGGTGCTGCGGAACGACGGTGCCGCGGCCGAATGCAAGGCCGACTCGACCGAAGTCGCCATCGACGCCGGGTTGGCGCAGAAAAAGGCCAGGTCAAAGACGGCGGCAACGACGCCGGACGAGGTCGAGGACGCCAGCAGCTTGCGGACCTTGTCGTCGCGGCTGCCTGCGCTGACCCAAGCCTTCAGGCATCCGATCAGGTCCGGCAGCACCCGGGCCGCCCTCGTGCGCTCCGTCGATCCGGGTCCCGACGAGCTGGCCGAGAGAGCGTGGTCGATGCTCGCGTAGCGCAGGTGCTCGATGGTCGAAGTGACTATTGCGAGCATCTGCTCGGCCACCGTGACCTCGACGAACGGCTTGGGCGCGATCATCAGCCTGCAGACGACATCCCTGGCCTTGAGCTTGGAGAGCGGCGCATCGGATCCAGCTTCGGCTTCGGCGTCGCAGAGTCGGGCCGTCAGCGAGATGGCCACCTCGTCGAGGCCCGAGGAAGCCTCGGCCTGCTTGAGGTGGTCCATGCCCGACCCGGGTCCCGCGGCTTCGGCGGCTGCGATCAGCTCGCCGAGGACCTCGACCTGGTCGGCGACGTTCGAGAGCCTGGCCACCGATGCGAGGACCTCATTCCAGGTGCGCAGCTGCGCCTCGGCGTCCGAGCAGACCGGCAGATAGGCCGCCAGGAACGACGAAGCAACGGAGGGGGTGATGTTGCGCTGCATCGTCAGCTGGGGCAGTGATTGCGAGGCAGCCCTTTCGAGGGCTTCGAGGGTGGAGTCGTCGATCGAGACGCCGGCGGCCGTCAAGGCTCGAACGACCGAGGCCATCAGTGAGGCCTGTGCATCGAGCTTGCCGGTCGAGCCTGCGCTGTCGTTGGCCGCGCTCGCCGCGTTCTGGTTGAAGGAGGCGGCCGCCTTGGCCAGGACCTCTTGGCTGACCTCGGCCGCCGCCGAGCGCACCTTGCTGGCGCGAGCCGCATCGGTCATGACCGCGGGCGCCAGGAGCAGTCCGGCGAGGATGCCGATCGCCCGGGTCAGGCCGTGCTGCGTATCGCTCGAACTCGCCGAAGACGACGGGTCGATTGATGCCAGCGAGGCGCTCTCGGCAGCAGAGAGGAGGTCGCCCCTGAAGACCTGCAGGATGCCCGCACCGACCCTGCCATCCTGGTCGATGTTGTACAGCTTTCGGACGCCCCCGATGAGCTCAGAAGCGATGCGCTGATCGCCCATGCTCCCGATCCTCGCCTTTCGAGCCTTGCCTTCCGATACGGCGTCGACCAGAGCCTCGTCGTCGGCTTGCTCCCCAGACACCGGTGCGAGGGCCAGGACGAGCTCGCGCCAGACGAGGCCGAGGTGCTGCTGAGCCAGCTTGGCCGCGTCGGCCGAGCGCAGCGTCTCCTCGGCGCTGTCATTACGGAAGACCTTCGAGGCGAGATAGACGGTGCACTCGCAGAACGACGTGAGGAACGCCCGCGAACCGGCGGGATCGCTGTCGAGATCGCGGCTGTAGAGCGCAGAGTAGAGGTTGTTCAGGAACTCCGAGCTCTGGTCGTGTGAGGTCGCATCGAAGGCGGCCGTGGGCAGCGTCGACAGGAAGACGAGGACGGTCGGGTAGCCGAGCGTCGGTGCGCCGCCGCAGCCCGTCTGCAGCCAGCGCAGGAAGTCGGTGTAACTGCGAGGGTGGCTCGTGGCAGTCGAATGCGATCTCGACATGGTGCCGCCGCCGCCGTTTCCTTGCTCGTCGGAGGAGTCATCATCGTTGCCTTCCTCCTCGTCGTCGTCGTCATCGCCGCCCTCGTCTTCGGTCCCTTCGCTCTCTTCGTCTCCGCTCTCATCCTCGTCCTCGTCGCCCCGATTCCGGGCCGGCGCCGGTTGCTGGCCCTGCCCGACCATCCAGAGCGACGGTCTGGCTTTGAGGACGGGCAAGAGGGCATCGAGCATGGCGCGCTGCACTGCGGTGTCGCGTTCCTGCCACGCCGCCGACATTGCCACCGTGCCGTAGACCTCGACGTGGCGGTCGAGGACCTCGGGCATCGCGGCATGCAGGTCTCGCAGCAGGTGCCAGGCACGGGCTCGGACGACTGGCGCGTCGAAGCCGAACGAGGATGCCACAGAGCCGTGGCCGGCGAAGAGGTTTGCCGGCGACATCGACGACCAGAGCAGCTTGGAAGACAGCAGCGGCTCAAGAGCCTCGATGGGCTTGGGCGAGGGATGCTGCTGGACGATGAAGGAGAGCACCGACAGCGCGCCCGCCACCAGCCGCTTGTCAAGGGCGGCCGTGTCCTCTTCGACGTTGGTGTCGTCGCGGTTCTTGGCGTCGCGGTCCCTGGAACCGGCGAGGGCAGGAGTCGAGACGCCCGATGCTGCGGCGCTCGGCGTGTCCCCGGTGAGGCCAGATGCGTGGGCCGAGGTGAGAGCGAGGGCCGCCGACGGCGAGGGCGACTGGAGCAGCAGCCCAATGTGCTCGATGAGAAGCTCGAGGTAGTCGGGCAGCACGAGGCGGTCCTCGCTCCCGGCGGCACCGAGCTCGGCGGAAGGCTGCCATGCCACGCTGCTGTTCCACGTCGCTCTCCCGATGCGTTCGATGGAGCGGTCGATGTCGTAGCTGAGGATCGCCCAGGGGCCCAACATGGACTCGACGTAGGACGGCGACTGAAGCAGTTCGGTCCGGGTGGACGACGACGCCGAGGAAGAAGCGTCGGCGTCGTCGGGCGCTTTTTGCAGTAGGAGCGACTGGATCTGGCTGGTGAGCAGGCGGAGGCGTCGTGTGGGGGAGAGGGCGAGGCGCGGGAACAGGTGGACCCAGCACGGCAGCATCATGACGAGCGCCTCTCTCTTCTCTTCGCTCGAGGTCCCTGAGTCGTCGCCGCGGTCGCCACGAGCGGCCTGCCTGACATCTGCATCTTTGATCCCCGTGGCGCTTGGACGGAGCGCATCCTCGATCCAAGCGAGGAGCCCCTCGAGCGCGCGACATCGGGTGACGACGTCCTTTTTGGACGCCTTGCGCAGCAGGACGACGAGGTCGGCGGGCAGGAGCGACGCGAGGCCCATCGAGTCGAGCGGGTCGGGCAGCGGCTGGGGGGGCTTGGGTGGCGGTATGAACTGCTTTTTCCTGTCCGACTTGCCCTTGCCCTTTCCCTTGCCGTCCTTGCCCTTGTTCTTGTCCTTCTTCTGGCCGCGCTGGGCGGGCTGCGAGGGTTTCTGGAGCGCCTCGTAGGCCTCGGGGTGGAGGAGGTTACCGTCGGCATCCCTCTCGAGGGCGACCTTTTTCGCTGCCTTTGCGGCCTGCTTTTTGCGGGTCGCCGACGAGGCCGACGACTTGCCGCGGGCGCCTCCCTTGGCCATCGTGTCGGCGGTGGGCGCGGCGGGGGCGACGCAGACCCCTTGGCTGGGCGGGGCGGGACGAGGCGAGGCGAGGTCTGGCAGTGGCCAGGTGGTCGTGGGCCGTGAAAAGGGGGGCGCGATGTCTGCTTGGTGCGGGATCCGCTGAATGTGCGCCTAAGTGTCGATAATGTTAGCGATGATAAGGAGTGGTGGTGATGGTGGTGGTGGTGATGGTGGGGCGAGGCGCAGGGGGCCAGGGCAGCGCAGGGCAGGGCGGGGCAGGGCGGCGAGGCGAGCGTAGCCACGTCCATCTGGAAGAAACGGGCGCGGGCGAGATGACCTCACGCCCCGTCGGCCGTCTCTCCACCCTCCACCTGCCTGGACCTGCGATCGCCCGCGAGCGCAGCGCCCAGCGATCAACAGATTCAGGAATCGCATTTTCGCGCGCGCTTTCTTTGAGAGCTGAGGGAGAGCTGCAACGCCCGACCCGGGACGGCGAATGCAAGCAGCACATGCACATGATAACGATAGCATCTCGCAGCGACGCGAGGGGACGAGGCTGAAGACGACAAAAAGGTGAGGGGCTCGGGAACAGGACGACGGGGCCACCTCAAGACGAACGAGCGGCCGACCGAGTGTGGTCGGAGAGCGTGTGCGAGGGGCGGGAGGGGCAGAGAAACGAAGGCCGAAGAGGGACTCGAGGGGGGAAAGGGAGCGTGGGGGCCAGCGCCAAGACGGCGGCGCAACGACGCCGACGAGCCCTGCCCGCGCGAGGGTTGGTATATGTACAATGGTTGATGCGCCCGCAAATGTGGGACAGGGGGGGGCGGTCGAGGGTGGGGGCGCGCAAGCAAGCCGGCGAGTGGGCGAGCAGGCGGTCGCCATCGACGGCTCGAGCCGGGCTGGGCGGCGAGCGCACCGCAGCGATGGCGTGCGGTAAGGAGATGCTGAACAACGATGAAAAGAGGGTATTATCGGGAGGCCTGTCTATTTCGTCGCAAGGCAGAGAGAGGGGGCGCTGCCTGCAAGTCCCGTCGCCCGACCGTCGTCGCTCCGAAGCTAGGCGCTTGGGCGCGATGCGGACGATGTCGGCCGGAGGTGCGGCCTTTGCCTGCAACGCCCGCGGCCCCGCTCGCCTGCTGACCGCGCCGCTGCGCAGCGATGGCCGCCGGAGCGGATGCCGCAGCTCTGCTCAGCACTTGCCCTTCTGCGAGCAGATGGATGCGACGACGGCGACGGCGGCGATGATGATGATGATGATGAGGATCCAGAAGCAGATCCACCTCTTCTTCCTCGCCTTGCGCGCCGAGTCGACGGCCTTGTTGGTGTGCTGCAGGCCCTGCTGCATGTCGGTCTCGACCTGGGCGCCCTGCTCCTGGATGACGTTGAGCGCGTCGTCCTGCTCGTCGACGAGGATCGACATCTCGTTGAAGAGCTGCGCCAGCTCGGTAATGGTGCGCTCGATTCGCTTAATGTCCTCGTGGCGCTCCTGGACCTCGCGCAGCGCGCCGCGCGCCTCGCCGTGCCGGTTCGAGTTGAGCAGCGCCTGGGAAAAGATCTGGCCGTTGGAGTCGTCGTCGAGCGCCGCCTTGACCTCCTGCGGCGTGGCGTCGGGCTTGACAATCTTGAACTGGCGCTCGGCGCGCGCGCGGTACTTTTGGCGGTAGTTTTGCTCGACCTGCTGGTACTTCTGGATCGTCTCCTTGAACCGGTTCTTGACGGCGCCGATCTGCGTGTTGCGCACGTTCTTGTCGCCGCCGGCGGGGACGCGCTTCGTCTGGCTCTCGAGCGTCTTGATCTTGTTCTTGACGCCGTTGGTCAGGCGGCTCGTCTCCTGCTGGATCGTGGCGAGCTGCTGCTCGGCCTGCTGCGCCGACGCCTCGTCCATGTTGTTCAGGCTGCGCGAGTGCAAATCCGAGATGCGGTTGATGTTTTCCTCAATCATCCGGATCGTGTCCTGGATGTCGCTGATGTCGCCAAAGAAGGCGTTCATGTCGCCCCCGGCCTTTTCCGTCACGACGCCCTGCATCTCGTACGCGTTGCCGCCCATCGCCGCCGCCCCTCCTCCGTAACCCTGGTCCTGCTGGCCGTACCCCTGCTGCTGTTGGCCGTAACCGCCCTGCTGCTGGCCGTAGCCTCCTTGCTGCTGCGGCGGCGGTGCGTCCGGGTACTGCTGCTGCTGGCCGTATCCCTGCTGCGGCTGGCTGTACCCTTGCTGAGAGGGGACCGCCGCGTAGCCGCCGTCGTAGGCGGCGCCGGTCTGCTGGGTCGGGTACGAGTGGTCGCCGTATCCGTTGTTGCCTCCGCCGTAGCCGCCGTAGCCGCCGGACTGCTGCGCCTGCGTGCGGTTGAGAGCGATTCGGGCGAGGCAGGATGAAGGGCGAAGGGGATAGGTCAGCATGGCTGCTCAGGACCGTGCGGCGACGCAGGGCCCCAATCGCATCCCGGTTCGGGAGCGGATCTGCCTCGAAACGTACCCTCATGGCGGCGAGACGATCTCTGGCCATCTTGGTTGTGGAGTGCCGCTCGTCAAGCAGACGATGCGAGCAGGCGAGAGGGGTGGGGAGGGATAGCGGCTAGTCGCTCCGGGCTGAGAGGGATGCTGGCTGTAGGATCGACTGGATCACAGAGACCGCGTGGAAGCCAGCTGGAGTCGGCGAAGAGTCGTCGAGGGTGGTGGAGGTGGTGGTGGTGATGCGGTGGGTAGGGGTGCAAGGAGGCAGCGCGATGCTGTGTCGCCACTGAGGTCGGCGCGGTGGATGGATGTGTTGCTGGCAACGAGCAGCGAGCAGGTCAGTGGCGGGCTAGCGGGTGCGGCTTTGTAAGAAGACAAAAGGCGGGGGAAAGCTGCGTCGAGTGCGTCCGGCGAGGATTCAAAGGAAGGTGTGAGGGCGTCGATCGACGATGGTCGGATGGCACAAAAACGACGGTGGCGACGACGACGACAGCGACCTGGAGACGGGGATGGAGTTCGAGAAGAGAAGTGCGGGCGGGAACACGGGCAGACACGCAGCCAGGCCGGGGCAACGGGGCGAGGCAGGAGAGCGGGCAGGCAGGCAGTCTAAGAGTGGGCAGGCTCGCCGCTGACCGGCCGACCGACCGGAATGCAAGGCAGGCCAGGCGGGCAGGCAAGACCAGGCAGGGCAGGCCAGGCTGGGGCGCGGCTGTGATGAGGCCCCGGTGGCCTGACGCTGGTTGAGGGGCGCTAGGCTGGGCCTGGCTGCGCTCGCCCCCTGTCGCTCTGGCAGGCCAGAAGCAGGCGTGCCTCGCTCGGAGCAAGGAGAATACAAACACACGCACGCGTACGCCCGGAGAGGGGAATACAAAACGCACTCGAGCTCAAAATAGACGGGCCTGCCTCAATTCGGCGGGCCTGGTTGGCGACAACGAGCGATTTTCAAATCGATTTTCAAAAGACTGCAACGTGCTGCCGGGCCTGGCCCTGTCGATCCTCCAGGCACCGCCTCCTCGCCTCCTCGCCGAGCCCTAGCCTTGCTTGCCTAGCCTGGTCTTGCCTCACCTTGCTGCACAGCCCGGCCTGGCACCGCCATGCCATGCCGTCGTCGAGGCAGAACGAGCGAGTGAGCGAGCGAGGATGGCGTACGCTCCAAGACGAGCTCAGCACGGAGCTCGGCCGCTCCCGTATGGCCCATCATCTCCGAGCCCGTCCTGACACTCAGGGGAGCGAGGGGGCCGGCGCCACGCACCGGGACAACAGCCAACGGAACAAAAGAGGCAGCATCCCTGCTGGCCCCCCTCGGAAGTGCCGCGCCGAAGAGGGGCCAGGCCAGGCCGCGCCAGGTCGGTACCGCTTCGCACTAGTTTACGAGAGTCGTTGGTCAAATCAACGACCGACGCGTAAGTTTACAAAAATCGTAACAAACGACGACCCACTTGAAACCCCCTACTGTCGCGCAGTCGCACGGGTGGTTGGGTGGGGTTGGGTGGGTGGGCATCTCCGGGACCCGCCCCCTGCAGCAGCACCGTACGCTGCTTGACGCTCAGCTTGCTGCCCTGCCCTGCCTCGCCCTGCCCTGCTCCAGCTTCGCCCTGCTTGACGAATGTCGATCCTTGCTTGCTCCGCTCCGATCCTGTCACACCCACATGCCAATCTGCCACTGGTGCCCCGCCTTGCTCGTCAGCCAAGAGAGGATGCGATGGGAACGAGCGCGTGCGTTCATCTCGAGCGACGGCGAAAGCCCCCACCGCCGTCGATCCACTCTGAACAAGGGGATTCGTCTATTCGAGAGCGAGGGTGAGGGTAGAAAAGGCTGCTAGGATTTCACAAGTACATCCCGAAACGGCGACGGGATCCGATGGGATCGAGGATAGGAGGGAGGCGCCGACGCCTGCCTCCCCGGCTGCCTTTGCAGAGGTCGCCGTGGCAAGCCTAGCTGCCTCGCCTGCTTCCTTGCTTGCGGTTACTTCTTCATCCTCTGGCGCTCTGCGCGCTGCTCCTTGCGAAGCTTCTTGTACCTGCACAGATGGCAGATGTTCGAGGCGAGGCGAATCGCAATGCGGTCAGGGTCAGCGCGAGCGCTCATCGCAAGGGCCACGGCCGGGTCTGGGCTCGACTGCGGCCCGCCACGCCACGCCACGCCACGGCAACCGACGACTCACTTGTGCTTCCTGATCTTCTTCCTCCTCTTCCGGCGCACGCTGTCCATCTGGACGTCGTAGGCGTCGCGCTCGGCGTGCGGCGCCTTGACGCGCGGGATCCGGGCGTCGAGCTTGGTCAGGTCGATGCCCTCGAGCGCCTTTTCCGGGCGGTCGAGCGCCACGGCGTCCATCTGCGACACGAGCCGGTCCCACTTGAGCGCCAGCGGCAGGGTCACCTGCACCAGCGCGTGCGAGAGGATCAGGTTGGGGTCGTCGTCGGTGTAGAACGCGGTGCTGGCCGCGTGCGGCATCCGCGACGCGGCGTCCTCGATCGCCTCCTGGATCTCTTGCTCCGACAGCGCTGCGGGCGAGGTCGACGACGCATCATCGCCGCCGACGGTGCCGGCATCCTTGCGGCGGGCCTGCGGCGCCGGTGGGGCCTCGTACGCCCTGCCCTTCTCGGCCAGGTAGGTGGCCACGCCGCGCGACCAGTCCGGCGACGGCCCGTTGGGCTCGCCGAGGATGATGAGGTCGGCCTCGATGCCGAGCTTGCGCGCAACGTCCGGGTCCTCGCCGCGCTCGAGCGCGCTCTGCACCGCCTCCTCCTCCTCTTCCTTGAGCCTCTCCTCCTCCTCGAGTTTGGCCGACTCAAGCGCAACGCGGTCCGACTGCGGGATAAACGAAGAGATCAGCCACCGGGGCTCCGACGTCGCCGCCTCGCCCTCGGCGGCGGCGTCGGCAGCGCTCGCATCTTTTGTCCCCTGGCCTTCGAGACCCGCGAGGCCATCGACGAGCTTCGAGAAGCGGTCCGGCGAGATGGTGCGGATCCGCCTCCTCCACTGCGACTGCGACTCAAAGGGGTTCATCGAACCAAACGCCGCCAGCGCGCCGTCGCCAGTGAAAAAGGCGGTGAGGCTGCCGGCGCCAGTGCTGCTACCCGAGCCGGGCTTGGACGTTGACGTGGAGGACGCAAAGAGGGAGGCGGCGGGGTGCTTGGGTCGCGGGGGAAGCATTTCGTGCTGCAGCAGGGGCCGGCCGTTGGAGAAAAAGGCCTCGTAGGCGATGCTGGCCAGCGATGATGGCGGCGGGTTGGCCGAGGCGACGCCCTGCTTGGCCGAGGCCGATGCGCCGGCGGCGGCAGCGTGGTGGTGACCGCCGCTCGTCGACTTGCCTCGGTTGGGGGCGGTGGCGAGGTCGGCCTTGGCCTCCTGCGCGGTGGCCGTACTTGGCGAGGAGCCGTTGCCGTTGCTGCCGGAGGACGAGGAGCCGTTGCTGTTGTTGTTCGAAGACGAGGATGCAGAGGACGAGGAGGGGGACGAGTTGGAGCCGGAGCCGGAGTTGGAGTCGGACGAAGAAGCGACGACAGAGGCGGCGCTGGGCAGCCTCGAGACCGAGGGGCCGGTCGAGAGGTAGGACCTGCAGCGCGGCACGGCACGCCTCTTGAGCGCCGAAGCCGCGGCGATCGAGAGAGACGACGAGCCGGTCATGATGCAGGCAGGCGAGATGAATAGAGGGGGGTTTCCGAGGTGGGGCCGCACCAGCTGCTACCACGGGCTGGGAGGGCGGTAGACCGGTCGACTGGCTGACTGCGGAGTGGCGCTTCAGAGACGAGGCCGCTGGCGGTGTCGCTCGTCTGCCCTGCGGGTCGAGGCGGTCGTCAGGAAGTTGGCAGTCGCCCGGTTCAAGCAGCGAAGTGTTCGGTGGAAATGGGGATGGCGATGGCGATGATGAATGGGAGGGAGGTGAGTGTGGGTGGATGAGTCGTGGTTGGTGGCGAGCAGAAATGCGAGGCGGCCCAAGCTGGTGGAGTCGGTGACTCTGGCTCGCCGAGCCCAGCCCTGACCCGCCCAGCCTGCCCGCCCCGAGAGGAAAATGCGCGAAAAGAGGGCGCAGAGAGAGAGGCAGGGCCCTGGCCAGCGCCAGCGCCAGCGCCAACTCGGCGCAGCAGCGAAAATCGATCACGCTCGGCTCCGGGCAGCGAGCGGCGCGGCTCCTCGGGCTTGGCCGCGCCTCCGTCGGGCTCGACAGCCAAGCCGCCCCGCCTCCTCCCTCTAGCACTTCACCCGCCTCGCTCGACGATCCCATTCGCGGCATCGGCCAGGCTACCAGCCAGCCGTGGAAGTGAGAGACGCGATGATGGCCATGGGTGGCAATTGCAGCTCGGTATACAAATACAGGGGAAAAAAGGGGGGGAGGGGACAACGAGGGGATGGCGCCTCTGACGGCAGAGGCCACTGTTTTGTTTTCTTGCCAGCAGGCTTGGCGGACAACCCTGCTCTGCCTTGCCTGGACCGCTACGCCGCCGTCGCCGCGGCGGGGGTGCCGGCGCCGATGACGGGCGCATTGGGGGCGAGGCCGTCGTGGAGGGCGGCGGCGTCGTCGTAGTCGTCGGATTCGTTCATAAACTGCTCGGCGTGCTCGCGGAGGTACTGGACGCTGCGCTTCTCGTCGACAAAGAGGTTGTAGACGCGGCGGACGTCGGCGACTTCGACGGCGTCGGCCTTTCTGCGGCGCGCGGCGAGGTTGGCGGTGCTGATGAGGTTGATGGCGTAGCGCAGCGACGTCTCGGCGCCCATGCGCGTCAGCACCTCGAGCGCCTCGGGCTTGAGCTGCACCTCTTCCTCGGCGGCGCGGATCGAAAGGATCTGCTTGATGTCGTCGAGCGCGTAGGGCTGCGTGCTGACGATGAGGACGCGGTCCAGCAGGTCGATGGGCATGCCGTGCGGCGAGCGGAAGCGCGTGCCGCGGATCCGGCAGATACCCCGGTTCGACGCCATGATGACGAGCGGCGCCAGCTCAGACTCGAGGGCGCGGTTGAGGAACGAGAAACACTCGATGTCGAGCATGTGGACCTGCGCGGGCGACAGGGGCGGCGACGTTCAGCCTCTACGTGTGGCCATCCTGGTTCGATTGACTCTGCTCCTTCGTCCGACTACTCACCTCGTCGATGAACAGGACGCCGGGGACAATCTCGGCCTTGCCCTCTTCCCTCCACTCGCCCACCTTTGCGTTGATCTGGTCGCGCAGCTCGGGCTTGATCTCGCCCGTGTCGCCGGCAAACAGGGCGAGGAAGCCCTGGGTGCGCGAGTTGATGACGTCGATCTCGTGGAGCGACACGGTGTGCACGAGCTCCTTGCGCCTCTGCAGCTCGCCCTCGGGGCACTGGACGAACTTGGTCTGCGAGCGGTTGGGGGATGGCAAGGTGAGCGAAGAGAGAGAGAGAGAGAGAGAGAGAGAGAGAGAGAGAGAGAG